GGCTACAGATTCCCCCCTACCTGGAGAAAATGGCTGATAACACATTACCTAACTTCGAACCAAGACAAGGGTACCAGGGCAATGGTCAAGTGAAAAAAAATATCATCATCTTCATACATCAGTAGTAACACTGATGAAGAACAAACTTCATTGTTGTCATCATAATATATAATCATCCTGTAATTATATACATACACAGTAAAAGAGATAATGATTAGAAGTATCTAACGTCACGAAAAGATCTCTATTTACAAACACACAGACACAGACAAACTACACAGGTGTCTTTAACTATTCACATTTGTCTTCACCTATACTAGGGTCTCTAAATAAACACATTTATGGTTCACATCCTGTACATACTGCCACTCTCCATACCGCTGTGTCTACTGACTCTAGTTGTTCTTCTGTGAGGTGGAGTACTACCGTACTTCTTGGTGAATTCAATGAAATTGAAGATCTAGAAGAAGAAGAAGATGGTATTGAAGAATGATGTGAAGAAGAATGATTTGTAGAAGAATGGTGAGAAGAAGAATGTTGAAGAGAGTACCGAGGGTTTTGTCGATGATGACGTTGCGGAATTGTGTACACTCCTCTATTACTCTCATCCGAAGACTCTGATGAACTCTGGGATGAATCATCTAAAGAAATGGTTGCTATGGTCTGATGACTCAGTTTCTTTTTCACCTGTTTAGGAACTGGAGAAGAATTTATATTAGTTGGTAAAAGGCAAAAGAAAATTTCTATGGATGGTACGGGTACTCCTTTCCTATCCTCACGTTTAACAATATAAACTGGGGTATCTAAATTTGGAATATCTAAAATAATATAAACATCTCTATCCCACTTGTCTGCAAGTTCATATTTTTCTTTCTAACAAGAACGCAATCCCCAATTTCTAATTTTGAATTCTTCACTCTTTTGTCAAAACTTTCTTTGTTTTTCTCATAGGATTCCTCCTGAACACAATATATGGGGCAAAATTTGAAAGCTTAATTAATTTGCAAAAAAAAGTGCATTATAGTTATCTTTCTTTGCAGAGGTGACGTCTCCTGAAATAACCTACTATTCTAATACTTTATAGTGATGTTTTTTGACCACGTAATATTTTATATGAAAAACTTACAATGCACTTACATGTAATATTGATTTAAAAAATCATTTGAATTGTATTGTTTCACCTGCGTGATTTTCATTATTGTTTGTTTGCTTTTTCAGGATGACTGGTCAAGAGAGCACGTCCAGTCTATTGGATGGAAAGGGTTATCCTCCCTTGATCTTCCCCCGTGTTAGGATCTTTACGTCTACATCCGGAACCGTTTACAGTAGCTCAGTCGGTAGAGCGCTCGCTCCGTGATCGGGAGGTCGTGAGTTCGAATCTCGACCGCGACAGACCTAAGTGGATAAAAAATAGGTAGCAACTGTTCCTTCGCCATGCGCTCGGCACTTTGAAGTGAAAGTTGCGGGTCCTTCGGATGAGACATTAAAAATCGAGGCCCCGTGTCACGGCAGGCGTTGGCACGATAAAGATCCCTCACTGCTCAATGGCCCTGAGTGCCGAGTAAAGGTCAAAATTTGAAGCCCTTCACCGGTATAAGGTGACGTCTCTATATGAGTGAAAAATTCTCGAATGGGACGTAAAACAACATACAATCAATCAATCTACATCAGAAACCCCCCTACTTTAGTCCCTCTTACCAAAAAGTACAAACCCAATACAACGACACCCACATCAAGCAACTGTTGAAAATCTGTCGTTATTAATGCAAGAATAAGCAAACTTACCATTAATTTATTGATTTGCTATTATTTTTTTTTATTTTAATTTGTTTAAATAGCTCTAACAGTGTTTATACTGCACCACATATTTTGAAGTTTGTGATTTATGGAAGTGTTTTTTCTCCTAGTTGAACTTTTAATCATTCCCTTAATCAAATGAGGTATTAATTTTTGGGTAATCATGTATTTATTATTTATTTTGAGGGTCGACTTATACCACTTCTGAAATGCCATTTATTTTATGTAAGTTTTTTTTCCTTAATCCTAAAAAACAGCTGATGCATATATTAAGTACTCTAGAATATTTAGATTTAAGGTTTTTGTGCAATTTTTCATTGTCTTTGTGCCATAATTAAAATTATTTCTAGATTTGCTGATTTTAGGATTGAAAATGTCTCTGTGTCTTTTCTCTACATGACTGGTTCTGACAATGTGTACAATGTGACTGATTGTTTTCTTTAATTTGTATTAGGTATAAACCTTTATGTATATCACTGTCAGTCTTCCCTAGGCTCATTAGAGACGTTTGTGTTGATTGTGAATTTGTTGTGATTAAACAGATCTACACACATAAACTCACACATATTAAAGCTGTGATTAAATGTCGTGTCACTGATTTTTTTTTAAGGTGGTGTTTGATTTTTTACTCTGTGACCTTGTAGTCAAAGGTGCACCTGTACAGATAAAGAATTTTAGTCTTTATTTTTCCTTTTAGAGAAACAGTAGGTATGAATAGCTATAGATAGCTATACAACAGTAGGTAAGAACAGCTATAGATAGCTATACAACAGTAGGTATGAATAGCTATAGATAGCTCTACAACAGTAGATTAGCAATTAGGATAATGTGATGACAGAAGAAATGATTTGTAAATTATTGGCATTTTATTCATAGAAGACATACCAGTGTATATATTATTTAATGTACCTTTTGAATGATTAAACCCTACTGAATACAAGCTCTTTTATTGTGTAATTTTCTGGTAATCTGATGTGTTTACCAGTTTGTTAAACTATTATTAAATGACTACCATGTCAAAAAGGTCTTGCTAAATACCATTGGATGGAATTTTAGAAACTATTGCAGTATCCTTCATGAGAAAAGTATGGTATATGCAAACTTGTTCTCAAATAAAGGGAGTGTATCAGAAAAATATCTCACTGATTCTAATAATGCTAAATAAATATAGCCTTTTGATGAAGGCAATACCTAGATATATAGACCTTAGAGAAAGCATATCAGCTAAGCACAAAGTGCAAACTTGATACAGAGGGAGGTAAAAAAAAATGCCCATAATGATTTTACTTGCCCCTTATAAAGCTTGTTTTCTTTATTGTTTCAAACTGTCTGATGTACATGATTATATCATTATTGCTGTTTTTGAGGACGATACAATGATTTAGTCACCTGAGAAGTACAATATTCACCGAGCACGAAGAGCGAGGTGAATATTGTACTTCAAAGGTGGTTAAATCATTGTATTGACTTTAAAAAAACAGCAATAAGTGATTAATCATATGGTTCAATGATTTAATGATATAAACTCATTTAGCAGTGCATGCCATCTTACATGTTTACATTCCTAGCCAAATGCAATGCGAGAAGCAGGGTTAGATAAATATTACCAGTGGTATTAATTTGGAATATTTAAAATCTACTTTAGTTGCTATGAAAAAAAAAGAAATAATGCCAGGCTCTTTTATAGATTTGATTTTGAAGGGGGCATTATCAGGAAAAATCTGACATCTGTAAAAAGAAAAAAAAACATCTTTGATTAGCCCCCACGAAAAGAGAATTCTCTTAACTTCAAATTTTGTTGTGGGATTAGGTTTGGGGGATTAAAGTCCATTACAGGGGTACCAGCCTTTCAATGAATATTTTTAGTCTTAATTAAAAGTAAAAATTAACGTTCAGAGAAAACCTTTAAGAGGGGTCCCCTGCATCCCCCAACCAACCCCACCACAAATTATATACTCCCTTAGGAAGTCGGTAGCAAGTGAAATAGCTTTCCAAAATGATTTGTATCAATTTATAATTTCCCGATCTATTTTTAGACCAATGTAGAGAAAATAAATCCTTATATTCACCTGGAAGGTCACATTGTTGGATCTTAGCCAATCAGAGGGATAGGAATTATTATTAAATCATATAGTATATTTATTTATAGGGAATCGGAGTCCTTTGTCAAATCTAGAAGCACTTTGTTTCATTTTCATGACATAACCATATATACACAGAAAATTGTCAATATTATGACAGGATCCACTTATCCTGGTCGATTGTCACTTGTCCAGGACGAATGCCTATTTTGCACCTGGTGATATACTTTCTCCAAGGTCTGTATATCTAAGGATTGTACCAAATCAAAAGAATATATTTGTTTTATTATTTTTTATATATCAGTTATTGAGAAATGTCTTTAAAATCCATGTTTCTAATCGTCAACAGTTTCCTGTATAAGGCATTGTTATGTCATACACATTATGACGTCACAGTTACATATTGGAGCTGAAGATCTAAGAAATATTCAGTTTATATTGACTATTGTGACCTCATTCACAGGTAATTTCGAGTAAAAAGAAATAGGTCAATTTTGGAATTGCTTTCAGCATATCTCGGAAAGTATATGGAATTTCGGAATTAACTTCGGTAGTTATGTAGATTGTTAATGGATATATATGAATAAAAAGTAAAACTTTAGATCATAAGATTTAAAAGTATTTCGTTGGCGAAAGTGGGTACCCTATGTAAGAAGTTCGATACCTTTATCTTTTTTTTTACACCCAATTTTTTTTTTTGTAAGTCGGATTATAGCGATCTAAAGCCTTAAGGACCTCATCATTATTGTTGCTTCACATATGATTGTTTCCAAGTTTAGAAACGCAAAGGTTTGTAGGCTTTTCAGAAGCTTAAGATCGAAACTACCAGTTTATACAGTGGCGGATCCAGGAATTATATAACGGCCAGTTTATACAGTGGCGGATCCAGGAATTATATAACGGGAGGAGGGGCGCAGTAGAAGGCAGGGGGTCTGAGGCAAAGCCTTAGCAGAAGCTGACAAATTCATTTAAATAACTTATGTACTAAACTGGACTAAACTGAAGGTAAATGCTTGTTATACAAACAAACAAAAATCAAACGGGGGTTGGGGGGGTTGGGGGGGGGGATTCTTGATCATGTGAATAAGTTTAAACCAATAAGATAGCCATGGAACGATAGAGAAAAATAATAAGTCATTATTGAACATAGTTTTCATCATACAGGTGAAGACGTGTCTTTTCACAACACGATTACAACATTTGCATGTTGTGTCACCACACAGCACGTAATGGTACCACACATGTGAACATAACAGCACGTCATGTCATCTTGTCACCACACAGGTGAACATAACAGTACGTCATGTCATCACACAGATAAACATAACAGTACGTCATGTCATCACACAGGTGAACATAACAGCACGTCATGTCACCGCACAGGTGAACATAAAGTATATTATGTCACCACACGTGAACATTCCATGTCATCACACTTGTCATTATACAAAGATAAGAGACATATCACCACCCAGAAAACAAAATAATCAGGAATACAGCATACATGTAGATGATAGTGTGATATGTCCGGTTTTACAGTCGCATAGTCTCGCTTTATTTAAACATGCTTAGAGTCACAATCGCATCAAAAATGTGGGTTTCACAATTGCAAAGTTTTTCTTCACACAGTACAATAATTTTTATCACATTTTGCTGAAAATCGGACGTTCTTTTCAATCGAGTTCTATACAAGAGTAAGGCGTTGGTAGATCTTTTCGCCGGCTTTCCTGTCGAATCGGAACTCCGTCATTCTGCGGAGTTCCTGACCCACTTCCGGGTGTTTGTGGTTCTGTTGAATCGTTCTTTACATGAACGTCCCAGTATTCCTTCTGTGAGCCTTTCTGGTTCTTTTTGGTGGCCTTTACTTGGACGTTGAAATACTCCCGATGTGATCCCTTTTTGCCTTTTCTTGGTGGACGTACTCGCTCACAGAGTCCGTCTTGTACGTCCACATTATAATATCCGGGGCTTTTCTTTTGTGAGACATGGCGGACGGATAGGACCCCGTTCTGTGACTTCCACTGATCATAAGGTGTTGCATAAGTAGAACTCCTCTTTGCCGTGATAGCATCACTAGGGTCTGTATAGTTAGTTGGGGCTACCGCCCTGTTGATTATATTTCTAAAATAAGAAACATGGAGAAAATAAAAACTTATTTCAGACTGCAGTACGTGCATCTCAGACCCATAGAAATCAGAAAACAGTTTAAAAACTTTCATTTCGCAAGCCAACTTGAAGGCTTTTCGGTCTGCAACACTCCCCGCAAACCCTTAGCAAATTGCGCCACTTAATAGTATTTCATTTGTTTGAATCTTGGTCCTTTGAACCTATGAAAAGACCCTTCTCGCAGTATGTTATAAAAAAAGTTCATGTCGCAGGTTTTTCTTATGGACAGGACACTCTCCTCTCCGCTTTCTATACCCCAAGGGCTGTTTGATTTTCATAAATTATTTTTCACTGACATATTTATTACGAAGTATTGCAATTTAAAAAATAATAAACCAAATCTACTGATACACCCCCCTTTTTTAAATTTAAGGAAGCCTTGATAAAAATTGTGTTACTGAACTCATAGGACCTCCAAGTATTGGAAGTTTATGTTGTCATTTAATCTATTTAATAAAGCCCCCACCCCTCCAAACCTGAAAACCTGGATCCGTCCTACTGTTCACATGAATATCTAACGCGATATGATAAGTAACATACACTTCACCATTTTCATGAGATATTATCAATGTTGGATCAATCACACATGTAGACCGTTTTGGTTTGTGATTTTCTTCCTTTTATAGTAATATTTACACAACTTGGCTGGCGTACTTGAGTATGATTTAATATAGGGAAGAAAAATATATCGATGGTAGAATTAAATTTGAACAAAAACCTGCCTATTTCCAACAAACAGAAAGACGATAAAAATCTTGGTTTTTCTTTCCTGTAAGTCTGACAAGCTAGAGCCAAGCGTATAAATGATAATATTTTTCCTACTTTATCCAGTGCTTATTATTATTTCAGTCAAATGTAATCAATGCCAGAATATTATGTACTTTACACGGAAGTTTCTCTTCCATCGATGAATCAGATATTTCAGATTTTCTGTAACTAAAAAGAAGTTTTTTTCGTTCGTTTTGAAGAATAAGAATATTCACATACCTGTTTCTTTGACGGTAGCAAAGAAAACAAATTAGGATTATTACTAAAGTTGTGAACACTACTATGCCACCAATCAGACCAATGGCCAAGTGCGTTTTTTCACCTAGAAACCCCATTCCGATAGACTAAGCACCTAAAGACTATGGAGTTTTTCAGTTGAATAGTATTTTGATATGAGGCATGTAGAAAGGAATGAATAACATTGTTGATGAGATTTCGTTGGAAAACAAAATGAGAAATATGTACTCAGTTATTTAGCGGCTGTTTCCGTAAAAATTTCAAGCATTTCCTATATTATTAGAATTACTATATATGACGAAGCACATGTCAGGCGCGGATCATGTAAACCTACATATACACAATGAATAAACGAGGATAATTGAAATGATGCATTGTACCTTGGAAAAGGATCTAAACCCTGTGGGAGAGGACTATCTAAGTTTTTAGAACTTGTGTCCAATCCCTTTGACATATTGTCAATAAAATATGTTCAAAACAAAACAAACCCTGTGGTTGGCGAATAAATTAGCATTGAGTGTCTAAGCAGGAGTACATGAGTTCCCGTCGATTGATATCTGCGCCAAAAGTGACAATACGAGTACTATTTTCGTGCTCCAGACCCCAGGATCATGAAACAGACTTTGACGGTAAAGTTTCCTTCTGTAATGAAATATACGGAGATAACAAACAGTATTCAAGCTCCAAAGTCCATTAAACAATACAAAATAGGAGCAGAGCAAACACGGACCTCCAAAACATCATAGGTGGGATCAGGTGCCATGGAGGAGTGATCATCCCCTGCGGACCGGTCACATCCGCCGTGTGCTCCTTGTCATGATCGGGAAATAATGGAAAAATCCGTCGACAATTCAGTGTGTAAATAATGGTCTAACAACTAGTATGAAAAACGTCAGTCAGCATTTGACTCAATGATCGACCATAGAACTTACGAAATTATCACTTTAAACGAGACTGTAAGATGCTTATTGACTGTAGAATCAAACTCAAACTTTAGAATTTACAGGAGGAATCCGATAACGCAATCCTTCAAAAAACATATTTTTCAGCTCAATATACAGATTGTGACTTACATGTAAGTCTAAGGTGTTTATAATCCTGGGACAGGACACCAAATACACCCTATATTGTCTGGTGTGATAAAAGCTGGAAATCGTTTTTTCAGACAATACCATCGCAAAATAATCAAAATTTTCATTAAAAACGACGCGATAATTTCTTTGTGTCCTGCCAGAGTATATATTTGCGAGGATCATGTACTATAGCAAGATCGCAATGTTAATACAATTCACCATCTTTGAAAGCCAGGGGTTTACAGTCCACCTCGCCTCACATAGACATCTGATGACCTAGTTTTTTTCTATCACATTTTGGTATATTTATTTATTTAATTTTATTTATATATTTAATTTTACTATTTATCTTTTCATGGGGATGAGGATTTTGTAGGATTTTACATCTTGGCACATTCAATTCGAAACAGCACAGTACACGTTATGGTTTCTTCTTATTCCTCCAGATCACCAAAGAAGAACAAAAGGACGAACATTGAATTCATGCAATGTTTAAATCCCCATTGATCTCTCCAATACCTTAATGCATAGAACTATACTTCTCTAGTCGTCCATCCCATTTTTCAGACCACGTGAGCTAAAGATCTTAACACTGCTGTCACAGAAGGAAAAGGGGAGACTATCAATACTGAATGTAAAATTCAGTGCAAAAAATTAATGTATTCACTTTACTGAAAACGTTACAGAACTTTCCAAGGCCTTGCAGTAAGTGAGTTAATTCCAGACATACACTATTTGATTAAAACTAAACAATCATACTTGCCATGACCAACCAAATCCGGATCTCAGGAAACACAAATGTTGAAGAAATTGTTGATTTCTAGAACAACGAAATATGAGGATACCGAACATAAATTAAACTAATTAAGTCCAATGAAATAATACAAATTTGTATTATTTGTAAAACCATTAGAGGTGGGATCAGGTACCATGGAGAAGTAAGCATCCCCTGTCGAACGGCCATATCCGTCGTGTGTTCTGTCATGATAGGGGGGAAATTATAAGTTTAAAGAAATGTCTTTCTGCACGATTTTTTTTTTGTCGGACGCATTAGAGGTATCAAATAGTGGATTTTTTCCCTCTCATTTTTCCACATTAAAAGGCCATTTGAGTAATTATGTTTTAATTATAGAATAGATAAACTGGTAAACGTATACGCTTTTAGTGGTTTCTAGGTTATTTATGACAATTTGATGAGAGGCTTCATTTTTTAAAGGAAATATTGGTCTGAAACCTATAAAATTGTCTTAATTAATATACTGAGTGATAATTAACCTCGTCTTACGGGGGGATTGTTTTTTTTTTATTTTCAGACACATTCTGTGGCCAAAATTATTTGTTAACACTTCTAATTCCCCTGTTTAAATTTCTTAAAGTACATCTTCCTTATCTATTACTTTTAAGGATTAGTTAAGAAAAGAAATACAAAGAGTTTTTCTTCCGGAACTTCTAAGAATCGATGTCGTCTCTTGTCGAAGATCACTTATTAAATGGCCTAAACTTCTGCATTTTCTGGAAGGTGTTTGGAACCATAGAGTATTTACAGAAATCAGACCCGTATCCTCGTCCCTCGCCAACTACAGCTGTGAACTCTGACCCCGCATCGGAGGAAGTAGTTTAACAATTTTTTTTCACGTTATGCTGCCACTTTAGGAGGCCCTTTGAGAGGGCGGTACTGGGTCTCATTATCTTAATACCTCACAGCGGCAACTCTTTGCTGCTGTGCCATTCCCTTGTTCAGAGAAGCTGTCACGTCGATTGACTAATTCATACAAATATAAACTGCCTTTGTTTACAATGACTTATACTTCTGTTTTAGTAGGTGTGATTTCACTCAGTGCTGCACGCATTATATAAGTATTCTTTCCATACTAGATTTGACGGAAGAGGCTCCCCAAAGGCGACTCAACTGAAGAGGAAGATTGAGAACTTTTGTACGATTATATTTTATCATATTGGAGAATTTCAAAACCCGGGATATAATGTTTGTTCATCCGTATTAGTCACATTCTATCTCTCCGTGACAAATCTCGGGCACATTGCCATTGCCCCCAAATTCGCCCCGTCAGAAAGCCCTTCTGTGTTCATGTAAGAAGATGCGCCTAAAACAGACTTATCCCTGTGTCTTGTTAGTGAATCTGCACTCCTTAAAGTTACATACAACAGTTTTCCATAATGGAGAGGAATCATTTATTTAGATGTAGGATTTTTACTGAGGGGATTCTATTGGTGTATTTAACTCTTCTGTGTTTCAATGAGCTTCTACGGAACCTCCATATAGGTAAGAGTTTACTGTACTTGTTATGACTAGGCGTAAGACAGAAATTGACCACCAGAGGAGCTGCCTTAAACATTGGTAGACATTTTCTGTTTTTCTATTTCATTAAGCAGTTAAAAGTTTTTTAGTCCTGTACATATGCAGACAAGTGAGTCAGAGAGCATGGTCGATACGAGGAAAATATCGGCAAAGCCCAAAAAAGGAACCACCCAAGTAAATAGCTTGTTATGCCTAACCATGCTCGTTAAAATCAGTGCTGGAGATGTAGTTAGACAATAAGTTCAGATAAATACAGACTATACATTATGTATTTATATACACTGGCAATAATGTATACAATGAACCCTATTTCAGCTGCCGCTCCAACACAAAGACACACAAAATTATTTCTGTTAAATGATTCAATGGAGGTGGAAATTCAGACTCCATGGGACGATAGGGAGAGGGAGTTCGAATCACCGGAGGTCACATTGGGGAGGAACCAATTAGAGGAGATAAAAAAGTGAGTATTCCTAGTCCATTAGCCAAAACTTGAGATACCGGATCTGGCCAAAAAATATGCACATGTACTTGCCGTGATCCTTATATGGATTAACAGAAATAAATTCTATTTGGGATATTCTATAAAACTAGAAAACTCTAAAAACTTTCTCAAAAAAGTTCAGACACAGATAGAAAACCTTTAAACACAGAAACCTGTGTAAATCAGTAAAATTATCCACCACAGCAGTAGTACAATTTTTTCATCATCAGAATTTGAACAGTATGCACATGTAGTTATTAGTTATTAATCCTTATTATGAAATCTCACAAAGAAGAAATTATTGATCTGAGATATTTGTTGCTCAGAGGATATTTTTCCATGTATCGGTGCCTCACCCACCTCACTGGTAGGATATCTGAATTTGGGAGGATAAAATTATATGCACATGAAGTGGTGAAATGATATTTTCATCTAGTTTTGAAGATACAGCAATACAGAGAGAGTATGTTAGGTTGTATTGTAAGATTAATTTGTTGAGTCGTCTTTAAACAAATGTTCACATTCTGTGAACCCCCATCATGTTAAAAATTAACAATACCTACAACAAATGTGTTTCCATGTTTAACAAACTTAATATTGGGAATGTAAAAGAAATAACATTGTGTCACTTTGTTTATAAATATTACGGTATGAAAACCCAGTAGATGTACAGTCAAAAGTACGGAAATCTCCCACTCCTAATATGACCTACTTAATCAAAATATTCCCCTTCTAGGTTCTCCTTTTTTCCTCTGAACAAATGTTGACCCATAGAGAGATGCATTTAAAATCAAAAGAGTGTAAAGAAAGGGTAAGGAGGTTTAGAATATAAAACCGATCCCTGAAAATTATTTCTATCTTTAGCGTCCAATGACTAAGGACTTTTCTTTTTTCTAATAAGGAAAGGGTAAGACTTTGATGAAATACATGTAGATATTATCACTAAAGCATCCTATTGTATTTAAGAAAACAGAACATTTTATTGTTTATCAGTCCTCCTCCCACTGTACACAGTTACTTATTTGTAATTTCACTCCGGAAATTAACAGTCAACACAACACTCCTTGCTCTGTCCTACCAGATTGTTTTATTCATAAAACACGATCAAAGATTCACTAAGGGAACACGTTTTAAAATGTACTCATTGACTTCATGTTTCATTGAATTATATATTTTTGTTTCAAGTGAACTTCCGGTAACGTCGAAAGAGGTCAAAGAAAGCCACTCAAACGCAATTCAGGAGAGGTCAGCTCCAGGTATCAGGGTGACGTCATTAACCTCGAATCAAAACTTGTCACTGTAACCTTGATATTACAATAAAGGTACAAAAATTAGAGGCAAATCATTGAATTATATGCTTGTTTCCAATTTATTACAATGGTTTCTATTTAACAGATAAATGTAAGTTTTTGAAGAAGATCGGAGATATGTCTCTTAAAGGTGCACCGACATTTAGTCTGGCAATTTTGCCGAAAAATGGTGAGGACTTTTTTTGCATTTTTAAGCTATGAAGTAAAATACACATTAAATTCCATGAAGTATTGAGCATGGATATGTATAACAACTTTAATATTGTAACATGTTAATTACCTTAAAAAAAAGTTAATTCTAACTATGGTGTCTTAAAGATGTATTAATCTGAGCTGTTAACCAAATTTTTCTGTACTTCTGTTGTTTTATTCATCAAAATGGGCATTTTTTTCCACTAACCCCTTAAATCATATTTTGATTTCTTTTAAATTTTGATAGATTTCTTTTTATATATTAAATTCTTTAGGAGATTGGTTTTTTTTAGAAACTTAAATTTGTCATTCAAGTCTAACAAAAATCCCAAGAAGTCTGCTTTCCGGCCATATCTTCAATGTCTTGTTTCTCAAAAATCTGCTTTCTTGTATCAGTTATTTTTTCTTGTTTTGTTTTAAATAATGAATATATTGATTCGAAGTTGAAAATAAATAAAAACTATGATTACAGTCTGTATTGCTTTATTTTACAGTGGTCATCATTATACAAAGTTACCCCAAAAATGAATCCTTACGGTATCTTTGTGGTATGTGCTTACTAGAGTCACATATAATTAACTTTACATTGATTATTGAATTATAATTCTTTGACAAAACGATAGGAACTTTAGATGTTTCAGAGAATTTATAGTCGCTTAGTCTGTCTGTCTCTTCATCCATGACAATCTAGAACTCTAACCTTGATCAAAACTTTTGAAGTAAACATCTTGATCCAAGGTCATTTGCCTAAGTACATAAGCGTTGGATGTGCTAAATTAACATGTCAATAACTATGATGAAAAATGTTTAGAAGTTCAATCATTGACAATGATAAATTTATGGTCAGAAATTTATTCATTAATATTTACCCTGACTAAATTACACCAGCACAAAGATAATGTCATTTTTGTTTCCATTACATCTGAGCTATGGTGTAATTTTTTATCTGTTGTTCTCTAATTATAGCGAGAGGAGCTCGAAGCGCTGCTCGCGAGGCGAGCTCAATAGACTAACGTGTAGGAACAGAGGAAATTCGGAATGAAATCTGTACATACGTTAGGCAAATTTTCTTTTGAAACATTCCCAGAATTCCTTCGCTACCAGGGTTTCATGCGAAATTATAACAAAATATACAGAAGACCAAGGATAATTGTTCCATACGAAGAGATAAGTTTGCACTTTTCTTTCTTTGCAGAGAGCTTAAAAGAAATAAAAAAAAATTGCATCTACTCTACAACGTATTTCATTAAATATTGCGTATGGTTCAACCATTTTTGTGTCTATATTGTTGGTATCCTATAGATTGATTGATTGATTCTATGTTGTTTTACGTCCCGTTCGAGAATTTTTCACTCATTTAGAGACGTCACTAAATACCGGTGAAGGGCTTCAAATTTAGACCTTTTCTCGGCACTCAGGGCCATTGAGGACTGAGGGTTCTTGATTGTGCCAACCCCTACCGTGACACGGGGCCTCGGATTTTAAGGTCTCATCCGAAGGACCCGCAACTTTCACAGTTTCAAAGTGCCGAGCGCTTGGCGAAGGAATAGTTGCTGCCTATTTTTTATCGACTTAAGTTGGTTGCGGTCGTGATTCGAACACACGACATTCTGATCATGGAGCAAGCGCTCTACCAACTGAGCTACCGTGCCGTGAGGGTCGGTATCCTATTGAGAAAGATAATAGCAAAGTGTGTGACTATATTTTAAAATATATAATATGTATATTTGTGAACAAAAATAGCATCTACACATTATAGAAAAGCAATATTTAGGAAAAAAAATATTTTTTTTTATTTTATTTAAGCAAATGGAACACTTTCTGCTGATCCCGCTAACTTCTCTTCCGCCGAGAGTTCGTGTTCCCTTCGGAACATCACGAAAGTGAATCTTGATTATTTTAGCAATATCAGCATCAGCGATCCCTGCTGGATACAGAGCGAGACTATAGACAGAGAAGGTCTGAAATATTATGATTCTGTGTGAAAAATTCAATTATGTACATGTACATTGACCTTTGATTTTCTTTGAGCATCTGTTTTAAAACTCATTTAGTCCTTTGCATTTGATTAGTTTTGTTTGTAATTTGTAAACGTTTCTAAAGAAGACAAACTACTTGATGTGTATACAAATAGAGAATTTATCAAGTACAGTCTCTTTACATGAGCATTTAAAGGAGACATTGCTTAAAATGTGATAAACAATTAATACATTAGTTTTAGCAATTTTATTAGGATGCTATATTGTTTTTCTTATGTGATTGATAAAAAAAAATGTAATATTGCTTTTCAAGCAGTTACAAATATAAAACAAAGTAGAGCCTGAATACGTCTTTCATAATAATTACAGTTACTCTTGATTGAAAAATATTATTAAGACTTTAATTAGAGGAATAGAGGATGTAATCGGAATTTCCAAAGATTAGGGTTAGGGGGGTCACAATTGGGATAAAAGTTTTACATAGGAATATATAATAGAAAAAAATCTGTTGATGAAAAACAGCAGGTTCGTATTGACTCAGGTGAGCCATGGGCCTCTTGTTGAAATTGTGTTCTTTATTTTTGCATTCATTTAAAAATAAAACGAAAAACATGACTGGCATTCAGCGTTTGACCATAGTCTATGATATAGAAGAGCGTGGTAGGGCAGCTGGTATGATGTCTGCAAGGTGTTCCTCTGGGGATGTTTGTTTAAAGATGGAGCAGTCTGAAAAATGTTTTTTTTTTATTGGTTGAAAAGTACTAGAGTAAGGAATATACCGCTTCGCGGATTATAAAGCGTAAACTGACCCAAACCAGGTTATACTCGAATAATTTGTCAGGAATTATAGCCATTCCTAAAATAAACTAAACTTAACATATGTCCTTCTTTACTTGACAGCGTTGCTATTCTACAATTATGAGATGAGTACAGAAGAGGGTTCATGTTATAAAATAAACCGCGAGGAAAAGACAACAACAGCTGCTACAGGTGGGAGTACGTTAAATACAACTAAATATTGTCATTTAATCCGACTCGATATTGTCATTAAATCAATCTCAATATAATCACTGAGTCAACCTCGATATTGTCATTGAATCACCTCAATATTGTCATTGAATCACCTCAATATTGTCATTGAATCAACCTCGATATTGTCATTGAATCACCTCAATATTGTCATTTAATGCGAACTCAATATTGTTATAAAATCCGACTCAATGTCGTCACTGAATCTTCCTCAATATTGTCTTTAAACTGAATCAATATTGTCACTGAATCTTAAATCTTATTTGTCATTAAGGAGGGGTTCTTGTCTGGTTTCTGACTAGATGAAATATTCAAAGTATATTTGCTTATATGTCTTATATATTTAGATGTAAGAGATTTATAAAATCATATTTTTCTTTCCTCATCATAGTTGTACAACTTTAAATAGAAATGATGAACTGAGTTTGAAATCTAGCAGGGACTATATTTTTGGCGGAACGACAGCGTATGAAAATATCTCCTTTTCTGCTTCTCAAATTTACTATACTAATAGAACAATGAGTTTAGTTTAAAAAATTTAACAATCAGAGACTTAAAAAATTCAAATGTAAAATTAATATTAAAGGACTGAAGTTTTAAAATATATCAAATAAATATGATTATCCAAATAAACAACAATTTTTTAACCTTTAAAAGGCTTCCAATCTAAGTACAGATTTGAGCAAAAATCCGTAAAAAAGAGTTTTTTCTCTCTTACTAAACGGTCAACACTTTTTGTTTTTGTATCAATTTGTATCTTTAAATGACTATTTTACCATTTGTGAAAATAAGAAAAATTTAAATATACGAAGCATATAAAAATAACTAATATATCCTAAAAATTTAACAAAAATAGAGGAAATTCGGATTAGCCAATATCTATTTTAGTTGAATTATTCATCTCGATTTGGTAGTATCATCTGAAAGACCCTATATGCTAATATATTTTTATGCAAAAAGAAAAACATTTAAACTTTTGAAATAGAAGTAGGCATCGTATGATGACAGCATTAATTTTTTATTTTTAATGTGAAGGAAAAGCATAATGACCTTGACCTGACCTTGCTTCTAAAATAAAACGGCCAGATTTAATCTAATTGATACCATCACTTAGTGACAATGTCTTGTCTTCTTGAGTCTATAAAAATTTCATTAATTTTTAAATACAAGAAATATGAGAAGAATCCCTCAGTTGAGCTTCTCTGTTCCCATTTTGCCTTTATTCTGTCCTGCTGTTTTCCTTCCAACTATAAATGTTTAACATTTCGACTTCCTCTCCAGAAACCCACTGAAGCAATATCATCCAAACAAAGCATTATTGGGAAAAGGAGATTCTAAGTTATTCAAATGAAGGATCATGTCCTCTGTATGGAAAGGGGAGATTATTAAAGATAGAGTGGATATCTTTAAAATCTTTTGAGAAGTACAGGACCAAAAAAGATGAAATTTTCTGACATAGTGTAGATTAAAGTTTGTTCAAATCATGACCCCTGGTGGCAGGTGGGGCCACAATCCGATGAACAAAGTAATATATCAATTTGCAAGCATTCTCAGGTAGTGCACATTTAAGTTTGTTCAAATCATGCCCACCCACCCGGGGAGAGAGGGAGGGTTAGGGTGCAGCCACAACAGTGGATCAAAATTTAACAAAAAATATACTGCATAGGAAATCAAAATATATATTCAGAAATTAGCAGGATGACATTCATATTGATCTATTTACATTTGCCGATGTCTTTCCTTATATGACAATACTAATTAAATTGAAATTCAATTTTCAATGACATGCAGTTGGTCACATGATCAGACTTTTTTTGCGTATGGAAAGCAAATTGCACGAGCCATTTGGAAAGTTCAAATTGTGACGTCACATGACGTCGTAGATAAGATATATGTTGCATTTTCATAACAAAGTCTAAATAGTGCCAATTTTTCCTTGTAACGCGAATAAAAAAGAAAAAATATAAATATAAGAAATAAGGTACCCTTTGGGCGTTATAGAATTTGATCACGTGACCGACTTCATGTCATATCCCAATGAAACTCTAAAAAACGATATCGTATTTCTTAAATGCAAACATTCTTTGAATAAGTTGTGCGGATTCAAATTTTAAAACCTGGGGTCAGGATGGGCATGAACTGGGAGTCAAATGTATTGTAAAAATCTTCTTTAGAGTCATGACTGGCAAGGCCATGTTAGTTATAATGCATATGCATGTTATGTGGATTAAATTTCAGTTAAATCAAACCCTCTTGGGGCTAAGGTGGGGTAACAATATGGGGTCAACATTTTTACGGGAACAACATTCAATTTAAAAACTCTAAAGAACACTAAGGCCAGGCAGTTAGTCATATTGATGCATCCCTTGTCCATTGTTATCTTGATTAAAATTCTGTTAAACTGGCTTTCAGCTCCGGTGAGCCGAAACCAGAGAGGAAATACTATGATATCAAAGAAAGACTAGTAGGGGCACAATACATGTATCTTATGATAGCCAGTAAAATGCATTGAAGCACAAATCAATGGTGAATGACATTGATTAGAGAGAGTTACATATCCCATATCTGATTTTTTTTTAATTGGAAACATCAAGATAACATCCATTTTCAGATTTGTTTCTACGCAAGACGATTCGTTTCACAAGTTTCCAAAACTTTTCTGTACAAATCAAGCCTTGCTGTGATGTGTCGTCTACTGCAGATTCTACAACAGTTGACCCCGGCACCACACCCAAAGGTAAACAACACCACCCTACAGTCATAACCACCACCAAATCAACAGGTAAACACGCCGCTAACACAACTTCGGGACTTAAAAATTAAAAATAATATTTCAGACGGTCTACCTGTTTTTAATATTTTTTTTAATTTTTTTTTTACAGACAATTCAAAAGCAGGTAACGCCATTAAGATACTGCTAATATTCATAGGCGCCATATTTGCTGTTTTATGTCTCTTTTTCCTGTGCTGTAAATTTTGCTGCACCCCAAAACGGTTTGTTTTACTTTATTCTATTTCATTACCTACAGATTTTTCAATCAAAAAATGATTTTATATTTGCATATACTCATTTTTTTTGTGTGCGTATAGGCGTCCTTCGTATAAGGTGGAATACGCAGATCCAAGTGACGTCATTGCATCCAGCAGTGGAGCAGAATATTCTACGCCGTATGACACGTGTAAAGCGAGAAATAAGGTAGTCAAGGTGACTGCTAAAGCCAAGGGAGCGGGTAAAAACAAAGTTTCACTTAGAAAGAAATTAAGTCAGAGATTCAGTTCTTCTAGACCAAGAGGGAGAAGGCGCGACAATGATTCGGGATTTAGTGATCTTCTAGAGAGTGACGTAAGCAAAGTGTCAGGAAAGGAGGATCAAATGGAAAGTAAAGAGGCCCAGTATATGGAGATTCCTTTGACAAATTTGAATGTAACGAAATCATTGAGCAACCCCTCGTACACATTAGTCGACGGAAAACCCAATGGCAGGGGAGATAATGACAAAAAGGAGTCTGGTGTTCGATTTACTTTACCGATGAGTGGGCTCAAGGAAAAACAAAAATTATGTTCAACCTCACAGAGACAAGAAAATGCAGACGCCCCCTATGAATCATTACCAGACAAATATAAAAGCAACGAAGCTTGTAAAATGAGTACTGAGGAGACAAATTTAACGGAAAATCCATACGCTGTTCCAGATTGCGACAAAAAAAGCCCTACTCCATCCAAACCACCGGAAACGGATAAATCACGAGACAGTCCTTACTCGGAAATAAAACACGTGTTTTCCATCGAGGGAGACACTAAAGTGAAAAGGTTTATAAAGGCTATGGGGGAGGGGGAGAACCCCTACATGTGATGATACAATGCACTTTACGAGTTTACTAAGCAAGATCTTATGGAAGGGAATAACAGGCGGTGACAGGGTATTAAGATCATAGTGTCAGAGCTGGTTTAGAGACAAACCATAAAGGTTGTTCGCAACACGGTTATCGTTTACATGTTTACGAAGTATTTTACAGCATTTTTAAAATGTCAGAGCGCCACCATGTAAGATACAGAAAGTTGAAAAAGGAAGGTTTTAGGGATTTTATGTACATGCACAATTGTATTTTTCATTTGTTATTTATTTTACAAACTAGTCTTCATTTTCCTTATGTTTGAGGCATTAACTTGTTATTTATAAAGTATATAATTCGGTTGTTTTGAATTCATTAATTTTGTAAGTTATATACGGGTTATACAAATTCTTAAGAATTATAAGATATGGTGGATATGTTTTTAACCAGTTTCAAGTTCCTGGGAAAGTCGTGCAAAATCAATTTGAATCTAATCATTGAAGATTGATTGATAAGTAGTTTTAGAATTTGGCATCACATAAATTTAAGACATCGTTGCAAGCCACAGTTAAGGAAACGCCTTTAACTTTGTGGTATCATAAATTTCGGGAAAACTTTTTTGTTCGTATTTGTGCATTCATGTCCGGTGCATTTGAAATATTCCTCACTCAGAATTAAAGGACGCGATGGAAATGATAAAGAAATGTTTCTGAAAAAAAAAATCAGCGAATTGTTACGTGTTTCAGTATATACTCTAATGGCTAACCAAACAAATTGAGTTTTTATGTTTAGTAGTTTATAGCTCAGCAGTCATACCCGAACAAGCTACAACCACAAAACTCAAAAAGTTCTCATTTTGCTGTATAAATGATGCATACAATTTTCAAGGTTCCACATGCAAATTCTCATTTTTGAATTATAGACATTGGTAAATCGTATTTATTCATAGCCGTTTCAAACTTATATCACCTGCATATGTCTAGTTTCCCAGGTGATTCGGTACACAAGAGCATGTTCTGAGTATGATCATATTTAAAACCGAGGCAAGCTACTCACAAATAAGTTGATGTAACAGGGTTTTTTTTTTAAATCTTATTTAAAGTCAGCCTCTTGAAAATTCTATGGTCGTTATAAAGACTTTGTTTGCAAATACAATCTATCGGATCTTACCTTATTCAAAGAATGAAGGTCACAATTGTGATCGAGAATATAAAACCCTAATTCAGTTTACAATCCATAGCAATTCAATTGTACAACGATCAATTTATAAACCATAGCAATGCAATTGTAGGTTCAAATTATAATTGTATAAGGATCGGTGCCTATTTTTATATAGCCTAAAGTTTATCAACATAAATCTACTTACTTTTACAATTGATCTTTTTTCTTTGGTGATTGTGACTATCTCCGAGCACGTGCCCTGCGTAATGCCTGTACATTTTGCTCGGAATCTCAATATTCTTCGATCTTATGAACGAACAAAGTGCGTTCCAAACACATTAAGAACAAAGATAATGCCAATTTCGGGAATTTTTTCTTTGATAAAATTGACTCTTAATATTCGAGTTGACAAAGCAACAAAAAATTATAATTAAGAACGAATTATGTTTGGCTGAAAGCAGGCAGTAGAATTTTAAAAATTATCGACACTAGTTTTTAGAAGTGTCAAGCTTATTTCAAAAAAACAATTTGTTTCAAAAGGAACCAGGACAGAAATCTGTAGAAATATCATGATTAATATACATAGAAAAGTCAACTAGTTACAAAACGAGTGTAAACTGACAAATGCTATCAATTTAAAATAAGATTGTTAGAGATAAGTTTAAATTGATACATTTCAAATTTGCAACAAAAGAAATACGAGGTGTTCCTCTATACACTAAAGAATACAATAGAACGGATGCAGAGAGTCCAGAACACTACAGCTCGTCTAGTTACAAGATTATCGCAACGGGAGCACATTATTCCTATTCTAGCAGATCGTCATTGGCTACCTGTTTATTTAATTTCGGCCACAATATAAAATATTGACATATGTCCACCAATCAATACACGGGTTAGCTCCATCTTATATCGAGGATCTTATAATTGAAAACAAGCCCGCCAGATCACTGCGATCTGAGTCAATATCGCGGTAAGTTATTCCAAAAATCAGGACAAAGACATCTGGTGAACGTCGGCTCACTTGGGCAGCAGCGTTTTTTATTTTTTTTATTTTTTTTTTTTTATTTATTATTATTTTTTTTTTTGGAACGACCTTCCTAATGACATAAAACAGGCCCAGTCCCTGGACATTTTTGAAAGACATTCAAAGACACATTTTTTATAGAATAGCTTCTTAAATTCTTGGCGCACAAAGAACGAGGGCGCTTTTGATTGGCATTCGGCAGGAATCTGGGCGCACTTGAAAAGTGAAAATTTCATTGATCTGTCACATGAAATTTTAGCATTCTTTTGATGTATCGGGTTCCTGTGAAATTGAAAAAGTTAAATATTTTCCCGATATTGTATTTTGATTTGCTAAAAAAGAACTTGAAAGTTGGCTAGATGAGTCATTTGGTACAAAATGTTACATTTTTAAACATGTTTTTCTAAAAAAAAAAATTGCTATCTCTGGGTCATCTCTCCATGATTTTGAAACGTTATTTGTGTGCATTTTAATTCAAAGAAACTAACAAACATTTGTAAAAAATGGAGAGAAGACCCAGAGACGATAAAAAATGAACTTTTTCCAAAAAAATCCAATGTGTAAATGCGGTGCTTCATTGTCGCTTTAAAAACCTTAGTGTGTGGCGGTGATAGCTCAGTAGCATGCGTTACCCGTCCAGTGCAATAAAAAAGAAATATTTTTGGATCGAACCTCGCATGGAGCGTTAATAGTTTTTTTTAGTACAAACAATCAATTCTTTTGTCAGTTTAATTTTATGAACTGATTTATTTTCAAATAGATAAATTCTGGTTCTGTTGCACCGAAAGCGAAAGCAATTCTTCCAACCTACTAATACTTTAATATATACAAGTATGTACTTGTAATCGCATTTAACTATACCCTATATGTGTTTATTATTTATGTGAAGCGTTACTAAGTTTTAGATGTAGTAATTATTAAGATAAGCGGACTGATATATTAAATTTGGCAAAGTATTTCAAACTAAATGTAACATTTTCCCATGTGCGTAACTTTGTAAAGTATGTCCAGCTGTGGTCAACCTACCAAATCGTAGACATTTAAACTAGAAATGTTTCGTACGTCTTATTCCTGCAGATCACACGCCAAACATGCCCAACTTCTTTTAGCAAAAAATATCAAAAGACGTTCTCCTATTCACAGTTTTTTAATGAAGTAATTTTCTGTATGTAACTTTAGAATTTTAATGTTATAATTTCTAACACACATATGTAAAATTATTATTAAATTATGTTTATTTGCGTTTTATTGTACAGCACTTTAAAGTAATTTTATTAATATTTATCGCTTTATAAATTCATTTTATTATTTTTTATTGTTATCCAACACGGTCGATCAACATTTAAGATCAAATAACATCTCCCTACTTCACTTTTTCCGTTATAAACACTACAAAGATCGAAGGGTGTGATCCATATAACCTTCAAGACAAGTCAATTTTTATTTCGATGCACAATGTTCCTCAACGAACTATCATTGCTAATACAGGACCGTACGGTAAAATTTTGCCAGGATATAAAAAAAGAATAGAAAACAAACTTAATTTACGGTTGTGCTTCCCTCAATAAATTTGCCAGCATATACGATTCAATAGAAAACAAATTCAAAGAATTGTGGTCCCCCGCTTTTGTTGTCTTGGTAGTTGGGGTGCCGTTTTTATGGCACGTTGTAACTGTTTTGTTTGCGTGTCTTGTCTTCTCTGTCAATCAAACAAACAAGATATAGATTATTGAATTAATAAAAATTATGGCAACGATTAAAGGTTCCTCTAGGCCAAGTTCATGAGGTCAAATATCATGATACAATCGAAAGGTCTTGTCACAAGTATTATGCACATTTGAAAAAAAAATATATGAAAGCCCCGTCTTTTCTGGAGTAAAAGTTATGACCAAAGGTAAAAGTTTTGATAAGTAGGTCAAATTTTAAGGTCAAGTTCCTAACCCAAAATTGATATACGTTTCTGAAAGGTGTTGTCATAGGTTATGTTCACGTATATTTTATCTAAAAATCAAAACTACATCTTCTTTCATTCAAAAGTTTTAACCATTGTTAAAAATTATTGTAAAAGACTGTAGTTTAAACTTTAATCAAGGTCACGAGGTCAAAAGCCCGAGTATATTCAGAAAAATCTTGAAACAAGTATGTAATGCACGTGACAAATATAAATGCCATATCTTTTCTCATTCAAAAGTTATCAAAAATGTTAAATTCTTTTAAACTTCAATGTTACGCTTATAGGGTTCAAAATCATACTACATTTGGTAACATCGTTTCACAGGTAATGAACATGTCAAATATGAATGCCCCATCTTCTCTCCTTCAGCAGTAATAACAACATTTTTGAAAATATGTCAAAGTTCAAGGTCATGGCGTCAAATATCATAGCGTCATAGCACATCGGAAACTTATTTTCATAGGTAATGCACGTGTCAACCTTTCTCATTCAAAAGCTAATCACCAATGTTTTTTTATTTAAATCAGGTATAATTTCAAGCTCAAGGTGTCAAAAATTCATAGCATGTTCGAGACGTCAAGTCACAAGTAATGCGCGTCAAATATGAATGCCTTGTCTTAAGGATATGTGAACCTGAAATAAAAGTAATTGGAAAGTTAAAAAATAGGTTCCGTTGCATAGAGGACAAGTCCCTTGTTCAAATAACAACAATTCTGATATATGTACATGAGTTGGTTTCCATGGCAACAGCCTCTGAACTTGCCCTTGTTTAAAAAGATTAAAGCTATGAAGAAAAGTCTACTGTAATTAATTAAAGATAAAAAAAATCTCATAAATTATGATTAGAATTTAATCTTATGCAGTTATCTTAAAGACTTATGAATGAGCATAATGTAGTAAAGCTTTTTTATAGGTGTCATATTCAGAGAGCAGACAATCACAGTCTGAATTTCCTCTGTCCTCTTAAAAATTGACTATTTTTCCTTGACCTCGTCTTCAAAAAAGGATATAAAATCACATTGGCTATAATTAAAAACTTAATTTCTAAATTCCATTTTAAAGCAGTGTTATAGAGCTATGTAACAGAGGAAAAAAATTGGTATGTACATGTGTCAGAAAAAAAGATATGGTAATCTGAATTGTCTCTGACCTCTTTTAAAAAATTACTTCTGATGCATGATTATCTGTAATAAAGGCAATAAAATGGAAACAAAATATAAGAAGAAGTAGTTATTTGCAAATATATAAAAGGTCTGTGGACACCTTTTATTGATCTAAGCTTTTTTTTCATAGCTATCATATTTAAATAGCTCACAATCACAGTCTGAATTTCCTCTGCACTCTTAAACTTTGACTATTTTTCCTTGACCTTGACTATAAAAAAGGATATAAAATCACATTGGCTATAATTAAAAACTTAATTTCTAAATTCCATTTTAAAGTAGTGTTATAGAACTAAGTAATAAAGGGAAAAAATGGTATGTACATGAGTCAGAAAAAAAGATATGGTAATCTGAATTGTCTCTGACCTCTTTTAAAAAAATACTTCCGATGCACGATTATCTGTAATAAAGGCAATAAAATGGAAACAAAATATAAGAAGAAGTAGTTATTTGCAAATATATAAAAGGCCTGTGGACACCTTTTATTGATCTAAGCTTTTTTCATAGCTATCATATTTAAATAGCTCACAATCACAGTCTGAATTTCCTCTGCCCTCTTTAAATTTGACTATTTTTCCTTGACCTTGACTTCAAAAAAGGATATAAAATCACATTGGCTATAATCAAAAACTTAATTTCTAAATTCCATTTTAAAGTAGTGTTATAGAACTAAGTAATAAAGGGAAAAAATGGTATGTACATGAGTCAGAAAAAAAGATATGGTAATCTGAATTGTCTCTGACCTCTTTTAAAAAAATACTTCTGATGCATGATTTTCTGTAATAAAGGCAATAAAATGGAAACAAAATATAAGAAGAAGTAGTTATTTGCAAATATATAAAAGGCCTGTGGACACCTTTTATTGATCTAAGCTTTTTTCATAGCTATCATATTTAAATAGCTCACAATCACAGTCTGAATTTCCTCTGCCCTCTTTAAATTTGACTATATTTCCTTGCCCTTGACTACAAAAAAGGTTATAAAATCACACTTGGTATAATTGAATATTTTATTTTTCAACTTCATTTTAAAGAAGTGATATATAGCTATGTAACAGAGGAAAAAAATTGGTATGTACATGAATCGGAAAAAAAGATATGGTAACCTGAATTTTCTCTAACTTTTTTTAAAAACTGATTCCTAAAGCACATTTATCTGTGTTGATGTATAAAAAATCAAACAAAAAAATTATTTTATTTGATTTTAAATATATTACTATCTTGAAATAAAACTAAAAATCATGCATATAAAGAAAATTATGAATCGGTCTTTAATAATTAAGATAATTATCACCCCGATTTCCTATTTTCCTTTAAACATTACTTTTTTATTCTGAATGATGGCAGAAAAAATGAACAATAAATTCCCATTAAATATCTATACAAGGAACTTTTAACCATTGAATGTACAATGTATTAGAATATAGGACAAAAGGATCTAAATCCTATATAAAAGTAGTGTATTTTCATAATCTAATTCCCCAAAAATTGCAGTCCGAATTTCCTCTGTTTAAACTCACATTAACACTTATAAGCATTATCTGATACAAATGACATATTTTTGCATAATCTAATTGGAAATAGTATCAAAATGTACAACATATAACGATAACAATCACCAGTTTAAATTATCCCTGTTAAAAAGTTTGAGCAATAACTGTTAGTTCTGTTTATACAAAATGATTTCTTTAACCTTGACAAAAGTTTCTACACACTTCTAGTAAGGCTAGCTTCTATGACATAGTGAATCTTTTTTATCTTTCCTTTCCTTTTCAACTGCAAGCTTTTTTGGGCCACGAACTTTGCTGAAATATTAATAACTGCAGGTGAAGGTCTTTTGAAGTAAACATTTCAGTCTTTGGTGACAGAGGCAAAACAGTGTGATTCTTAGCCTGAAAATAAAATCCATTTTAGTGTTAACCTTCAAATGATAAGTGGACATGGATATATAGAGGATATCTATATTGTGTGATTTGATATTTGCTTTATCCAATGAGTTGAATGGTGTATATTCGCAAGGCTTGCCAATATATTCCAACTACAACTTAACTGCTAGATCTAACATTTCCTATGAGAGCAATTGTGTGTGTGTGGGTGTGTGGGTGTGGGTGGGTGTGGGTGTGTGTGTGTGGGGGGGGGGGGGGGGGGGGGGGGTTACATCCTTTATCGCTGTAGCCAGTACATTGATAAATTTTGACATTTCATTGAAGTGTAATTAGTTTTTTTGTCATTTTTAATGAACATTTTTGCTCATCAGCATTCATTTGATAACACAGAACTTTCACAATTAGAAGATTTGATAAGTCTACATCTTGAAGCGAGGCCTAGGGATTGTGTCGAAACTGGAAGACGTGCTATTGATAAAGCACATACCCGTGGATACAGCATAGGTTTATCTTATGGGTGTATATATATATATATATATATATATATATATATATATATATATATATATATATATAAATATATATATATATATAAAAAGCACTAAAAACCAACAACACTGTATATCCTAAGTGTCGGATCTACTAAGTAGATACAAGGTCACGGATGGAAATTTATATAAAGCACTAAAAATGACCAACGACAATTATTATTGTTCGTGTCGTTGGTCATTTTTAGTGCTTTATATATATATATATATATATATATATATATATATATATATATATATATTATATATATATATATATATATATATATATATACAAGTAAAATTGTAAATACAGTCAAACCTCATTATCTCGAACTAGATGGGACTGAGAAAAAACTTCGAGATATCCGAGCATTCAAGATATAAGGGGTAAAATACTTTAAGGATAAGTAGTTGGGACTACCTAATCACTTCGACATATCCATGGTATTCAAGATATCAGTGTTCGAGATATCAAAGTTAAACTGTATATAATACCTATTTAAAATTTACTACATTACTATATAACATTTTAATAATTTGACACCTTTCCAGTTATTTATGAAATATGACTACTAGTCTAATGAGGCTTCAAAAAGTTATATTTTTAAAAATTCTATTATCATGCTAGCAAGTTAAAGGAGGACCTTTTGATTTTGAGGGCAGATTTTGGAAATAATCTGACCTAGAAGATGTTAATAAAATAAAAAAATTCTTCTCCACTGTGAATATTTTTTTCTTTTGTCTAATTTATTCCAGTGAAAATAAAATAATAATCTTGCTGTCATAATTTGTCTTTGGTAAGCTGGGAAATAAAAACATTTTGTCCTTATTGAAGGCCAGAAAATATATTACCCCCCCCCCCCCCCATCACCACCACCACCAGAATTGAATGCATAGTGAACCCATTTTTTTTTATTTTAATAAAATTAATTCATTCCTACCTATCCCATTGGTTGCAACACAATAGAAATCTTTTAATGCATCTGGATCCATAGGAACATGCTGCTAAGAGTTGAATAAGGTGAGAGATTTTGACTGCTGACCTACATTGTTCATATTTCTCCTTGATACCTGTACAAAAAACAAATCAGTCACAAATATATTCAATTTACAAGTAAATTTTATAGATATTCTTTGAATATGTACAATCAATGTCAATTAGTTATTACCGGTAGTAAGTAAATAATTTCATAGAACAGTTACATCATTTAAAGCAGTATAATTATTCATTTGCTAAAATTTATTTTAGTAGAGATCCAAAGCCATATAGGTCTTGAAGTTAAATTGTTTGCAAATGATTGAATGGCAAATGGATATTTAATGTTTAATCAGACCTTTGTTTGTCATAATGCCCAGCAATCTTCCATAATCTGTAATCTCACATTGTTTTGGGAATTATCTCTCTCTAAAACATCTTCCTTCCTTTATCTGAAATTGATATAATAATAAAAAGTGCTAATTATTATTTATTAAAATTTTCATACAATTCCAAAATTCTAAAAGAATTATGCAGCATATAAGCATCCATAACCAACAACAAAGACTAATGAATGAATGTGTAAAGTCACCACAGTGTTCAAGCTCACTCAAGAAAAGGAGTCCTGTTCTTTTGAAATAAGAATAAAATTGGTCAATTTGTTGTCTTAAAAAAAATTATGAACACTTTTTGATCAAGTCTTTTTTTCCCCACATTACTTCATTTCTTAGGCTAAGTACATAACCCATCATTTTTTAATAAGTCATATCTTGTATTGCACAGACATGCATCATACTGAATTGTTTATCATTAAGTTTGTCACTTGGCTAGTGAAGTGTAATTTGATAGTTTGACTCTAGTAAACAAAAAGTAATTACAATGTTTATCTTAGAAATGTCACTTCAGACTATATTATAATTCCATATTCATAAATGAAGGAAAATTTTGACCCCACTAAGAATTAAAAGACTTTAAAGCAACCCCAAGAGGTAAATATTTTATGCAACTTGTATATTTTCAAGTCTGAAAAACACAGGTACAAAATATCTGGCACCAAATATCATACTCAGAGGTCACTGATGTCATGCTAGATGTTTATTTTTCCCATCTTTTTGAATTTATGAGCGAGATATCTATATATATGAAACTGTATAGGAAAATTTGGCAGATTTTCTGCAATTTTAAATTAAAGCTTAAATTAAAAAGTTTAAACTGACGTGAATGATGTAAATCCCGGTTAGTAAGAAAATGAATGTCGATGGTGCTATAATGATATTAATTACAACCAAAGAATAAGTATATAAGGTGTGAAGTTATCATTCTGTTTCAGTGTTTGGTGCATGTTTATTCTGCTGTTTATTTTTACTAACCTGAAACCATGTAGTGCATCATGATACTGTATTCAGAGGTGACATCGCTTGGGAAGTTGTTGCACGAAACCTAACAGCATCAATCTCTATATTTCTTGCCTAAATATAATCCTTTACTGGAATATATACTGTGTTTTCCGTGCAAATGTATCGTGGCGTCCCTCTCTACCGACATGGTGTCGCAAAACGGCAAGGGTATGTCGTAAATGCTCCGAGGTCGGAAGAACAAGCAAAAAGCAAAAATTTATGAAAAACATGCAATATTAATTTAATTTGACTTTATTTCACAAGGAATTCGGTGTTTACGATCCTTTAGAATAGTTTAATAGCAAAACCACGTATGATCACGACATTGACCTGATCTTCAGCAGTTCGAGTTGCGCGGTAGGTTCAAAATCGTCAGGTTCACATATCCTTAAGTCACAAGTAATGCGCGTCAAATATGAATGCCTTGTCTTCTCTCATTCAAAAGTTATAACCAATATTGAAATTTCTGAAAAGGTCAAATTTCAAGGTAAAGGTCAGGCGATCAAAAATCATATTATATTTGAAAAGATCTTATCACAGGTTGTGTACACATGAAATATAAAACCCCTTATACTTAGATCTTTTCTCATTCAAAAGTTATGAGCAAGGTTAAGTTTTGTAACAGACGAATGAGATTTAATGTCCCTCGCCTTCGCGAAGGACAATAAACAAGTTTTATTGTTGTGCCTCCTCAAAAGTAATGTCTGGTACCTTTTTGGGGAGGGGGCTTGTCAAGGAATTGTTGTTAGGCGGTAGGTGGTCCCTTCCCCAACTAAAATTGCTTCCTAAGACCCTTTTTAATACACCGCATTATTGCCAGATGAATAAACTTTAAAAATCACAGTGTTTTTTTAACAGGATAGCTCTTCTTACATGAACTAATTATGATTAACTTCAGAGGAAATTTGGGATTATGTATAAAGTTATCGCGGATTTCTTGCAGAAAACTAACTACATCATATTGATAACAGATGTTCAGGACGAATTTCATCTACATTAACGTCTGTACCAATATCGAGAAACATCCATCATTATTTACAAGTCAACACTGAGAGTATTTCTATTCATTAAAAACATATGTTCCTAGTATCAGCTAAAGAAATGAGTTTTCCTCTTCCACGAGAAACTCATTTTGTCTTTCAAAATCAGTAGTTACATGATACATACTTTCAATATCTTGACACTTCAAATTTTTGTAAATTATCACAGTCTATAAACAATAGCATATTTGTTTTTCTTATTTTCTCTTTAAACAATCTTTACACGGAGTTCATTATGGAGTTTTCCAATTAACGGTGCATTGTTCACATAGGAGTGTGATACACATAAAAACACCGGAAGTTCACTTATTTGTGCGTGTTCGATTTTCATTTGTTTCTTTCCTTGCTGGAGAAGCTTTTGTTACACGTGATCTCTTGGTTCCAGTATGACTGGCTTTGTGTCTTCTTAGGGCGTGGACTGAGTTGAATGAACACTGACATGGTTCACATCTGTAAGGCAGCTGGCCTGCGTAGATAGGAAAAAATTATATACTAGTAGTACTAATAGTTAATACTACAAACATCTCCATATTAATACGCTCGCCTCCTTCAAGCAATGCAGACATCAGATGCCGATTATGAAACCCGTTCTAATTTCTATGAGCTCCAAATTAATTATGTAGATCCGTGTTTGTAACTGATACCAGCACTATTCGATGAAATTCAGAAAATTTTAACGCCAATGACAGTTTTAAAGTTTTTTTTTTTTTTTTTAATTTTTTGGACCTTTAAAAAAAATACAAACTGCTTAATCAAGTAAATGCATTTCCTGACAAATATTAAATCGGTCCCAACCTCCACAATACGTAAACATGGTAAGTCACATTTATCAAACTCATGCAACTTTAACAGGTAATTTTCAAAATTATCGAAAATATTTCTTTTTTAGTTTTCTGTGCACCAGATGTATTCTCCCATGTGTTTACTAAGCCCGATGTTGACTCATTATGTGGTATGCAGTTTTAATTACTATTAAAGTTGAGATTCTAATTTAATGTCTATTAGTGATTCTGTAGTAATTCTGATATTGACAATTTCAACGCTGAACAACACAGTTGTTGGGCGATAACTAAAATTGTATTCTTACAGCTGTATGGACGACAAATTAATCGGAAAGGGGTAGTTCAGTCTTACTTGTGTGTTGTTCAAGATGTTTCTTCAGTCCAGAGGAATCATAGAATTGTCTGTTACAAATACCACAGCTGATCTTTAGTCCGTCTTTGCGAAGCTGCATGTGCCTCCGTAGTCCACTGTCAAACCGAAACTGTTTCTTACATACAGGGCATTCGTAATGTTTCACAGACTTCTCAAAATGTGTGAGGGCGTGGCGTCGTAAGTGGGTTTTGTCGTAAAATCGCTTGTCACACTTGTCACATTTGTATCTCAGTATCTGGTCTCCCTCCTTCCTCTCATGTACGTGTGCTTTGTGTTTGTTGAGATTACCAAGCTGGGAACATCTAAACGGACACATATCACAAGCGTGTGGACGCTCTCCAGTGTGTGAGCGCATGTGCCGTTCTAAAATCCGGGGCTCGAACTTTTTTATACAAACAGAGCACTCCTTAAGCAAAATTCCTTTCCTCTTTCGTGTATATTCAACTGGCTGACTCCCGATCGCCCTTTTCGCGCCTGATGCATCTTCTGCCTTCAATCCTTCTGTCTTAAGTTTTTCGGAACACGATTTATTCGATTTAAAAGATGACGACTTCTCGTTTTTAGCACTTATAATTTCGGTAACTTTTTCGTAAGATAGATGCGACGAATGTATTTTGTGAATATGATGATAAAGATTTTTCTTATAATTAAATGTTTTCCTACAAAAAGAACAAGTCGATAAATTGTCGCCTGTGTGAATGTTTGAATGCTTAAGAAGACCTTTCGCATTTTTAAATTGCTTGAAACATACTTCGCATTTGTTCTTTTTGTGTGTCCTTTTGTGGGTTTGATAGTCTGAAAACGATTTATATGATATCCCACATTTCTCACAAAAATAGCGAGATAATTCGGAACTGCACCGTCTGTAAGTCGCGGAAGTTGGAGGCTCGCGCGCGGCGCGCCTCTTTGAATTGACCGATCGACTGATCTCCCTTGGCATATAGGTTACGTACTGACTAATGAGATCATCGTCATCAGACGAATTCTCTTCATCAGTAGCGCCACCTTTAGCCCCTAAGCTTTTGTCTACGTCTCTTCTATTCATTCCGGAAGTGATGTTCGATTGCACTGTTTTCATTCCTTCCCATTCGTCGCCCTCAAGTGGATCAAATTCAGTCTCTGTCTCGTCTCCGTCGTCAACGTCCACCATTTTGTTAAACCGAGAATGAGAATCGTCGTTCTGCTCTTGTTCAGTATTCATATTGTCTGCTTTACAATTTTTATATCTTGGAAGTTCATCAATATTATCTTGGCTTACATGATTATCGCAAGTTTTCATGTCTTTGAGTGTACACTCTGTGCGTGTATGACAATTGTTCTCTTCATTAACGTTTTTAAATTCAGCATTATTTAGATCAGTTAAGGATGTAGAGTTTCCATTCATAAAAGGGGACTGAGATCGAGAGTCGTCCAAGTCCAGAATGTAATCGTATTCACACTGTCCATCACTGTCATTCTGTCCACCCTCGTCAATATCACGTGCGTGATTCACAAAGTCATTCACATGATCAGTAACAAACTCAAACGGTTTAGTTTCTATTACAACTTCAGCTTCGTCATTTACATTTGCATATCCATCTCCATGAATAATACATTCATCGTTTTGTTTGATTCTCCGTTCCTCTAGTTCATTTTCATTTTTAATGAAATTTAAATTTGATGATTTCCAGGAGCCCGGATGACTTTTACACACTTGTATTGGTGGAAATCCACACATACTGTCAGAATCACTGCCTCCCTCCCCGGAATCTCTGTATCTGTCTGGTCCAGAGTACCCCTCAACAGATCCGGGCTTTTTCTCCGTGAACAATTCTTGGTCTCCTTCTTGTTTTAGAAATTTAGGTAAATTCTCTCCATTTCCTCTGACCGCCAATTTGAACACAAACTTTCCTTTTCGTATTTCTAGCCGCGTGGTGTCGCTGTCGTCCAACATGGCGTCACTGGTTTGATATAACTGAAAGAGAACCAATTTTATATTCATTAATTTCATTGAGCCTTTTTCAAATTTTACTATATATTTACCACGTAGTAGATCCGATCACAGCGCATATTGACATTATTACTTTCTCCAAGCAAACCATTTTTCCTCCACTGTATCAGATTATATTATGTCCATTTTCATCAAGAATCACGTGCGACCGAGAATACTGTGTAAGTTCACTGGACTTTGTATATGACTTACTCATCTACTTATATCCATTTGTACAGAGATAAGAAGATCTGTACATACAATACAATAGCAGATGACCCCGTTTTGTAGACAATCCCCTTTGTACAAATCCATCGCATGCAGTTAAAACAACTCTCTGTCGCTTTTATGTCGGGAGATTCTAATTCTACAGTGTATGTTGCCAAGAGAGATGGAATATGTGGAATGATAATTAGAGAAGGAATTTGTTCTCCACAGCACCCCTCTATCTATTGAACCATTAGCCAAACAGCGAATGTACAGCTTATTGTAAAATCAACATACGCGATGCTTGCAAAACTGAAATAGAAAAGTCAGTCTTTGACGTTATCATTGGCCTTGGAGGGAAAAAAAATCGACCCTTATCATTTGAACAGTATCCTACGATGTCAGTTTCTTGGTAAAAGTGTTCATGCAGTGTATACACTTTATCATCAGCTACACGATTAAAAAAAAAATTTAAAATAAATTCATTTTTCTTTTCAACTTAGCTTTTTTTTTTTAAAATAATGCTTTTGGATATAATTTATCACTCAGGCAGATATTTGTTTAGAGATAATCAGTAAAACTAGAGTAGCACAGGACCTTACCTCCTAATGGCCCTACACCAAAATTGAGTGTTATTGACCCGGATATTAATTAACATGATTAATGAAGTAGGAAGATAACATAAAACTACATATGATGCTGAACATTACTCACGATTACATTTTTCCCGGAGCACGTAAATATCTAGATGCGGATTTCGAATTTCCTCATTTTGTAACTCAACTTATTTAACATAAATAATAGGATACGGTTACCTAAGATACAAAAGGCAACCATTGCGATATCAATGAGAATATTCAACTAACGTAATTTATTTCACGTTATAAAGTCTGTAATTTTGCATATTTTTAACGACCTAATTGACATCGAAATTTGAAGGGGAAAAAATCTCAGAATATGTGCAAATTTTCAATAATTTAGACCAGTGCATCAATATATCACACATTACAAAATTCTGTTTGTTAAGAATGTTTCACAATTCACAACGAGCGCGGCCTGATAACTCTGCGACATCTCAGGACAAATAGATTATACTCATTGAATTAGAGAACCATTTTTCTCGCATAAAATGGCTTAAATTCATATGCATCTCCAATTCATTTTGTTTTACAGTATAAATTTTAGGAATTACCAAAATGTTGGCCAAGAGGAGAGAAAAAAAAAACATTTAATGCATTACCAATTTTTTTTCCGTAGAAAATTATACGCAAACTTACCATGCATGGATCGTATTCATTTATATTAATCAGTTAATTATCTGATATATTTACCAATTTTACGAGACTTAATTCGGACATATGAATGGTAAGACCGACAAATCCTCCGTTCGCACGTGTTTGGGTGTTAGAATATTGTCTACAGTTAATTACACAAGCGGCACATAAAATATATATTTACAAAAGAATAACTTAATTAAAGTCTACTTGGATCTAGCTGATTTTCCCCGTCTTTTATATTATCCATATTTACTCTGCAATGCTTCATGTAAATTTCATATCAACAAGAACAACAAAAATCAGTGATGATATCAAAAATAAAAAGCACGTATATCTAGCTTGCATGAAAGATGTTCAAGATCCAACGTCCAGATTTGGAAGTTAATCAAAGACATCAAAGATAAAAAAAAAATAATAAGCAAACAAAATGACGCACAATGCGGAAACATTCTACATGTAAAAATTACATCAATTCAAAAGCTATTCTATACCCATTAAACAGAAACGCTTTGCGTTGTTCTATAATTCCCATAGGCTAGGAGAATAAAAGATCTTACCATGACAACACAGTTCATCAGCGGAGCAATTAGCGGAGACATTAATAAATAATAATTATAATTTCATGTCTTTCATAATAACAGTAAAATTCACAGTCGAAATTTGGTCTGCACCTTCTCCTAGGACAGTAAAAATTTAATTTCCTCTTCAACGAATAACGCTTTTTTTTTTATCATTAATTACCTGAGGGCGGTGTTTGTAAAAAGAATTCCTCACGGGATTAACACTGGAGTCGGTGTGACAGGCCAATTAACAGGTGCCCGTAGCCTGGGGCAAAGATTTTCAACTCTCGTCACGGGAAGCCTATTGTTACCAGTCGATTGTTTCCACTGTTTGAGGAGTATAAAATGCAAACACCGACCACATGGTAACAAACAAAGCGTCGTCTTATCATTTTTTTAAGACACAGAAAAGGTTCCCGACTGGCCTAATTGATTCCACACTATAGTATCCTACATGTGTACGAGAGAAATATTAAATAAATATCCTTCACTGCCTGGTCAGTATTGTTGGTTCTCTGCCAAGCCAAACATAATGGCTCCCTCATCCACTGCCATTTTCTTGCTTTAAATACCCATTGACCACTTGTTAATTTTTAACACCGTTTTCTTTTTCAAATTACGAAGAAGAATAACGGAAACGTGGAATCCACAATCTGATTTCAATTATTTGCAGATTAAAAAAGAACCACACACTCACCTCTACAGAAAGCACGATGATAGATCTAAGCGCCCAATCCGTGTTCCTCCACCAACTTCTACCAGAGCTATAAATAGCAAAGCACGCGGTCTGAGTCATGGCATTATGGCGCTAAGAATTTAAGGCCTGGGAAAACTAATTTTGAGGTTATCGTTTTATCAGGAACCTATATATACTAACGGGATAGGCAAGTCTCGCGATATCTCGTAAGTTGCGGGATTTCGTTAGTCAATTTTATTTTAAAACATATATCTTTTGCTAGCAAATATTTCAGAATAAAACCTTAATTTATCTATCAAAAAATATTCAAGATTTGTTGTTAGCTTTTTACTCCTTATCTTAGTAGTAATAACGTTTATTTAAAAATCAGTGCATGCCCTTCATCAGTTGATCGGCCGTACTTCCGAGAATTCGCCGATTTTGGTGGTTGTTTACTAGATATTTGAATTATTTTATAATGTGTGCATGAAAATTTATTAAAAATCCATTCCCATACACAAAAAGAACAGATAACATTAATCAGAAAAAAAACTTTTCTTTGGGAAAAAACGTACTTTCAAAAACTTTCCAGTGTTGTGTTGGCGTTTTGGGTAATCAAACATGGCGCTGAAGGAGTTGCTTATCCCGTTAGTATATAGGTCCCTGGTTTTATCAAAATATGCATGTAAACCATCTTAAAATGAAGTCATCAAAAAACGTACACACGTACTCTAGTACAGTCTTTGGTACAGTCTATAGTACAGGGACGAGATGGTAACATCCTTGCTATTGTGTAGTGGTCATGTCGTAGCAGTCTGGCCATGGTGCGGCCTCTGAATACATATTTAAATAATTTTAAAGCCTTCAGGGCATGGTCAGGCTGATTAAACGTCCAAAAAGTTCATTAACTTAAAGCTTGTATTTAGATAGAGTATTGATATGAAAATAATAATCTTTAAATAATTTTTTTTAATTTATACCCTGTATTATAATTCTAGATTTGTATTTCTATCGAAATGAAGTAAGCATCTCCAAAGTGCCAGTCTATGGTGAATTCAAAAATGACATATTAAGTGCAACGCAAAAACTATGTTATTCTAATGTTTAGCATCCGGTCGCGTGCTTCTTAATTTTTGATATCCCAGATCACACACATACACACAGACAATCACTAGCCCAGGAATTGAATTTTTGGTTGAAACGTTTTTGAATTCTGTAGCTTTCTTCCTACATTTCTCAAGAGTCTGTAAGATTATGTGTATATTTTTATTTACAACCTCGATTTTTCAAAGGAGTGTATCTTTTCAGGAGACAAAGAGAATTCGAAAATTAAATCTGTTGAATAAAGAAATATTGAGATAACGAACAGTATTTAAGCTCATAAGTCCATTCAAACAATACAAATCAGGAGCAGGGCAAACATGGGCCTCTTAAACATCAGAGGTGGGGTCAGGTGCCTTGGAGGAGTGAGTATCCCCTGACCGGTTACACCCGCCGTATGCTCCTTGTCATGATCGGGAAATACGGAACACAATCCAAATCAAAAAGAGAAAATCAAAATTCCTTTTTTAAACCTGATTTTTTCAAATCTGAAGTCGAAAATGGTCTAAAAGTCAATAACTGAGCCTCTACAAGGGAGCTTTTTGAGAAATTTAGGTGCAATTTAAGAGAGGAACGTTCCTCTTCATCAGAAATCTTCCTTGTTTTATCCTTAGTTCTATGCACAAAAACTGAATTAAGTCGGGGAAATGATGTCGTTTATGACTTTAAAGTTTGAGTAGTATTTTTCGGTTTGTTTGTTTTCTATGAGAGCCTTGAGAGGTGGATAGATTCTTGAATGATAGATAGACGCCAAACAGAAAAAAAATTAAGATGGCCTTACTTACTACTTACTTTTAAAATAAGTAAACATCGTGAGATTTTGCAGTGTCGGATAAGGTTCTGTATTCCCTGTTACCCAGTGGAACTATTACTCGACTCAAGTAAGCTTCTTATAGGAAAATTATGTGAAAATAAACATAGTAAATTTATCAAATTTATCACCTCTGATGTTTCACAAGCTACTCATTATACTCTGCGACTAGAAATGACATATTTATTAATTTTCACAAATCAATGTTGAACAAGTTATCTAAAAAACTCTTTACAAGATAATATCCCTGTAGAAAGCCTTACCCTCAGAATAAACATTTTCAGTTCCCCCCTTTCTTTTTGTGTCTTTATGCACTGTAATTTTGTACGTATATTGCATGTAACTGTAAAAAATACTTTACTAAAATTTATTTGTAAAAATCATAACGAAAAAAGAGAGAGAATTATTTCATATCATTGTATTAACAAAGGCATATTGGAGCTTAAATACCTTATAAAGACCTTTTGGGGGACCCAAAATTTGGTCACTAAAACATATCAATATTAATTAATTTTAAACTTTATTGATCTCTCTGAAAAGAAATACGGAAAATATATTTATATTTAGTACTTTAACAATTAATCTATTTCTAAAACGTCAATTACAAGAAATTTACTGAGTTAACCTTGGTTTATTCCTCAAAATGTTTCATAAGGAATTTTATGATACTCATATATATGTAATACTTACCTGGATAAAATAAAAGAAGACGTCAGTAATCCTCTATATTCAGAAAACAAAATACTTTTTGCAAAGAAATTAAAGTTTTATGTGCAATAGATGAAAACGTGTTTTTTTTATGGCATGGAGGTTGAAGTTTCATTTATATTTTAGAATCTCTTTTCCAGGAACATTTGTCCGTAATTCTCACTGTTGATCAAATGACACAGAAATGTGTAGCCTCCCACCCCACTTAAACAAGTAATAGGAAGATTTATTGTCCTTGACTCCACCCCGTCACTGTACGAGAGTTAGCCCTAAGCTATTCCACTCTCACTTTCTAACATATTAGGCATGGTCTAAAATGTACAGAATGGGTCATTAAAGTAGATTTAGATTGTATGCCTATTAGTACCCCAGCATTTATATCCAAAGCCTTATCGATCTATTAAGTAACTTAATTTGTTCATACTGTCAGTAATCTGTACTACATCGTCCCTTTACGATCGTTGTATAATTCCCCCTAAATCTTCTTTACATATTTCTTTATAAAATAATTTGACATTTCCAAATATCCCTTCTTTCGTTGGATTCGCCAATACATTCATATGTTTATAAATATGGACTACAATATTTTAAAATATATATTTACTATCTAAATCAAGATATTTCATTCTCAAAGTGACTGACTCGTTGTGTTATACAGGCGCGGATCTATTTTTTTTTTTTTTTTTTTTTTTTTTTTTTTTTTTTTTGAATAGGAAGGGTGGGGGTTTATTTGGCATACTATGCACATTTATTGACTGGGTTAGAGGGCAACGTGCGTTTTGTGTACCCCTCGAACCAAACTGTTTGTCTGAGGCTGTTAGACCGAAGGCAAACAGTTTGGTTCGATGGTTAAACAAAACGCACGTTGCGCTTGAAAACAGTCAAATGTTTTGTTTTTTTTTTTTTTTTGACATACATGTATCTTGTGCTGGCTTCCATTATGTCAATTTCCTTTATCTGCACTAAAACTCGGTCAATTCTGTCACTGTCGAACGCCAATGAATGCAAATAAGATTTAGCTGATCCGCCCACAGTGTGACGTAAGCGGTCCATATCTCACTCTGTGGTCAAACATCGATTTTTTATGACCGCTCAGTAAAACTGGAAATTTTGGACTTTTTTAGTATAGATTTATATACATCTATAGGAAACAATTTTTAAATGTGTATCAATATATGTTTACATTTACAAACCACAGCACTTGGCTTTAATAAGATTGTTTATCAAATGTATGTATCAAAGTATATACTTTCCAATTATGTCAAACGCAGTCATTATTCATCTTAGAAAAGAACACAAGTTCAAACAAACGAATTAGTCAACAAGACATCGTCGTCAAACAGGTGAATACTCTAGTACAGAGAAGACGAGGAGATGCTATACATCCTCGTGCTCGGACAGTGGTCATTTCGTTGTGGTCTGTTCGTCCGGTATATTATACATCCCTCCGGACATTAACATCCATCATACATTAACATCCATCATACAACGTCACAAAAGTTCAGTAACTTGATTCATTATTGGAAGAATGACAAATTAATCAATTAACAGTAAGTTTTAATTGATGATCATTGGTATTTATTTGATGTAATATTAAAATACATATTAATATCCTGACAGGTTTAAGTCCATCTATGAAGTTGTTTTAATTATTGCTTAAGCTACTTTGATTTGCAATGTGTAACAATATCCCCTAATAATGGTAAAAAACTATATAACAATAAGAAGTAGACGAATCTAAATGCTTCTAAAGGACGTATGCCTTGTTCATATATCTCCTTTTCTTCTTTATATAAACTTAATGCATTATTTAGAATATGTAAATTACAATTGTATGAATGATTGCATGAACGATCTTAAATAAATAGGCCCTAATTTACACTAATAAGTATGGACTTTTGAATTACGATATTCCTTCTTCTAAAATCAATATGTTATAGCAAGTTTTCGATTGAATAAACCATTTTTTTTTCTTGTTTTTTTTTTTTTTTTTTTTTTTGTTTATGTCGTCTTTGATCTGTTCAGATATGACTGCTGTTGGAGTCTTTGAACTGTTCGGATATAACTGTTGTTGATGTCGTCTTTGATCTGCATGTTCAGATATGACTGCTGTTGATGGCGTCTTAGATCTGTTCAAATATGACTGCTGTTGATGTCGTCTTTGACCTGTTCAGAAATAACCGCTGTTGATGACGTCTTTGATCTGTTCAGATATGACTACTACTAATGTCGTCTTTTATCTGTTCACATATAACTGCTGTTCATGACGTCTTAGATCTGTTCACATATAACTGCTGTTGATGTCGTCTTAGATCTGTTCAGATATGACTGTTGTTGATGTCGTCTTAGATCTGTTCAGATATAACTGTTGTTGATGTCGTCTTTGATCTGTTCAGATATGACTGCTGTTGACGGCGTCTTTGACCTGTTCGGATATAACTGTTGTTGATGTCGTCTTTGATCTGTTCAGATATGACTGCTGTTGATGGCGTCTTAGATCTGTTCAGATATGACTGCTATTGATGTCGTCTTTGATCTGTTCAGATATGACTGCTGTTGATGTCGTCTTAGATCTGTTCAGAAATAACCGCTGTTGATGACGTCTTTGATCTGTTCAGATATGACTACTACTGATGTCGTCTTTTATCTGTTCACATATAACTGCTGTTCATGACGTCTTAGATCTGTTCAGATATGACTGCTTTTGATTTCGTCTTTGACCTGTTCAGATATAACCGCTGTTGATGTCGTTTTTGACCTGTTCAGATATTACTGCTGTTGATGTCGTTTTTGACCTGTTCAGATATGACTGCTGACTGTTGATGTCGTCTTTGATCTGTTCAGAAATGACTGCTGGTTGTTGATGTCGTCTTTGATCTGTTCAGATATAACTGCTGTTGATGTAGTCTTTGATCTGTTCAGATATGACTGTTGTTGATGTCTTCTTTGATCTCTTCAGATATGACTGTTCAGAATGCTGTTGATGATCTTTTGTGCATATCCTCATTGCTGACTGATATAAGCCAGAATAATTTGAGCATTCAGTGAGGGCAGCTTGTATGGAAGGTATCTAATATTTGTGTTCTCATTTGTCACCTCAATACTCAGAGCCACAAAGGAAGATTCCACTTACATTTTCTTGAAAATCCTCATTTAGGCTTTGGTTTTGAATGTTGAAGATTTCCAAATGTTCCACAGGTTTGCAAAGGTGTCATGGCTTTTGCTATCAATGGTTGGATGTGATCTTACTGCCTAGATAAACGAAATTATCTACCTTAGCTATTCTGTTGTTGTTTACTGTGACTTCTTTTTCTAAAGTTTTATCTTCATTAGTTTTGTTTTGTTGACATTTATAATTAGCCCCATATGTCTGCCATGTTGAAAACTTTCCAGTTTTGCTTTAAATATCCTTTTTTCCGCTTTGCTAGGAATCATCTGCAAAGTCCAATTCTTCTAGTGACTGTTGGAATGCCCGAAATATTCCTCTACTGGCCTAACTGTTGGTGATTTTTATTAGCCAGGATATGAAGAAAGTAAAGAAAAGTGGGGAGAGTAGATGTTACTGTCGAATTCATATTTGGATTTGAAAATAGATAAATTCTCTTCCGCAGATCGCTTTTGATTGAATGTGTTTAAGGAAAGTTAACAATATGGAAAAGATGAAGTCATCTCGATCGTTTGTCATACAATTTAGTTGTTGGTTGGCCATAGTCGTCTATAATCAGTAAAATATCCAGTTATGAAACAGATGTTGCAGACTATGTGGTATCTTTAATTTTGACTTCACTGGAATATATTGGGTCGACATGCATATGAATGGAAGTAACTATTGTTAATTCATAAAATGTCGATATATCTGAATTAAATAAGAGATAACGAACAGTATTCAAGCTACAAAGTCCATTCAAACGATACAAATCAGGATCAGAGCATATACGGACCTTTAAAACATCAGAGATGGGATAAGGTGCCATGGAGGAGTGAGCATCCCCTGCCGACCGGTCACACCTGCCGTGTGCTCCTTGTCATGATCGGAAAAATCCGAAGTCAATTCAGCGTGTAAATAATGGCCTAACAATTAGTATGAAAAACGTCATGATCAGTCAGCATTCTGACAAGGTTATTGTATCAACCACAGAACTTGCGAAATGATGACTTTAAACGAGACTGTTGATATTCTTGTTTCATCGACTTATTTGTCAATAGATTGCCTCGTTTTAGAAATTATTTATACATAGAGCATGCTCTTACGTATCGAATCAACAGGTAGGCATAAACACCATATGCAGGTGATAAGGGTTTATTGCTAAATAAATAAGGGAAATTGATGATTGAAAAGTTGAAGTCATACTGTTTATCATAATGCTTACTTGTTAAGTAACCATTAACGTCTTTTTCTAGTAAAATATCTAAATATGAAACAGATGTATCAGACTCTGTGGTATCTTTTATTTCAAGCTCACTGGGATATACTGAGATATACAAACAATGGATGTAACTATTGTTAATTGATAATGTGTCATCGATATACTCAGTATCTAAATGTTGAGTTGAAGGCCAGAACATGTCTTTTCTTTTTCTCATGTATAAGAATTTGAATAAATTCTGCTTCACGTGAATACAAAAATAGGTCTGCTAATAACGGGGCACAATTGGTACCCATGGGAATTCCAATAGATTGTTGGAAGACCTGGTCTCCGAAAACTACATAGATAACCCGTTAAGGTCAATCAGAAATAAAAGCATCTTTTTAATGTCAACTTTAGAGTACCTGTGTGTATAATCAGAATTTTTTTTAAACAAAATAATGTTGCAAATGACCAATGAATGTTGAGTTGAAGGCCACAGCAAGTGTTCTCTTCTCCTCATTTAGAAGGTTTTGAATAAATTCTTCTTCATGGAAATATAAAAACAGGTCAGCTAATAAAGGAGCACAGTATCCATCAAAGTTCCAACAGTTTGTTGGAAGACCTGGTCTCTGAAGACTTCATATAGATCTACACCTCATAGTTTCAAGTTATGAACCATGCATTAAAAAAAAAAACTGACCGACAGTATTTCAGTCAGAGATGTTTAAGCCTGATAAATTGAATTAATTGTAGCTTTGCTGTTCTATAGACACAGACAAAAGATAGCCAAGAGGACACACAAGTGAGCTCAGGTCCATAGGAACCCTTCCCCAAACATCTAATCAGACAAATAGACATAAGATGGACCAGAGACACACAGGTAGGCTCAGGTCCATAGGGACCCCCTCTCCAAACCTCTAGTCAGACATACAGACATAAGATGGACCAACAGACACACAGGTGAGCTCAGGTCCATAGAACCCCCTCCCCAAACCTCTAGTCAGACATAAGATAGACCAACAGACACAAAGGTGAGCTCAGGTCTATAGGAACCCCCTCCCCAAACCTCTAATCAGACATACAGACAGAAGATGGACAAACAGACACACAGGTGAGCTCAGGTCCATAGGAACCCCCTCTCCAAACCTCTAGTCAGACATACAGACATAGGATGGACCAACAGACACACAGGTGAGCTCAGATCAATAGGAACCCCCTCCCCAAACCTCTAGTCAGACATAAGATAGAAGAACAGACACAAAGGTGAGCTCAGGTCTATAGGAACCCCCTCTCCAAACCTCTAGTCAGACATACAGACAGAAGATGGACCAACAGACACACAGGTGAGCTCAGGTCCATAGAACCCCCTCCCCAAACCTCTAGTCAGACATACAGACATAAGATGAACCAAAGACACATGGTTGAGCTCAAGTCCATAGGAACCCCCTCCCCAAACCTCTAATAAGACATACAGACAGAAGATGGACCAACAGACACACAGGTGAGCTCAGGTCAATAGAACCCCCTCCCCAAACCTCTAGTCAGACTTAGAGACAGAAGATGGACCAACAGACATAAAGGTGAGCTCAAGTCCATATGAACCCCCTCCCCAAACCTCTAGTCAGACATACAGACATAAGATGGACCAGACATACAGGTGAGCTCAGGTCCATAGAACACCCCCCCCTCCTCCAAACTGAGATTCTTTCTATGGGCTTGGAGCTATTTATAAAATAAAACACTTTTTTCAATATTTTAACTTCATTTTATTGTATAAATGATAAGATTTGTTTCAAGAGAAAATATTACTACTAGCTTAAGTTTGTCTACACGGGAAAAATAACAATTTGTAGAAAGACACAATATCCCGTCATAAATAGCAGGATTTGGAATATAACTAATACACAGAAAAACAGAGTACACAAAACAACTGGATTTATTTCAACACCTTTACCAGATATACAGTGGATATAAGTGTACAAAAATTGACATCTATTTCAAAATGGTTTTAATCAGGTATCCAGGTACTTGGTGAGTCTTGTTACATATACTGTACTTGTAATAGAGATTGATATCACAGAAAAATTATCTGGTTTTGAATCACTGAGTAATTTTTACACCCCTGCTTGAAAAGTGGGGGTATATTGTGATGAGGGTGTCGGTCCAGTCATTATACTTCTGTACGTACGTCTGTTAGGCTTTGCCACTATACTCGTATGAGAGATGTGGGGTATCATTTTGTGAGCTCAGTGTCACAGTACCTCTAATTTTTTCCCCCTATAATGGTTCAAGTAGGTAAAAACTGCAAAGATTGCACATCAAAAAAGGGACAGTTTTAAAACATTTAAAACTTCACCATAAAAAAGTTTGGAAGTATGGTTTATCTTAAACAACAATCTAAAGTATACCTATCATATATGACGAGACTGGAGACTTTAATCTAATAAATCACCAGTAGCCCGCCCTCTGTCAGTAGTTTGTCATGATTGCTGTTTCTGGCTCCTACAATTTTATCAACACGCACTAAACTCTGATAACAAGTACACTGGAGCACACACACAAATTAATTTATGAAATACTTTGAATGCTTCCAGTTCTTGAAAAAAAGTCTTTTCTTCAATTATTCACAAGACATGAATATTTTCAGTAATATTTAACTTTGTAGAGTATTCATAGCAAAATAATGCACATCACTTCTGGGTACCACCAAAGCACGAAAAAAGTCTGAACACAGGAAAAGAATTTAAAAAAAAACTCTGACTGGATATCTTCAACATTTAACATGTACATAATACAGACAACATTCTCTCAACAAAGTGATAAAAATGATTTAAAATTGATTCCATTATCAAACAGCTTAAACTCTTTCTAACTGAGAGGGCAGTGTTTACTGTAGAGTTATCCTTCAATGACAGACAGACAGACAGACAAACTAAATCACAACACAGCAGGACAAACACTGCATGAAGGATTCCATTACATGGAGGGGGATTTTACACTAGGAACTCAACAGTAAATCACTAGGTACAGCCCAAAGTATGACACAAGACTAACTTTGGAAAACTATTTTGAACAAAAGGTTTGTTATCAAAATTGAAAAAGTTACACTTTGTTGTCAAATTATCACAAATTATGATCTATTTACATTTGATGCCCTTATTTATATAATGCATCTTAAATTATTTCTAATTACGAGTACATATATATGATAAACATGATAAAAGATTAAATAAATAAAATTTAAAACATGTACCAAATAAGATAAATTTCAACTGGAGGAAAAAAAGTAAAATATTTACAGAAAAAATTTTATTTACGCACTTATTTATTCATTGGTATGCAGATAAATTTTTATTTGAGAGACTTACACCTAACACTGTAACAGATTATTCATAGTCTTAAAATAAACTTATGCAAAGTAGGCTATGAAAACAATACAATGACTTGGACAAAAAAATTTTTTTTCACTAACACTAGTCAAGCTTGCTTGGAAATGCCGCAGGTTCACAATGAAAGGGTGTGATACAATTAAACAGTTGAATGACTAGGAACTGAAGATCACAACCAAGTTAGGTAACTCTGTCAGAACACTCTCTCCAATGGAAGCCATGAAGGATTGGATAGAACAGTCACATCATAAAATACAGCACTGAAACAAACAGCAATTATTGTTAATAGTCAGAACATACAGGATGATGAAAGATTTAAAGGATGCATATAATAATTCAAGAGAAATACAGGTTCTGTAACTTGTGACAGTTAAAAGGCCATTTTTTCAGAGTTTTTATTTGTCAAAAGACACAATGCATGCAAATTGTCTTTTGATGATAAAAAAATAAAAAAGAGAAAAACTGGTCATTAAAGAGATTAGGTTCCAGGATCATGAAGCAGATTTGGACTTAAGTCAAAATTGTTATGTTGTCTTCTAGGTTTACAATAGAACACAAATAAAAGGATGACTGCACTTAACGCCTGTTTTTGGGTCTTTTTTGGTTGCTTCTGTTGATTTTATATCTAAACCTTATTTCACTTTTGTATGTTTATGAAAGAATCCTGTCAATTTGGTACCAAATTTAAATCTTAAAATGATTTTAGACTGTGATACTGTGATACAATAAAATGATTCAATGTTTTTTGTCCTTAGTGCTTTCCAAATATAGTGAATTTACACTTACCTGCCCTTGATTGAACATTAGATATGCATGAGAGGTGGAGCTAAGATTGTAAATATGGGTCTTAAATTAGACTTGATAAATAACAAAGACATGTTTGAAAAAAAGAACGTGATCACTCTTTCCAATCTCCCTCTCCATTCTGTATGGCACAAATACATTTCTGACAAAGGTTTCAAAACGAAACTAACAATATGAGCACATCAATGTAATCAAAGTAGATTTTATATCAATGCCAGATGACTTGTTCGAACACAATGTCCTTGTTAGCACAAAACATGCTACCTTACAAGTAACATGACGGAATTTAGTATTCACAAAGTTACCCGAGGTAGGACATCACGTGGTGAATTATAATATTCAACATGTCACAATCCTTGGTTACAACACAGAGAGCGAATGTAAAAAGAAGCATTTTTTTTTTCTTTTTAACCGTGAGCGCATGTTTGTCTATAAATCTCCTTTTGACACAATATTATTTATGCAAATATACAACTACTGTGAAACGGAGAACAATAGACAAACATGCGCTGACTATGTATAAAGTCAGTAAAAAAGTGGGCATCCTCATTATTGTATGGAGATTCAAGAAATTGTGATGACCCCTGCCTTTAAAAACAGATTCGAACTTCGTAAATACACACTTTTATTAAACGTAATTATATAAAGTTGTAGATTGGATGTTGACCATTCTTGCAATGAAAAGAAAAATGCTTGTTTTGAAAGTTTATTTTGTCGCAAATTCTGCATGTCCTTAAGTGCAGTCATCATTTGAAATATTATTATTTGTTTCCCGTTCATGCTGTTATTGTTAATTTTTGTAATAAATATTCATTTTATGAATGACACAAGCTTTGACTTGGGTCTTAAACTTACATGATCCTGGGGCCACATCTGGGGAACCTTTTCATTCTTATTTTTTCAACAGACTTTGATGCTCTAGGACTCCACTCCAGAACCCCAAGTGACTACAACACAAGTTGACATATCCAATCCCCCCCCCCCCCCCTTCATCAAGTTATTTCCCCCAAGAACATTGCATTGAGACTAGAACAAACTAAACATGAGTTGTTTTACCTTGGTGTCAGTTTGAACACTCTATAGGAACTACAATCTCTTAGACTTCCAAACTAAATGTGTGAGCACTGTACAAAATGAGCCAGTGGGACTGTGTAATTAATCCAGTATGTAATATATTAAAATATATTATATTAAAAACAGCTAATAATTTCAAAATGATAACATTCTTAAAACACTTGGAGAATGCTTAAAACTATTCCCTATGTGAAAATTTAACTTAGAGAAAATAGAATTCTTTCACTTCTGTGAAATGTGGTTTAAAACTGCACAAAGACAACAATTAGTTCCATAAAAACTCAATGTGTAAGAGCTAGGGAGTCAGAAGTTTGGTGATAATGTCATTCTCAGTTAGTTTAGAGACATTTAGAGTGGAACTGTGTCAGTTTGATTGGTTCTACAGAACACAGTGTAAAAATGTGGGGGGGGGGGGGGGAGGCTGACACACAGGAGTTGAGGAACACCATGGTACATACCAAGGAGGAGTTTCTCTGAGGAAAAGCAACATTAAACGATTCTGAGATTACTGAACTTTATAATACCTATTTAACTCTGTTTGGCTTTGCAGTAACCAAAGAAAAACTCCTCAATATTGAGGGAATTTTCTAATAGAAAAATGATAACTGCTTTTTATAGGAGTAAATAATGTTAAAAATAAAGATTTCTGTCTAAAACTGGTTACATGTTACCAATAAATGACTGACGGACAGCGTACTTACATTATCCTTAGACCTATCCCTAGGTTCTCGCTCGCTCTCCCTCTCTCGTTCCTGTGGACGACCTCTAGCACCCTGAGCAGTTGACCTTTGACCCTGTGGTTGCTGCTGCTGCTGTTGTTGCTGTCTCTGTTGTTGCTCGTTAATCGCTCGCATTGCTTGCTCGTCTTCTTCAGCCTGGAGTTTGGCTGCTAGTTCATGGCTACAATCACACATTTAAAAATTCTGTACTAGATTTAAAGGTACAATAAAACACAGTTACAGCAAACACACTTATAATGATTTGCTGTACTGCAAAGTGATTTTATTCCCAATAATTTCAAAACATACTAGAACAAAATAACAAATTATGTTTTTAAGGAATCAAAATAGTTCATCCTTGGCACTTCACTTTTAGCATGTTTTACTGTATAACAAAATATCAAAGTTTAACACGATATTTGTACCAGAGTATCTCAGGCTACAATATATCTTTGTGTTCTGTTATCATTGCCTTTTATTCCAGAAGTAACCACAAGCAGATTCAAACCTGTACACAGTGTGTTGTGAATTCCTTACAAACAGACACATGTACAGTTTGTAAGAGAAATACTTGAAAGATCAGGATCTTTAAATTTCAAGAGAAACCTTGTTTAAACAAAATTTTCAATCACAAATCAAGGGAAGTAACTCTTACTCTGACATTTGAACTTGTTGATGTTGTTGTTGGTTTTGTTTCCATGCCAACTCTTCATCTGTCATTTGTTGTTCTTGTTGTAAAGACATTGCCAATAAATAGCTACAAAACAACTCAGAATATTGTCAGATCAAATCAACATTAACAAAAAACCATTATTCAAGTATACTGTTTCTCATCATTATAGAAAACTTGTACTATGCATTTTTAAATTACAGTCTATTTTTTTTTTTTTTTGGTAAATTGTTTTTTTTACTTACAAATATCCTTCTACAATTTAACTTAAGTCAATCTATTCAGTGGAAAGACATTTAAGGTTTTGCCAAAGGCCAAGATGTCCAAAAATTTATGTTTACAATAGCTCCAAAACTATGTGAGGTATAACGTTAAAACTTTTACAGTTTATAAATATATCATTGATTAACAGATAGAAAGTATCACTTGAAAACAAACATTTAAAAAAAAAAAATTTTTAAGAAAAAAAAAATCAAAAAATTTGCATATTTTAAAAAATGCACCTCCTTAATTCTGTACTTTGGGTGAAAACCATCATTGCAGAAATAATATATGGTTATCAATGAAGGGCAAGTTGGACGTGAATGGTCTCTGAAAGGCTGTCATTGAAAGCATGACATGTATAAAGACAAGACCCCTATAAAATCCGCCATTTGCAATGTACTTTTGGTTTCAAATCTTAACATTTGGACAAAATAAACAGGGAAAACAACTTTTCAGAGGCTATCGAAGTCCAACTTGCCCTTCATTGATAAACATATATTGTTTCTGCAATGATGGCTTTCACTAAAAGTACGGAATTAATTAGGTGTATTTTCTTAAAATATATGCATTTTTTTAAAAAGAATTTTTCCCGATAAAAATTTTTTAAAAGTTTTTGTAATCAAGTGATACTTTCTATCTGTTCATCAATGATATATTTATTTACTGTAAAAGTTTTAACTTTATAAATCACATAGTTTTGGAGCTATTGTAAAAATAAATTTTTGGACATGTTGACCTTTGGTAAAACCTTAAGATCATTTAGCTATCATAAACACTCATGGCCATGTGATTACAAATCAAGAGGCCCATGGGCCACAATGCTCACTTGAGTAACCTTGGCCACACAGTTCTTGAGAACATTTTAATCCTTCCCATGTAAAACTTTGATACCCTAGTGTGGTCCCATTTTTGTCCCTGTGACTTGACCAAACTTGAGTGAACGTTTCATAGAGATAGTTTTATATCACTATGACTAATTGTAGCCCTTCTGGTCTACAAAGGATTTTTAAAGCATGCCTTTGTAAAACTTTAACCACTTATTGTGGTCCCCACATTATCTCTAGGGTCAATAATTTGAAAAAACAAACTTGAATCTACTTAACATGGGAGCCCTTTCATATCAATATGACTGCTACCCTGCTGCTGATCCCTTATTGTGCCTCCATCCTAGACCCAGGGGCCATGGTTTGATCAAAATTGAATTTTTACTAAACTAAGATGCTGCAATATTAACCCCTTCTGTTCATAATAAGAGGATGGATTTTCTTAAGAGTTTACCTAATAAATATACATTGTCATGTCAAACTTTGATCATTGGGGCTCCATCTTAAACCTGGGAGCCATGACTTGAACAAATCTGAATAGATGTTACATGTGAATACTTGTACATTTATATGACAAATTTAGTGCTTTTGTTCTTGGGAATATATTTCAAGATTTTTCCTATATATAAAAATAAATTCTTTTGTTAAAAATTATCCCTCCTGTATCCCATCCTTGCCCTGTTGGTCATGATATAAACAAACCTGAGTCTACATTAGGCTTTGTTTTGTTTTTTATACCTTAGTGGTTCTTGGCATTTTGATTGCACCCTAGTGTATTTATTTATCATCTCCAAGTAAAAAAGGTGTTCACCCAAGGATGCTTTGAGTCAAGTTTGGTTAAAATTGGCCACATGGATCTAGAGAAGAAATCATAAATGTGAAAAGTTACAAGATGCCAGACAGATAGACAACATACAAACTTAAATCAATAAAGCTCAACTGAGCCTATGGCTCTGGTGAGCCAAAAAATGAGACATACTCTTGATCCACTTGTTCATCTGATCCTGGGGGCACCTCAGGAGGTACCAGTGTTTCTGTGAGAGGGGGAGGTTTGGTGTAAGTGTGAAACTGGGCATCCACAAAGTACCCGTCCCCCTCCACATTGTTCAGCGTCTCCCAGACAACGTTCTTCTCATTCAGAAATCCCTGGTCTGTCACCAGCAGGAACAACTCATTCTGTAAAGGTTAAAGTGAAAGTCACCCACAGGAACAACTCATTCTGTAAAGATTAAAGTGAAAGTCACCCGCAGGAACAACTCCTTCTGTAAAGATTAAAGTGAAAGTCACTGGCAGGAACAACTCTTTCTGTAAAGATTAAAGTAAAAGTCACCGGCAGGAACAACTCCTTCTGTAAAGATTTAAGTCAGCACAGAGACAACATTCAGACTGCCATTATAGCCATTGTATTTCCAGCATATACTATAGACCTTTCAGACTTTGGTCAGATTCGGGTCACAAAGAAACAACAGGTCTGACCAATAAGTATACACACACTGCCTCCTGTGTATTCATTGTTTTCGTCATTATTTCATTCTCTTACATTTTTTTCTATTCTTTTAAACCTATCAGATACACATTTACTTAAGACTGATTCAGACCCCTATATCATTATTGATTCAATTTCCCTGTGCACAATGTACTGATGCTATTTTTGATTACTAGTATTTCTGTCTCAGCACCAAAATAAGTCTAAGATCTTATTTTAGCTTAATACTTTTATAGTACATGATCATGAAATTTATGTACTTGACAAGGTCAAATAAAAGCAGCCCATTACTTAACTATTACAAACATAGGTAATCAGAGATTACAGACCTCACCTCAACGAATGTTGTCTTTAAGTAAGGCAAAGTCCCACACTAAACTAATAATCTTGTGCATCCCTAGATGCAACATTTATGCAATTTTGGTCTGATAGGGCTTGCAGTTACTTGGGAATAGACTTATCTGTAAACCTAAAACTAGTACCTCATCCAGAAAATGTAAGTCTAATCCAGCATCCGAAGCAAGTCCAGTAGTGTGAATCCTTAGATGTATCATCCATACAAGTTTGGTCAATATAGGGTTTATAGTTACTTGGAAATGAGATCTGCTCCAAAAACTTTAACCTGGTCACTCATCCGGAAAAATGTAGGTCAGATCCAGCATCCGAAGCAAGTCCAGTAGTGTGCATCCTTAGATGTATCATCCATGCAAGTTTGGTCAATATAGGGCTTATAGTTACTTGGAAATGAGATCTGCTCCAAAAACTTTTACCTGGTCACTCATCCGGAAAATGAAGGTCAGATCCAGCATCCAAAGCAAGTTCAGTAGTGTGCATCCTTAGATGTATCATCCATGCAAGTTTGGTCAATACAGGGCTTATTGTTACTTGGAAATGAGATCTGCTCCAAAAACTTAAACATGGTTACTTATCTGAAAATGCAGGTCAGATCCAGCATGTGAAGCAAGTCCAGTAGTGTGAATCCTTAGATGTATCATCCATGCAAGTTTGGTCAATATAGGGTTTATAGATACTTGGAAATGACATCTGCTCCAAAAACTTTAACCTGGTCACTCATCCGGAAAATAGAGGTCAGATTCAGCATCCAAGGCAAGTCCAGTAGTGTGCATCCTTAGACGTTTCATCCATGCAAGTTTGGTCAATATAGGGCTTATAGTTACTTGGAAATGAGATCTGCTCCAAAAACTTTAACCTGCTCCAAAAACATTAACCTGGTCATTCTTTAGCTGAAATTGCAGCATCTGAAACCTTAACTGGTACAATGAAACACACTAGAAGCATCCTCCATGCATCTCTGACTAATATAGGCCATAGAAGTACTTGAAAAGAAAACTGCTCCAAAAACCTTAACCTGGGACACCAACGCCGACGGTATTACATAAGCTCCCCCAACTTCGTTGAGGTGAGCTAAAAAGTGATCAAATATTGTTAACCTAGTGTAAATCCCATTTTATTCACAAGAACTTCACCATTGCAAAATTGTGTGATGCTGTCATTGTACATAAATAATGGTCTCACTGCCTGTAATATTTCCCCATCGCAGAGCTTCTCGAACGTCTGCTTGGGCGGATGGTGAGAGGGACGGGGAGGGCGTTGACGGCAACACGGTCTGGCCATCTTTTTACGCTGGCGCCTGCACGGTGCCGGCGGCGGGTTCTGACCGATGCATGTCACGAAGCGCCCTCACACCAAACCCGACCTTCTTCGCTTTGTCCTTGCGGTGCAAGTATGGACGGCGATTGAAGGGGAGAGAGGAGGGCGGAGGGAACCGGACACCATAGGTGAGAAGCGTCGCGAGAGCGAGAGAGAGAGTCTCTCTCTTTATTAATCCATTAAGTATCCATGAATAATTGTAGCAACTCGGGCACTTTATTTTAATATTGGTGAAAAGATTATATGAAAAAATTATGTATAACTGATAAACAGGTCAAGGAATCTACCTTATATGGATATTGTTGTCAAAACGCACAGCGGTGCTTATAGCGAACAATGGTCCAATCCAATGAATAAACAGAAAAGCATGATGGTCTACTACATGTTTATATTTTACTATATGCACAAACATGTGGTTCAGGCAAATTTAGGGCACAATTTCAAATGACTGCGGGAAAGTCAACTAATAATTATTTTTAATGTTTTTGTGAAGAATACGAAGAATAGGTACTAATTAAGATTTCCCATGCTCACATTAACAAACAAACTGAATTTTCTGTGTTAAATAGTACGTTGATATGCCGCTCTCAAAGTCTTCACAAGTAAATAAGAATTCAGTTTTTATAGCTTGATATTCGTAAAATTTGCTATGCTTCTGGCATTATTCATTGTTGCTTTGTTATTTGTTTACTAGAAATTAAAAGTTAATGCATTTATATAAACATAAGTTTATTGCTGCACGGCATTATTTTACACAGTATAATTATCATGTACATTGATCATAGAATGTGTATTGAGTAGCATATACATCGAATTTGTATGTAGTAAACAAAGACAATACGTGAGTACACCTCAAGAGTCGATTGCTTTGGACCAGGGAATACTCAGGTGAAATTCATATTCACTGATAGTACAGCACAGGAAAAGCTGCCAGGCAATTGTCAACAAACGGACTTGTACAATGGAGTGGAGAAAACCCTAATTTTACCGTTGTAAAACATTTGTATGTAAATGTGAGCATGGAATTGGTAGATAATGATGTATATATTGTATTAAGTGTGTAAAATGCTTGGAAAAATGCATCAGGTCCTTCCGAGAGCGATTTAAAAAACTGACCTTTTCAAAACGTACATGTAGTATTTCTTGTAGTTGCCCATAATGCAACTCAGCTGATTGGTCAGTTTGTCAGTCACATTGGTGCCTCATTCAGCATGTAAATTTATTCTAACGTCACAGAAAATAGTTTCCTCGACCTGATAAATGCATTGCTATTAAATGAAAGAAGATGTACTGTAAACATACTGACAGTGTATACTGAAAACATACTGACAGTGTACATACTGTAAACATACTGACAGTGTATATACTGTAAACATACTGACAGTGTATATATTGAAAACATATTGACAATGAACATACTGTAAACACACTGACAGTGTTTATACTATAAACATACTGACAGTGAATATACTGTAAACATACTGACAGTGTATATATTGTAAACATGCTGACAGTGTACATATACTGTAAGCACAGAGAAATCAAGGCACTCAAAATTTAACACTTTCTACCTCTTCAAATGATTAAGGCAAACATAAACAAGAAGTCTATGAGCCAATGCTCACTAGTAATACCCCTTCTTTGACATGAATGTACACAAGTTCAGTTATGGACAGACACAAGGATGAACAAGAAGTTGACATCAGATTCATACAAAAATGAATCCCACCATATTACAGGCCTAAACAAAGAGTGTGCTAAAATTTCAAGCACCTGCAATTACCAGTAGTAGTTGCTGAGCAAATTGCGACCAAAATTTGTTATGTATGGTAGGGACAGATGCACGGATAAACAGGAAGTTGACATCGGATTCCTACAAAAATGAATCCAACCATATGGCATGCCTAAACAAAGAGTGTGCTAAAATGTCAAGCATCTGCAATCAGTAGTTGCTGAGAAAACTGTGACCAAAATTTGTTATGTATGGTACAGACAGACGCATGGATAGACAGGAAGTTGACATTGGATTGATGAATCCCACCAAATGGCATGCCTCAACAAAGTGTGTGCTAAAATTTCAAGCATCTGTGATGAGTAGTTGCTGAGAAAACTGATGAAAAATTTGTTACGGACAGACAGACACACAGACAGACAGACACACAAGGGTAAAACAGTATACCCCCCTCTCCTTCGGAGTGGGGGTATAATTAGTGCACATGTGTCATAACCTAAACAAGAATAGGCGTACATGAAGCAGTTTGAAAGGTGCTAAAATATTATCACTGAAATAATTACATTTACAGAATGTGATGTACAAAAAGGATATCTATCAATGTGATTTTAAGCTACCTTTACCTAACATACAAGTCACCCGCGTGGCGCAATGGTTAGAGCGTTTGCTCTAGAGTCCCGGAGTAAGGAGTTGATCCTTACGTCGTAGGTTCAAATCCCACTGTGGGACGTGGAGACCAGTCCTTTGTATGAGACCGCATAAACTGAAATCCCCTGTCACAGTAGTTGCTGGCACAAAAAAGATCCCTCACTGCTCAATGGCCCTGAGTGCCAAGTATAGGTTAAAATTTGAAGACCTCCACCGGCAAGTCGTGGCATTTTGATATGAATGAAAAATTCTCAAAAAGGGACGTTAAACAAACAAACAAAATCTAACATACAAAAGATTTTTGGAAGAACATGGATTTGAACAATCCAAAAAAAAATTTGGTTCCACAGAAAGAAACTCTATTTTACTTAATACCAGTATTCAAGTTATTTTCAATACATGTACATCTCTGGAATAACTAAGTCCAGACTTTTATGTGACATGATTTTTTTCTATAAATGTCCCCTTCCTTTTGACCTGCACCCCTTTATCCCAATCCCTAAGTTCTTGATGACTTGTTAGTACATGTACTAAAGAAATATATTTATTTGTGTAAGTAAAACTGTTAACAAGATGTACTTCATTTTAACAAAGCCCTTGTGTGGGTTTCCTGCCTTCTTCCTTTGAGGAGCATCAGGGTAAAAATTACTGGGGCACACTGAAGGGTAACCAACACAGATCGTACATAATTACATAAAAAAAAATCTTTAATTACCTAATTTTTTACATAATATCTTCCAGTTTGATCTGCTTTACAGTGTTATGTATGGCTTACTGTTCACGTAGTTTTCATATCTTACACAAAAGACACATTTTTTTCTTTTAAATATAATCAACAAAATGATACTCATGTCACTTTACACATAAGCCAAGACATCAGCTGATTCGTGATTTCCATTACAAAGACAGGGCTTGTGGGATTATCTAAGTGTAGTGATAAAAATAATAGGAGTACACAGATTACCGTGGCGACACAGAAGACATGTGATAGATTCTGAGATGATTGACGTGGATATTTCATTTATTGTGCTTTTGATTCTGACTACGGTTATCATCACCATAAAAACAGGTTGGTTATGGACCCAGTAGCTGCCTTTTTTTAAATACTAAATTTTTATTTTTTTTCTCCTGATAGGTAAATTGATATTTAAATTTTATTTTAGATCATGTAGATGTATACCTTAAAAAAACAAAACAAACCTCTCTGCAACAAAAAATATACAAATGCTGATGAAAAATGTAAAACCCTAAAGTTCCGCCCACTTTGCATCTTCCTATCAGCTTTCATCTTTATGTAACTAATTATGATGCTCCGATAACCAAGAAATAAGACTTAGTTTATAATTGTGGCTTTCACTGGAACACTTTTAATACAAGTTTTAACCTATTTTTGGACCAGTGTGAATTAAATTTTTTACACATATTCAGGGCTTTTATAAAGATTAGAGATGGGTGGTACTTCAACAAAAATAGGTGGCTTGTGGAAGTGATTTTAATCAAATACATTATCGAAATTGTGTCCATCAAATATTCCGGCTGGTACAACCATGATTTCAGTCGGGTAAAAGTACTGGCATATTTTGAAAGGCCTGCATTAGGTATTAAATGGATAACTATAAATTTTTTATGATTTTGCATGAATCTGGACATTTGAGGCATTTTTTCTACGACATCAAAAAAAGGTTACTTCAAAAAAAAAAAAAGATATTGGAAGAATTTTGAAATAGGACAATTATTTGATTTACTGGTGACCCGTTTTTAAATTCTCAAAAATTGGGAACATAAATATTGCAGGTTTAATGCAGATGATGCTGCATCCTCTCTTCCTACTTTGTCATATAATTTTTTTTCATTATAATGCTGAACTTGTAGTTATTCTAGTAGAATTCAAATTTTAGCACCTTATGCACAGCATCAAGTGAGCTTGTTCATGAACACCTCCAACACAAAGCCCAAACATTGCTAACATGCGACTTTGTTTACTTGTCCATTGATTATAAATATTGTTCTAAATTTTAGAATTCACAGAAATAAGTGAAATGAACATTAAACATAATATTGAACTAATGCATATCAATCAGTACCAGGACATTATATTTCCTATACAAGTCTTGAATGCCATTTCAGTTGAGGGCGGTAAATGTTTACAAGATGCACAGCGACAATGTCAGACAGAATCGGCAGGATTAATTGAGGCCCAGAGACAAAGCACAGGGGTCTGTAGGTAAACATACTCAGCTCTGTTGCCTTATTCAATAGATGACACACAGAATTAATCTATTAATGTGATAGTTTGTTTAATCCTAAGAAATGAGGAGCCTAGGAAATAATTTCCTTGTTACATGTAACATAAGTCTGTTACAAGACCTAGGGATAAGAGAATAACAATGTGCTGATCTATTGTATCAATCTTCAAAATGATAATTTTTTTATTAATCTGTATAAATATTTACATCAATTTTCATAAATCTTGCATTACCGGTAGTTGTCAAAATAAAGAGAAATAACTCTTTATTAATGATAATCCCCTCCCCCTCCCCACCCCTGAAACAAAATTTTTTTTTACATGCATTAAATATTATTTAACAAATTCATACCTAAGCTTTTCTTGTTTTAGGGGAACATGGTTTACAGATCAAAAAAAGCAAAACCAAACTGTCCATTTTATGACCAATTTCAAATAATATACAACTACAAACTTACACTAACTTAACCAGATACAGTCAATTTCATATAAGTCAGCAAGACTGAAAGATTAATAGATCATTTGTCAATATCTAGGAGTATACCAAAATCTGATGAGCTTAAGTCTGATTTGTGTATATGGCCCCATTATCAGAAAGGGTTGTAATTATGAGCAATTAATTGACACTTGTATTAAGAATTCATAATTAATTACAAATGAATTCTACTTTGCATTCAAAAAAACTTTAATAGCATACCGGGTATTTACTAAACATGTTGAATTACGAGTATGTAAAATGTAAATAAATCTCAAGTTGGCATAGGCAGTTCTTTGGGGGTTTCCAAATTTGTAAAAGTTAATAAAAAACTACAGAAGTCTTCAGTAGAGGGATTTTGTATAATGAATGTGAATTGTTTAATCATCTGACTGTACAAATGCATTACAAAGTGAAATATTTTTCAGTGCCTACGCTGACTATGACTCTTGCATAAAAACCTCTATAAGTAAGCTGGGGTGTCGCCTGTCCCCAAGTGAAGCAGATCTCTATGAGAAAGATATCACTAACATTTACACAGAGTACCCTCATGGCTGTACCAAGACCGCCAGTGGTAAGTAAAAACGCGCATAATCAAGCTGGGGTGTCGCCTGTCCCCCAGTAAAATCAGATCTCTGTGAGAAAGATATCACCAACATATACACAGAGTACCCTCATGGCTGTATCAAGACTGAGAGTAGAAAAGATTATGTAAATATTTAAAGTTTTTGATTAAAAAGTGTGCAGTGCCTTGGACATCATTTTACACTTAAAAATAAATGCAGCATTATTTGTCTATACAAGCAATTTCACATCAAACAGTATAATTTGAAATTCAGATCTATTTTTCAGTACACAATTACTTTGCTCTGTAATGTGAAAGTTGGAATTTTAAAAAATATTGATCACCACTGAAAAATATTCATATTTTTCTTTCTTCCTGAAACAGGTTGGATCGCGTCATACACGGCCCGCTCAGCAGCTACAGGGAGTGTGTCAGCGACACTGTTGAGCTTCACTATTACGCTCGGATTAATCTGTCTCTTACACTAATTTCTTATCACTAACACTGTGATATCTTATCATTTTTAATTGTTATTTATTTATGTCATTATTGCAATAAAGAATAATTCCATCAAACTAAAAGTTGCAATATGCATTACTAGTATGTAACTGTGAAATAGTAACAACACAGTAATTCAGTAAAGTTAGTTATTTCCCTCACTGAATAAACACAAAGAAGGAGAGACAATGCAAAGCAGGATTGTCCCTTACAAATTGTTAAATCTTTGAACTTTACCCAAACCTACTTGTCACAAATTCAACAGACTTTTTCCACTGGTCATTTTGTATCATTCTGGCAAATATCAAACTAATGCATCAAACTGTACTGTTTATAGAATTGACGACATTTTTACTTTTCATGCATGATGTGTCTTACTCAAACATATGATAGACATCTTCATAATTTAGACTGCCTGCAACATTGTTGTAGTGTGAAATAAATATTTCCCTCCAAATAATTATCTGAAGTAAGTGTATTTTGCATCTGCACTTCATGAAAATAGCCTCAGCAATGATAAACAAAGTAACAATGTAAAAAGTACCTAAAATTAACAACAAAAAAACACTTTTAAACTACTTTCCCCCAATTTAAAAAAAAAAACTCTTTTGCAAAAAGAGATCAGAAAAGATACACAAGATAGAAAAAGGGAAAAAACTCCAACATATGTCTTCATTGCAAAAAAATTGTGTTTTAAAGTAAACAATGTACACAATATGCATATGTTTTGAAGAATTTAGGCTCTATGCTGTTTCAAAAAAGGCCTGCATAAAGATGTAACATAAACTTTAACCGGAAGTGTCTGATGAGACTGTAGCTCTACTGGTGTGTACTTACAATAAAGATAAATGCATCTCAGTAAAGTCAACTCCTAGTGTGAGGTAGGAGGGCATTGTCAATAACTAAACCTTCACCTCATGCAATGCATACAACATGTAAATAAATTCTGAGATTGATGTGCACTGACTTTCTGCAGTAAAATATGGTTAAGGTCTGACGACACATTCCGCAAATATTTGTTTTGTTTCTCCTTGTAATATATAAGAAATATTCATGATATTAACATTATCTTGTGATTTCTAAACTGTTTTCAAAATGTCTTGAAAAATAAATACAACAAAAATTAAGATATTGACAATTCAAGTGATTTCAAATATGAATTTATATAAGAAACACCACCCTATGGTATCTTGCACAAATGCCTGGTAAGGTACCTCAATCTTTTGTGAGGAAACTTGTTAAAGTAGCAGTACTTCAATGACAAATTCTTGGGAAAATTCATATATTATTGAGGAACGTGTCATCTGACATTAAATGGCTGGTCACTGACCTTTTGTTTATACAAGGTACTGAAGTGGTTGTTTCTGAAGAACACACAAAGCTGGTCTTCTTTCACGGTTGAGTTGAGTTCATACAGCCCATGGTAAGTCAGCTGTGATGCCGTTCTATCAAGGAAAGCCTCTGCCAACAGTGCTAAAATATAACAATTCCTAATTAACAATGTATGTATCCTAACACAGACTTTAACAAAACATATTTTTTTTTTCTTAATCAATCATTGCATTTAGTTGCAAGCACAGATTTTCAAACAATGACTTGTTAATAGATGTTGTGCTGACTTAATTTTTTTTTTTTTTAATCATTCATCATTTATCATGTTTATTACAATGTCTTTTGCATGCAATTGCCGAAATAGTAACAAAGGTTTTGACAAATGCAGGGTCATGTGAAAAAATAATTTACTGTTTTAAGGCATTCAAAATGGAATTAAAATGGCATTCCTGCGTTTCTCAAGGGTATTTTGGTGAAACTTGTGCATTTTAGTGATTTGTTATTCCAGTCAAATTCGGTAGGCTGTAGGCTGTTTTGAAATCCAAATTTCTCATCAGAATTGGCTTCAGATTCATACTGGTAAAGTCTGATGTCAAGTTCAATAATTATTCCATCTGATTTTTTAACACATGTAGACCCATACCACATACTGAAAAAAGGGTTATTTTTGCCCCGTGTTATTTTCGCCCTTTCACATTTGCAAGTAATTTTGCCCACAGTTCTGTTTAAGAAATTATACTGTGTTCTTTGAATTCACCCGTTTTAAATTCACCCACCTGTGAGTAAGGCGAAAGGGGCGAAAATAAAACGGGGGCCAAAATTTTCCCTTTATACAGTATCTAAGCTTAGTATCCTCATCATTGTTGGGAGTCAACCTCATGCACTGTCCTTAATACTGACCCACAGCAGCAGTACATGTTGTGACGTCACACCAGTTGAGCCTTGTTATCAATCCTTTCTATTTTCACTTAACTGGATTTTCAAAATAGGTAAAAATAGCCATGTTTAAAACCCAGTAACTTTGTTAATTGTGCATAAATTTCAGCAGTGCATTTTTTTTCTCTGTTTTATTTTATTGTATTCTTTATTATTTCAAAAAATAAAATGCTACTGCAGGTAACCTTGAAGTGTAGCAAATGCTTGCATAATATGGACCACTGTCCAATCACTGATGATGGATTATAAATAATCATCTGTTTATTACTATGTGGGAGTCTTTTACAAATACAGAAAATGGTCTTGTCTTCTTGAACTTAAAACTGGTGCATAAAATGGCCAAATAGCCAAACCATTAATGAGTGAAGTTTCCATGAATATATAGACCAAGCATTATGTTGTAGCAGGTTAAGCAAACTTGTGATATTTTACATCAGTTCTGTGGCAATGTAAATGAACTTGTGGGGACAGGAAATTGCTTCCATAATTACATTTATCCTATGTGCTCTCCGGTCCTTTTAAATACTTCCTGATTCACAAGTTCTCACAGAAACCCGAACAATTTTAGATTCCCTCGGACTAAGTGTTCAAGTGCCTGAGTATTTATATCATTATATCAGGATAAGAGATGTATAATTCAACTTCCCTCTCCTACCCATTCATTTTCCTGAAGAACTCTTAAAAATTAAGTTTTCATTTCTTTCTAATCCCATGAACACTTCACATTCTTTACTCATTCATAATCTTCATTTCTCCCCTTCAATTTTATGTTTTAATTATTTTGTTTTTTCGGTTTTTTGTTTTTGTTTTTACACACCCATACAGAGTACGCCAGAGAATATGACCAACCCCTCTTTCTTCTAGCACCATACTTATCATTTTCAGATATTTTACACAAATCTTCCGGATGTTTGACTTGCCCCTGTTTTACCTTGGTTGACAAGGTCTTCTCTCTCAGAGCTCCGATCACTGATGATTTTCTCCACCAGTTGATTGTAACTACAGTTTCCAATCGCCTCCACCATTTTCATATCCTGTGGATCAACGAGCCAACCATGGTACAAAGGGATACCCAACAGGTCAAAGATTATACATTCAGGGGTGTATTCAAAATCCTGTATCCTGCAATATAAATATGTTTTAACCATATACATGTGGTAGACAATTTTAATTACATAATGAACCTATTCATGTACTTAAAACCCACATTTTCTTCAAATATGAAAAATTTGCAACTGCAAAATATGGGATATTTTAATAAAAGAGTAAGCCACCTTGAACCATTATCATGTGGTGACTTATTCCTTTGTTAAATTTTTGTGATACATGTATAAAAAATTGTAACAAGAGGCCCATGGGCCACAATGCTCACCTGGGTAGCCTTGACCCCACTGTTTTTGCCGACTCCATATTGTAGCTTCATGTTAATTCCAAAAGGTCATGACTTAAACTTGAATTTACACAATATGTGGATGATTCAAAGCCAATATGAATAACATGGTCTTCCTAATTTGGAGAACATTTTTCCTTATACACGTACATGTGTTATATAAAATTTGATCCCCAATTTTAGTCCCACCCTTACCTCAGTTTCCATAATTGAAAAGAAAAATGAATCCACATAACTTGGGAATATTTGCACATTATATGATTTAGTGCAATCCTGCTTCTCTTGAAAAGTTTTTTTTTTAATTCACTACCTGTTCTCTTGTAAAACGAATCCCTATTATGGCCTTGTCCCTGCCCCAGGAGCCAGGATTTGAACAAATTTAGTTCTGTAATACATTGGGATGCTTGCATATTATTACATTTAATTTGAAACATGGCCTAGTAGGAAAAATGTTATCCTCCACTGTGGCCCCACCCTACCCATGGGGTCAAAGATTTGAACAACCTGAATCTGCACTATATATGAACATGACATCATGACTAAAAGGTGTAAATCTAATGCTGACAATTAATCCTGCCTGTAACTTGTGTATAACTGCCATGACATCATGACTTACCCTGTAAATCTAACATTGACATCTAATCCTGTCTGTTACTTGTGTATAACTGCCATGGCATCATGACTTACCCTGTAAATCTAACACTGACATCTAATCCTGTCTGTAACTTGTGTATAACTGCCATGACATCATGACTTACCCTGTAAATCTAACATTGACATCTAATCCTGTCTGTTACTTGTGTATAACTGCCATGGCATCATGACTTACCCTGTAAATCTAACATTGACATCTAATCCTGTCTGTAACTTGTGTATAACTGCCATGACATCATGACTTACCCTGTAAATCTAACATTGACATCTAATCCTGTCTGTAACTTGTGTATAACTGCCATGGCGTCATGCATATTCTGCTGAAAATTTAGCTGAACAGCCTCAGTGCCATTCTAAAAACAAAATGTTAAAAATTTAGGTTATTGTAAAATTTTCTCCAAAAACATGAACACAGGTAGATAATCACATATAAATGAATGCCAAACATATTATACATGTATTATAAAATTAAAGCAATGTATTATACGAAATAATGTTTGCTTAATGAGACATACTAATAATTTCCATTTATAAAACACTTTAGTAAAACATTTAAAAATAGAAAAAAATGAATCAAATCTTATTTTAAGTATTAGTAGTTTCATCATTTGAGCAAGTTTGGTATAGCCACCAGCTGTTAAAGATCTCCATAAACTATGACATGGTCACACTTCTGTAAAATATACACTGTAGGCCACATGCAACCTCTAAAACACGAGCAATGGTAGGCATCCCTTGATGCATCATCTGTGCAGTTTGTAGATATAAAGGAAAGATTGAGATTTAAAAACTTGAACATGGTCCCTCAGTCATAAAACATGGGCCACATGCAACATTTAAGCATGAACAGCTTAACCCATCCATAGACACCCTTAGCTGCATTATCCATGCACATTTGGTCCAGATAAGGGGCTTATAATTACTTGAAAATGAAATCTTTGTAAATCTAATTGAAGACATTTAGTTGGAAGCACATACTGAATAGGGGGAAAAATACCTCAGTGTAAATATTCAGGTATATTCACTTGATTTTATCAACATTTGGTGTAACTCTGATCCTTTTATAATAAAATTTTATTCATACAATAAACTCTCTGACTTCCTGTAGATACAGAATGCTATAGTCAGCATAACATTTATCATCCTGTAAAAATGTTAATATATGGTTAGACTGGTTTTCGCGGTGATGTCTTATCCCTTCAGATAAGAGAAATTGGGATGTAGTATGACACCACTCAATGTAACAGTATACAGGGAGAAATCATTTAATATTTATCGTCAAAGCCGTTAAACAGCACTTGCCTAGATTAATTTGTGAATTAATTACCAAATCTAATCACTTTATTTAAACATCCCCTAGTTAAGTTCATGTAATGAATACATCACACTGATGTACACTGGGATACATTTTAACATCGAGTTGTCATTCTAACACTATGCATAAAATGGATACAGACAAGGGAGGTAACTTTTATATCATACCAATCTCCGAATTCATCAAACTATGATTATGCCTGAGGTGAGAAAAGCTTGAAAATTAAAACCCAAGGAATTAATCCCCTATACAGTATTAGACCAAAAACACATCTTAAGATGCACTATGTGTGCAAGTTTGGCTAGGAAGGCCCGTAGGAAGCAATTTCACTTTGAGGGGGCACAACCATACATTTTCAGGGTTTTTTTTGGGAGGGGGGGGGACTATCAACTACCAAAAATTCCTTGACAAGCAAAAAAAAGGTCATCAGACATTATTATTGAGGGGGCACAAGCATATGCAGTGCGGTCTCATTATTACAATGTTCATTTTGTCACGCGAAAATATCATAATACTGAGGGCAACATAATAAAGGTTCCCAATAAAATCCATTAAAACATCGTTTTGAAAGCTTGTTATTTTTGTGGGAGGTGTATTTTTGCCCTTTTGTTCCCTTCTTCTGTATCCAATTCTTAATAAAAACGCAAACACATATATAATTTTTTAACAACTTATCTTGAATAGATACCTTCATGATGATATTTCTTTTATTTCCTTCATTTTAAAAGAAATATGCATATTTCTTATAAAAACTTCGGCGATCTTCATTTATCTACCGCCATTTCCTTTTACTTCTGTTTCTGACTCTCTAGATAATTCATTCATAAAAATTTCAATAAGCCGTCTTCGTATTCAATTTACAGTCGTTACTACATAACAACAACAATTTTTAGTGAGCTTTTGGGTATCCAATGAGCTTAGAGCAGCAGTGAACAACTGATGAAAGAGGGCAGTGTGACTGGCATATTTATGGATGGAATTTGACGATACACAAGCTATATGTCAAAATAAATTTTATTGTTTAAATTACTGAACAGAGTTCAATTAGCGGTTCAGCAATTATCGATTTGAATTTCTCCTGACACCTGTGAGGTAGTTGAAGCCACAGTCCAAGCTGTTAAAATGTAAGTGAAGTTCAAGTTTGGCCCAAATTATGTTTGATACCCAAGCTGTCCATTACCGCAGTTAAATTGCAAACGAAATTACACAATACGTGTTTAACAAACATGCACAAGATTAAATGTAACCTTTTATTTAGTAAATTAATTTTATTTATTAACCAAAGTATAATAAACTTTAAAGAGATAGATAAACTAGAGACTACATTTATAAATAAACGGTTTAATTGTTTAACAATGGCTTTGACATGATGTCTCCAGTTCTGCTGACCTTGCTAGAGCAGTCAAGGTGTGTGCAGTCGAGCGTCACTTATCACCTAACAGGTCTGTAGGTTAACACTCTGTCAGAGCACAGGTGTTTCAATGTTTATTTAGCATCTCCTTAAGTGTCTACCGTTGATCAGCACTGAATAAACACGGAGTGAAAAAATTTGTGGACAAAATTTTTACATCATAATACCGAGTCCCGGCATTTTAGGACATCGTAATAAACGGTTCTATTTTGTCTAGATTTGTTAAGAAATGGTTTTGTGCTTTGAATTTACAACATAATAAGCGTTCTATCTTATAAAACCGTCACCGTAATAACGAGACTGCACTGTAGCAGGTATGTTTTCTATAGTATTCTATATGATATTTAACAGCTTACCGTTGGTGCACTGAGCTTGTTATTTATTGATACGGATATTTAACAGCTTACCGTTGGTGCACTGAGCAGGATACTGTCCCCAAGGTAAGTCATTATCTGTTCTGGTGTAATGACTTCTATCCCTGGATCAAGCCTAACTTTGGCTTTCAATAGCAAGATGTTCATGACAGCTAACAGTGGACACGGTCCATTTTCATTCTGGGTTATAATGGGAACCTCTAGTGAATTAAAACTGGTCCACTTTACATGATAAACACTAGGTTCACAGCTGTTGTCCACTGGCGTTGCAGTAGCACCAATTGCGGCATCATTCACACTGGCAAGGGCGGGTAACTCAACTCTAAGCTTGGTCTGTTCACCACTTGTTTGGCTGGTGTCTGATGATTCATATGAATCTGTGGTAGTCGTGGTGGTGGTTGATAATTCAGATTTTTCACGGCAGGGGGGCTCCCAGGTTTCCCCCTCTTTCTCCTCAGGTTCATTTTCTTTACATTTTTTAGGTTCTGGTTGTGAATTTTCCATGTCAGACTTCTCTTCTACAAATGCTATCTGTGGTTTTCCTACTTCTTCCACTAATGCATAAAATAAAATGATTCAGTAATACGTATTGTAATTCAACAATATGTACTGTACCAAAAAAATAAATGCAAGCTTTAATGGCATATAAGCATTCAATTTTTAATGATAACTGTAAATCACTTTTTATTCGTGAGAACTTTATTTTCGCGTTATCATGAGACCGTTAGCTCACAACAATTCTACTCTCATGTATAATTCGGCTATTAAAGATTATATAGATTAATAACTAGAATTCGTGAAAATTTTGTTTCGCTTAAAATTACCAACAACAATCTCGCGAAAATAAAGTGATCTACAGTATTAGAGAGTAAATATTATTTAGGGATCAATGAAAATCAAATCAACTACCAATATTTTTGCCTTGCAAAAATTTCCTATCTTAAGAGACCCATGACTTCAATGGTAAAGAGGCCCATGGGCCACAATGCTCACCTGAGTCACTTTGGTCCACCTGTTTTCGATCAGCAGATTTTTATTTAATTTCCTGCTTCAATTTCATAAAAAATTTGACTCCATATTGAGGACCAAAATCTATGCTTAAGAGAGCTATGATTAAAATCAAAGTTGAATCGACACAACATTGAGATGCTTCAATATCAATGTCACAACATGGCCTTGCTGCCCTGGATATGACTTTGCATTATGTAAAATTTGGATCTCTAATTTCAATCCAACCATAACTCTCGGGCTCATAATTTAAAAAAGAATTGATTCTACAAAACTTAGTGTACATACCCCAGTATTGCTTTTTAATATGATTTTGGTCTTGTCACTCTTGAAAAGATTTCTTCTTTTAAACGCTCATAAAACTTCGATCCTCTATTGTAGCCTCAACCTATTCCTGAGGGCCCTGATCTGAACAAACTTGAATCTTATGCAGACCAGAATCAGCTCCTAAGCACTTTTTGAAATATACATGATATAAGCAATCAATATTCAATATTTCAAACAATCTAGCCTATGCCTTTGCACTTTTGAGGTTTATCGGGAATATGATCATGATGATTATACTATTAGTGAACAATTACTAAACCAATGGATCCACTCCTTTGGATCCTGCATCAAGCCAAGGCTAGTGACATCATTTAATGACACATGATTTGTTTCTTATTACTCAGCAGTTTTGTTATCAATGGTGAGATTTTGCTTTAATAAATAAATAGGATAAAATGAATGTATGCAAGCTGTATTTTATGCACCATCATGTTAAATTGATTTATGTCACTTGATAAATTTTTTATGACGTCACAATGATATTTACCATAGGGTGCATCACAAATGTGAACTCAAGCCTTCCTTAATGAGCAGTGTACAGGAGGATGCTTCCATATATATAACTAATCATGACTTTGCTGTTTTTGAGAAGGAGATTTTTAAAGATACTTCCTAGTATGTATTTCTATGTAAAACTTTGACTGCATGGCCCCACCGTACACCCCTCCCCAAGCGATGCTTTGAGCAAATCTGAATCTACACTACATGAAGATGCTTTCTTTTTTGTATGAATAATAAGGGCTTTGCTGTTCGGCATCAGAAGATTTTTAAAGGGTTTTTCCTATCTATTCTTATGTAAAACTTTGATTATCTAATATGGCTCAAGCCACCTCACCTGACCCCAGGGGTCATGATTTGAACAAACTTGAATCTACACTATGTAATAAAGCTTTCATATTTATAAGTTCCATATTTCTGGTCCCATGAATCTTGAGAAGAAGATTTTTAAAAGATGCCATTAAATTTTCATCTATTCTTAATTATCTCCCCTTGACAGAGGGTGTGAGCCCTTCATTTGACAAAATTGAATCCCCTTCACTCAAGGATGCTTTGTGTCAAGTTGGTTGAAATTGGCTCAGTGATTCCGGAGAAGAAGATGAAAATGTGAAGTTAACAGACAGACAGATGGACAGACAGCTACACATATGGAAGACTGACAAACTTCAATCAGAAAAGCTCAACTGAGCCTTCAGCTCAGGTGAGCTAAAAACAACAACATAACAAAACAAATACTAAAATAAATAGATTAATAAGGGAATGGAAGTAAGATATTAAAAAAGGGGGGGGGGGAGAAGAATATTTGGGAAAAATTTCATAATTTCAATGTTTGCAATTTTTTTTTTTTTTTTTTTTTTTTTTGCTTATTAGAATGTATTCATGGACCTAATGGTGCTCTTCTAAGCCCTATACAGTGACAGCGTTCAGAATATTTCATTCCATATTTTTTAGCAAGGATGCAATTTTGGCATTGAGAGTGTTAAGATAGCGTATAACATTCATTTGAATATCACTAATCAGTAACAATTTCTTCAGCAGTAAGCATGGTAAGGTATGCAGTATTTTTTCTTGGCATCATAGAATCCCTAAAATTACTGCTGGCTAAAATCATATGTCGATTTTTCAAGACAAAGCACTGAATTTGCTCAAAATTTCTTCTCATACAGTTATCAATGGTTATAGTGAGTGCAGCGAGCTCTATGGAACAATGCATACTATTAGAGGAAATTCAGGTTGAAAACTACACATTGTACAAAGAAATTTTTATGACTCCACCCAATCCTTTTTTGCGTACATTGCAACATGGTGGCTACAGCATAAAACAACTTACTTGAAAAGATTTACAAAATAAAAATTATGGAATCACTCTGCCACAAAAGTAACTTATCCTCAATAAATATGACATTATTTTCCATCACCATGATGACACCAAAATTTTCTCAGGTTTTTCTGTTTTTGTTGGAATTCAATCGCATCGAGTCTTTCTGTCAGAGGTCGGAAAAACCACCTCGAATGTATTAAAATCACTGAATGTTAAAAGTTTATACAAGATGGAGTCGCTCCCTATTTATTAAAGCATTGGAAATACAGAGTTAAAAGTCATTCCTGTAGTATAATTTTGGTAATATCTTTACATTCAATAAAGCTGGGCTTCAGACTCTACAGATAAGAGGTCTCCCTAAATTTATTTCAAAGTTTATGAAAAGGGGGGTTGTCATGGTCGCCTACATAACACATTTGAGGTTGTTTTTCCGCTTGTAGGAAAGGCCCAAGAAAGTTTGATGTATTGGAAATTGTCTGAGAACTATTCCAGATGTTCAAAAAAAATAAGTCATTAAAATTGTGTGGGAAAAAAGACATTACAAGACACAGTAAACATAGGCTACAGGAGTTTACTGAAAATTGTGATTTAATTTGCAGTATGGAAATGGAAATGCCTTCTAATGGCAGATCTATCTTTTAAGAAGCATAGAATTCATTAATTATTACACAAGGAAACTGCCCTCACCCTAAAAGTTTCTTCATCAAACTGATTATGCTTTTGACTTGGGGATGGTAGTGCTGAACCCTCCTAGTATATGTACATTTTCTCCCAGAAGCTAGTAGTCTAATCCCTCATTTCAGTGGCACTGGTGAATGGCCTTATTTCAGTTGTATGTTCGTTCACCCTAAAATTTGTTCGCCCTTGACCCCGTCCGCCCTAATTCTCGTTCGCCCAGAGTCCGATCGCCCTAAAACTTGTTCGCACAGGGTCTGTTCGCCTTTTTTATATTGCAGAAAGTTGAATAATTAACCAAATGAATGGATTTTTTAAAATAAATTATATACCTGTCCTATCAAAGACCCGACAGACCAACAGAAATTAACGTCTCAATCCTTTAGTAATTGTTTTCAAAACATAACGCAGATTGTAAAAAAAAAAAAAAATGCCAATATGATCTCCTAAATTACAGTGACATTATTTATTTAACAGCTGATTAAGTATAATTAAACCAATTAAGCATGTAAAAAGCATTAATATCAAATTTGAATTATTTAATTAAGATTCCGGTACAAAAAAATACTGTTGCAGCAACATTTAAAAAAAAAACACCAAGTCGTAAAATATTGAATAAAATAAATAATAAATGTTAATATGTACTATATACTGTATATATATTAGGGCAAACGAGATATAGGGCGAACAAGAATAATGGCGAACGGACCCTGCGAGAACGGACTCATGCGAACAGGTAGATAGGGCGAACGAACCTGATACCCCTTATTTCATCAATTAAAAAAAATAATATTTTATCAGGATAATTTACCAACATCACTTTTTGTTTAAGTGGCTATGTACACCCGACGATGACTCATACACCATGAAAATGACCCACGAGCATGTCGTTTCAGATTGGTATTTTAGCAGTATTTCATCACATATATCTTTTGTTTGATAAGTTTAAATGAACAGAATAATAATTAAACCTTGTTTTCGTTCAGTGGTTGCTTCATTTTCCTCGAATTCAGCCAGTAAAACCTCGTCTACATCAGGGTCTGATTCAGAATCCTCGCTCTTCTCGTTAGAACATGGATCATTCCCCTCTTTAGATGGGGTTGTCATGACTAAAGCTTATTTATGTCACCAAAGTCGCGTTAAGATGTCAAAGTAAATATAAATATGGAAAAATTCTTTTCAAAACAAATCTAAGATCGCCATTTTTTTTAGGAGCTCTTCTCGATACTTGCGTGAGACTCTACTGTCGCGTTCAGATGCATATACATGTACATGGCATTTTAGAGTTTGCTCTTCTCTACCTGTCAACGCCCGTTGTAAAAGATTATTGGGAAAATTGTATGCGGTAAAAAAAATTGTATTCAAAGCATCTTAAATTATTTAAATTATCAATAAAGAAGATAATTAATTATTCACTTTACATCTATCATCCCCTTAAAGCGACAGTACAGCTGCAAAACGTGTGTTTTTCAGTCAAATTTACCTTGTTATATATCATTAAGAAATGAGGTATAAAGTTGAAGTCAACAGTTTGAGAAAAATGAATATTCTCTCCTCAAACAAAATTAACGTAATTAGAATCTGCCGGAAATCAAAGGGTCGTACAAACCGCATCGTCGCAATGCCACGGGGTTTTGTGTCCATTCTATTTTCATGAATCATGATGGACACAAAACTAGTGGCTTTGCGACGACGCGGATGTACTAAGATCTGTTTATTTGTACCATGTGAATTATGAATTACACGTGCCTAAACTGTATAGTTTACAATTATAATGGAATATGAGATAAAAGCAATTCTCAAAATTAATATTATAACTTCTTTATTATTAATCGTGAAGTTTTTAATCTGCTTTCAGACGAATTTTAAAGAATCAAAAGTACAAATATTGACGTTTTGTGTATTGGGGTCCTCATAGCAAATAAGGTTTTCTTAGCACGGTAAGGTACAAAGTAAAAAGTGCTCATTAAACCATGAGGTTTTCTTGGCGCAGTATGGAGGAACAAACCATGAGGTAAGTTTCCCAACCCAGTGAAGTAAGCTGCTCGAACACAGCTTTTAATACCCTAGCTAAAGGCCCAAATATAAATTCCAATGAACATCAAAGATCCTATATGTAGCTAACTTAACCAATCAAAACACAGCTTCCAAAAGTACTATGGAAAGACTGTCAACATGGATGACACTTCCTGATTAAAAAGTAAAATGTGGAATGTCAACATATGCCCTAATTCAATAGCAAAGACAAATAATAAAGGGTTTTACGCAAGTAACAACTGAAAACATAAGGTAAATAAAATTATCGTGCTAATTTAAAATACCAGCAAATACTTGTAAAATATCATTTACGAAACCAGGGCTATTAAAAAAAATCTAAACCACTACATCCCCCCTTAAAAAATTTACAATATTTTTTTTTTATTATTTTAACACAATAGAGAAATGTTAATGTCATTGTCACTGTTCAAAGTCCTTTGGAAGAGTCAGGAATGGTCACAGGATCCAAGGATTACACAACTGTTGTGGTCTTAAGTCCCCGTTTCACGAAAAATTAGCCCCTTCACGGTAACTGCGGTACTACTCTAGCTTTTGCTGGGCAAAATAACGCTTGGCGAAGTTTTTGCTGACAGGTAATCAAACGACGTCTAATTATCAATTACTTTTACGTCATATTTCACCAAACTATATCATTTTGCCCTGCAAAAGAGCAGTACCGCAGTTACCGTGAAACAGTCTATGGGGGGCTCCGACACAATGCATGGCTCTGGTATAGTACAGGGTCCTGGCATATAAACACAGTACTGCGATTCTTCTGCATCATCTATCCCATTAGGACATCAGTGTTAACTTGTGCGAGAATTTGTATAAAAAGGATTAGAAAAGTATTAAATCAAATAACAAGATGTGTTTGTGAAACACTGATGCCCCCGTATGGCAGCTTATGGCGAAGGTTAAAGTTTCTCAAATGCGAGTCAAAATCCAGGCCAAAAGATAAAAAAAAATGTTGGTACCCAAAGAAAGGTCTTGTCTCGAGGAATATACCTGTGAAATTTGAAAGACCTAGCTGCAACTGTTCAAAAGTTATGGCGAAGGTTAGAGTTTTTTAAAAGTAAGTAAAATGTCAAGGTCAAAGTGGTTGGTATCTAAAGGAAGGTTATGTCACAAGGATTACATATGTGAAGTATGAAAGCCCTAGCATCGACCATTCAAAAGTTAAGACCAAAGTTAAAGTTTTTCAAAAGTAGGTCAAACTCCTAGGTCAAGGTCAAAATGTCAAAGTGGTTGGTATCCAAGAAAAGGTCTTGTCACAAGGATTACATATGTGGAGTATGAAAGCCCTAGCTCCAACCATTCAAAAGTTATGACCAAGGTTAAAGTTTTTCAAAAAAGTAAGTCAAACTCCTATGGCAAGGTCAAAGGGTCAAAGTGGTTGGTATCCAAGAGAAGGTCTTGTCACAAGGATTGCATATGTGAAGTATGAAACCCCTAGCTCCAACCATTTAAAAGTTATGGCCAAGGTTAAAGTCTCATAAAATTTGGCAAAAGTGGGTCAAACTCCAAGGTCAAGGTCAAATATGATGGTACCCAAAGAAAGGTCTTGTCACAAGGAATACACATGTGAAATATGAAAGTCATAGCTCCAACCAATCAAAAGATATGGGCAAGGTTAAAGTTGACAACAGACAGACGAACGGACAAACAGACAGACAGGACAAAAACAATATACCTCCGGGATCTTTCGATCCGGGGGCATAAAAATTCCAGAGGTGGGACCAAGTGCCTGTAGGAGGAGTAAGCATCCCCTGTGACTGTCGACCAGTGACACCCGCCGTGAGTCCTATGTATTGATCAGGTCAGATTTGTTGTGTTCTGCATCACAAGAATAATGGTAGCGTCGAGATTCGGTCAAAAGAGAGAGGAAAAACGTTTAACATTAAACGGAAACAAATTATCAAAAAATAATTTAATTTTGTTTGTATTCTAGCCTCTGATTGGTTTATATCCAAAAAGGAACACAAATTATTTCTGTATAACCTGGTTTGGTATGGGGACACACCCCCCTTGACAACCATCTGAATCATCTGTATCCATACAATCCTCTCATTTCCAGTTCTCGGGATTCATGGAAAAATTCCAGATTTAATAAATGTACCTTTAACTTCAAACAGTAACTCGGATCTTACCACATGTAAACAAACAACATGGCTGCTAGGACTATGTTTCAGTTTTTACCTCCCCTCGCTTCCTATCACTTCCGTTACTACGGTTGTATTACTGAGCGGCAAATTTGAACTAATAAAAAGCAACGAAATTTACAACAACGGCTGTTTAATGATTTTAAAATTAAATTATAAGGAATGACTCTAATTCTTGGCCAAATTATTCGAGTATAACCTGGTTTGGGTCAGTTTACGCTGATTTATAATCCGCTTCGCAGATTATAAAGCGTAAATTAACCGACCCAAACCAAGTTATACTCGAATAATTTGGCCAAGAATTAGAGTCATTCCTAAAATAATTTAATTTCGTTTGTATTCTAGCCTCTGATTGGTTAATATCCAAAAAGGAACACAAATTATTTCTGTATAACCTGGTTTGGTATTGGGACCCCCCCCCCCCCCGACAACCAGCTGAATCATCTGTATCCATACAATCCTCTCATTTCCAGTTCTCGGGATTCATGGAAAATTCCAGATTTAATAAATGTACCTTTAACTTCCAACAATAATTCGATCTTACCACATGTAAACAAACAACAAGGCTGCTAGGCCTATGTATCAGTTTTTACCTTCCCCTCGCTTCCCATCACTTCCGTTACTATGGTTGTATTATTGAGCGGCAAATTTGAACTAATAAAAAGCAACGAAATTTTACACCCATAGTTATTTAATGATTTTAAAATTAAATTATAAGGAATGACTCTAATTCTTGGCCAAATTATTCGAGTATAACCTGGTTTGGGTCATTTTACGCTGTTTTATAATCCGCTTCGCGGATTATAAAGCGTAAACTGACCCAAACCAGGTTATACTCGAATAATTTGGCCAAGAATTAGAGTCATTCCTAAATTACGTACAAGTATTTGAGGGTAACATTGAAAATTTTTACCCCATGAAAACCATTGTCAACCGAGGCGCAGCCAATTTAAGGTTGACACATGTTTTCGAGGGGTGAGAATTTTCAAGGTTACCCTCAACTACATGCAATATTTGTTTTATTATACTGATATTTGATACAAATCATTTTATATTGTGAACCGCATAAATTCTGCACAGTCACCTTTTTTTTATTATCACCTGTCGTCAAGTTATGTTTACTGATTCTGCATTCTATCAAGCTGGAGGGCGTTATTTCATCATTCAGATGAATTGTGAATTTAACACGAATCAATTTACATGAAAAGTATCATATTGTGAAATGTTTAAGTTAAATATTTTCTATCATAATGTATTTTTCTTTTTTATCAATCAAATTTTTAAAAATTGTACGTCCCTTCAGGTATGTCCTTGATTAGTGGGGAAAAAACACTCTCTGGGCTTCGTTTTCCTAATGTTTGTTTAACGTAACGCACCGTGATCTGTGGGAATAACTTGCGTGAAACTCTACAGAAATTCCCTGGGGCACCTAGAGGTGGTTTGAGAAAAATTCCCATGATTGTATGATCACAACATGTTCTTTTCTTACATTTTTTACATACAATAAATAAAAATAACCATGGATTAATTTATACGTACAGACCAGGTTTACTAAATCTCTATGACATATTTTCGGTGTATGTTATGAGGGAAACTGAGGGGTAACTAAAGTTTCATACAGGAATCGCCATCTTGTAAGAGTTCCCAAACTTTCTTTATTTTTGATCGGTATAATTATAATATTATCGAATATTTTGCCTTTTGGTGTCTTTAGGAAGGATTTCATAACTTTTGCAAGCTAAATTGGGATATTTCCACTGTATTTAATGGCGTATTATAACATAGCATAGTCTGTGCCTCTGACGAAGTTATCCCAAGATATAGGTCAAACAGGGAGCCGCAAATCCAGATCGAGAGAGGACTCTTCTATTTAGTATACAAAGGTAAGATAACATCAATGATGATTTTATTACAATTAAAAACTATCTCTATGTTTAAAAACCAGCAGATGCAGATACATTGCCATGTAATATGTTATGCCATGTTTAATGTGGCACATGCACATCGAGTTTACCAATACTTAAACCCAATAATAAGTGCTTTAACTTCTTTTTTTCTCTCGCTCAAAAAAAATGTACTTTCGCAAATATTTTTAGTTTTGAAATAACCAGGCCTAGCAAACAATTTCTGAGACTGGTCTCCATATACAGACGTGTTGATATTACAGATTGATCGTTATGAAATTACATCGTGCAGTTTGTACGTGATAATTTCTGTCCGACTCTTGAACGATATAGAATCCTCGACAGCAGGAATGCAGGAGACTGTCGCGATTGAAATGAAAGTCGTGGGAACACCTGCTTTGTGGTGAAAAGATTGACCAATCACTACCAACATAGCAAAGATTACGCTGTTCCATTAATCGTGTTAAAATCTTTAAGCTATGAAATATAATGCGTAAGTGAGTGAAATCACACAATTGCTATCATAGTGCTGTAAAGAAAGGTTAGAGCAATATTTAAGAAAGATATAATGTATTATTTATTGGTTTATAAATTCAAAATCCGAAATGGATCGTCTGTTCTACCATCACATTTATGTAAACTGAGTAGGGAGGTAAATGGAAGAGCTATTAACTATTGTTCTCACGGTGTCCAAATGCAAATGTGAATTTCCCACGGGTCTGGCTTACGTTACAACTGTTAGATTCCCATCGTAGTGATGAAATGAAATCTAATTAACATAAAGACAGGATAATATTTTAAACTTAGAGAAAGGACTTATACATGCATTGGGCGAATGAAGATGAAATGTATAAAACTGTTTCATGTTCAACAGTGGATAAAGTCTTACTGCGTGTGTCATTTGTGAACAATTTCGTGGGGATTCTAAAGTACATAAATTACATTTCAATGACTTGACAATTAATTAACAGACAATGAATGAACAACATTTATATGTTTCCCAGGTAGGTTTGTGTATATTTATTAACTAGATATTGTAACATTTTTTTCTTGTAAATAAATACTTGCTAAGTCTTACAGAATGCTTTGTCACAACTGCAAAAGAAGGTTTTGTAATTAAGTGTTTTGTTCATAATTTCCTTCCTGGGTTGGTGTATGACGGATAGACCCCTTAAACATTGGAACAAACTTCACAAGTTTAAACAATGTCAGGAGCGTGGGAAATATGTCTTGTTTGTTCAGAAGTGAAACTTGAGATGTGAACAGTTCAGATAACTTTAAACATTCCTATTTGTTTTGAGTTGTACACCCAAATCACTGATAACGTGTTTATGGTTTTAAATTTTTCACACCCAATAGTTCATTAAAATCATTTATTAAATTATTGATATCAAATGATTTTTAATTTAATCAGAGATTAAAGTTCAGTAGATGGATGTGAATAGTATATCAATGTTTTCTCAGGGCCCCCCCCCCCCCCCATTTTTGAGAAGGATCCTTATGGATGGGTGGGAAATCTGATCAGTATATTTTTGTCAATTCAGAATTTAAAAAAAAAAAGCATCTAATAAATAGATTGCTCACTAATGCAAAAAAGAAGGAAAAGTGTGATTAAATATTTTACCACCATTATTTAATGGTGATTGATATAAATTCCACACTTTGAAATTTGAATTTATTTTTATAATATTAGGAATTTATCTGAAACAACACCACAAGCAGGGAAAAAGACTCCTTTATTGGCTTTCCAGACTTTTATGCATTATCTTGATCATTGGGCAATTATTATGGAGGTTTACAAGAAAGATACGGTTATCAGAGTTAATTAACATACATTCACAGCCCGGAAAGCTGAGATGCTTACAGGGTCTAGGCCACAGCAGATATTAAAAAAAAAAGAAATGAAATCATAATTTATGTTTTCTTTAACCTGTTTTGGTATTGTATGAGATTAAGATGGTATATTGTATGAGAGTAAGATGGTATTGTATGAGATTAAGATTATTTCAAAAGTAGACTGAAAATGAAAGTTTTTTCTTCATCTTGAGAAAACAAATTGACTATCTCCCCCGCAGAGTTGTTTGTTCCTCAGACATCTTGGCAAATTAGGCTCACCTCAAGATTTTTGACAGGAAGTGAAAAAAGTTGATATTTCAAGGATTATTTCAATTTAAACTAACAGTCCAAAATCTTAGTAAAACATTATAGCAAACATAAAATTATAATGAATTAAAACAAATGCATCATTTATCATGCTAATCACTGTGATCCACTGACAGAGGTAGAGGCAATAGTGGATGGTGTAGAATGAAAAATTGATTTTTTTTTTTTATTCATTTCAATTTGTTTTTGATATCCAAGAAAATTGATCTACAAAAATTATATGTAACCTCAGAGACCTTCACGTATAAGTATCTAATTTGTCTTTGAAGCTCATTCATGTTAATATATTAATACATTTTGAAATTTGTGGGTACCGGTAATGAAAATGATATAAACATGGCAAATATGAATGAAACTTTCAGAAAGAGAAATTACAAATGGAATGAAGTCATGAGCAATATTTATTTTTTTTTATTGCTCAATAGATATGTTTAAACCAACATATTTTTGTTTAAATGCATATTACATCTAAATTCAATTTTTTTATAACAAGGTTTTGAGTGAACTATAGGGAAAATGCTTAAAAAAATATCAACATCTACACAGATAATTTAATTATTAACTAGTATGTCAATGAATATCATTTAATGTTATGTTAAAAATTGTACTTGGTTTCATGAAAATATTACCCTAATTAATAAAAAGTTAAGCATCTGATTTAGGAGGAAAGTGTGACAAGAGAGTATTTATTGTCTTTTTCCTTGGTTGTGAGGAAAGTTTTACATGTTTTAGTTTTTTGGTACCAAGAATTAGAAGATCTACATTATGTAATATTAAGAAATGTTGAGTTTGAAAATCATTAAGTACAATTTACATTTAATTAAAGTAATATGAGAAATGGTGAATCCACTATGGTACAAAACCATTTAGTCTTTACTGTTCAGTAATGAGCAGGGAAGAAAAAATATTTTAATTTTAAAATTAAATACTGATAAAATTCTCTAATAGTAATGAGAATAGAACAGAAATTCTTATTGACATAATTATTACATATATACCAGTACTCCAATGAATAAAAAAAAAAGAGAAAAATTAAAAAGATTACCACATTTTAAAACTGGAAGGAATTTATTATAAATGGTAACATTTTGTATATTATTAAAAAAGTTCAGTACATGTATTAATAAGTTTGATCAGTTGATAATTTATCTATAACTTAATGAGCTAGAATTCATGAGGATTAAACTTGGTAGTAAGAATTTCAAAATATGGTATGCGCACTGGAATCAGAACGATGGACAAACGGATCTCCTGCGTAATTAGCAGCAGCTGTTGCGCTCTGCACCAAGTTATGAATTATAAACATATAGCTGATTTATTCAGGTCTCTTTGCATTTTCTTTAAGTGTCAGTGGTGTCAATTTTGATAACATCCCATGATAAAGCATTGCATCGGTTGTCAACACTCTTTGATTTCTGCAAGAGGGGAAAATAGAGGAGTGTGTGAATTTTAAGTAGATCCGTGACCCAATTCAGGGTTAATCTAAATTCACAATGCACCTTCGTTGGCTTCACGGATCTCTCTTTCGTGTATTGTATAGCCATCAGACAGCTGCAAGAAGTGAAAAAAAAATGACAGAAATAGCATATATTGTGACATTTACTTCTAGAATTCATATTTAGATGGATTCTGTAATAAAAATTTTAAAAAAAAAGGGGGGGTTGGGTTATAATAAGAAATTGTTAGTTATACTGCCAGACTTGCTAAGATGCTGTATTTTGAAGTACTGGTGTCTTGCTGTCGATTTACAACCTGCTGAATGCATTCTATTGCCGTCTAAGCTCATAACTGTCAAATCTGATACAGAATGCATCCGTAATACAGCAGCAGTGCCTGCACTCAGAAACTTTTTGGCGGCACAGTGTTATAGATGTGCTGTGTGGCTGTCTGAGAAAGGTGAACACAAAACAAAGTATTTGGCCCTAGTTTCTGACTTCTGCATTTTCATAGAAGGCAACTTGATAGAGAGGTTTCATTATAAGATGGAAAGATTGTGATTGATTTATTCAGTTTATAAAATGAAGTTCATAAAACCTGCCATTATTAGAATCAAAAATAACAACCAGCATGCCGTTATTCAGAAATTCTTGAATTTTTTAAGCAAGGGTGAAAGAAAGGAGCTGGTAGAATTCATATATGTATAGCATTTTGTTTAATAGGCAGAATCCCTAGCAAAACTTTTAATCAACAAAAGCTTTAAAAATATAACACTGATGTACTAACTGGAATAATTAACTCTTCATTATATATTGTCTATTCCTGGTAATTATATAGAGAATATTACATACTAAAATCCATATCATGTCATATCAGCCCGAGTGGCCCCATATCAGCCCGAGGGCTGATACGACATATGATATGGATTTCAGTATGTAGTATTCTGTTTATCATATATTTAAAATACTTAATATGCGAGTTCACATAAAATTATTGAAGAATGTTTCGTGCTTGTTTATGACCTTTTTCTTTAAAATCTAATAAGGCAAATTTTAGGTCTTTGAAAACAAATTAAGTCCACAGATGTTAGTAAAGAATTATTTTACATGTATATTTAAATAAAATCAAGTTAATTAACTTTTAAACTTTAAAAAAACGTTACTTCCGGTTTGATATGGATTTTTGCACGCTGGTCCGATACGTGATATGGATTTTCGATATGGGGTACATGTATTGTGATGTCACCCGAATCGCACAGTGCAGAATCGGTGTATTTACTACTAAGTATATGATAAATCTGTATTACATGTATATATGTTTATGTTCATTTGGACCCTGATTTGGTAATAATTGCTATTCTTTTCTATTCTTTACAAAACTTTTGTTTTATATGTGGTACTCTTTACAAAGTAGTGATAGCACATTTTACCTTTGTAGAATGGTTACACCTATAGTGTGGGGCCAGCACAGACGGACCACCTCATGAGTTGTTCCCAGCCCCAACAAAATGTTCCCCATAGCAACCACAGCTTCATGCATCATAACAGTAATGCTGGATTCACACTCCACCCTCCCCAGGAGCGATCCTATGTTAGCCGACCTGACCCAGGTCCATCCTCGAGGTCAGAACTAAGCAGTCACATGGCACACAGTAGCTATGAGAACCCAATGGACCTGTCCAGCAACAAACCAGGAAATTCTGGTCGACATGTAAAGGAAGAGGGTCATCACCATGGCTACATGGCTGGTATGGGAACCACCCCTGTATCAGTTGGAATTCCTGAACACCTTCATGGTTTGTTTTTTTTATGCTTAAGATTGTTACTTGTAACATACATACAGTTTTGTTGAGTTAAATGTAATGAGACAAGGTCAAAGGATTTAAGACACTTCAAGGTCATGTCTGAGAGTCTAGGATCAACATGTAACAGTCCATCTAAGAATGAAGTGTCAGATTAGTTTTGTGAGGTTGTTTTTTCATATTGTTTATTTTTTCGTCCCTACTTGGTTGGGGTTTTTTTATGACACGTTTATTACCAGGCCTGACTTGATGATAACTCTATCCAATGGCACACAAGGATTAAGATTTATTGGAGTCGGGAGAGGGTTTTTTAAATGGTCCATGATGTGTTCTCTACCTGAGAGGATGGGAATTATGGGACACATACAGGTGTTAGCAGATTATAAATAATCAGCAGATAAACCCGACAGTAGCCCTGATAACAAGGCAGGATAGTGTAGTTCAAAAGTTTCAAGGTTTTGTCCAGTTCAATTTTTTTTTGTGAAATAAATATTTTCCCTTGATGAGATTAGTATTATTCTATTATGATATTGAGTAGAATTGTTGGTATAATGAATCAATTTAATTAATATAGAACATAGATTAAAGAAAGTTCCTGGCAGAGACCCATACAATATATAGCTCCTTGAATTCTATCCACACTTAGATCAGTAGTGAGGTGGAGATTTTTGAACAAAGCTGTACTTTTTGAAATCACAAATTATTGATGATAAAGAATATTCTCTTACCTTATCTTTCTAACAATGGTCTGATGGTTTAACTGGAGGAAATCAGCTCAACATTTATTACAATGGAATCACCTAATTATTTGTTTGATGAATTTTCAAACTACTTGTTAGTTGGTAAGGATATTTTTTAAGAATACACATGTTTAGGATGATAGAAAAGATTGAAACCTGATTTGAGTTCTCAAATGTCAATCAAAGAAACAATTAAAACATTTTTAATTTCTGTCATAATTTGTTTTGAATAATATGTCTATTTGAAAATTTGCAAGGAAATCAATTTCTTTGGAGACCTAACACATTTTGAATAATTGTAATATTTAGTCCTACATTGAGAATTTTTTTAAAATGTATAAAACATTATAGAAATAATCTTGCTATTTTTAATACATTTTTATATTGAAATATTTGAATGAAAACCCCATATTAATATACTTCCTAAAGCACCAGCTTATCAATTTTTCCAAAGGACAGTATCAATAAAATTTAAATGAAAATTTGCTTGCATTTTATGTTTCATTGAAACCATGACATTTTTATTTGAACTTGATTTGACAGACCCCTCACATATTGTTGCTGGTTCTCTGACACCACCAGAAAAGATCAATGGAGACCCGTGTACCATGGCAACTACCAGTCCCCTGAGCATTGCCACGGTAACTCAGGCTATCCCTGCACCACCCAGTCCCATCTCCACTCCGTCCCCACTCTACGCCTCCAACAGCTTTGTGGAAAGAAAGTGAGTAGCATTCAAAAAGGCAAGCTCTAAAATGTTGACAAGCCTGATCTATGACAAAGTGAGGAAAGTGAGCTGTATTGAAAAAGACAACCTTTAAAAAGTTCATTACTTTCTCCATGGCAATGTTTACAAAATTTAAGGGAAGGGGCCTCATTGTCTAAAATGTTTGCTATTTCAAAACAGGAGAGATTTGTGAAAATTATTTTGGTGTAAAAAAAAAAAAAGCATTTGAAAGGAAATATGTGAAAATAATTTTTGTGTAAAAAAGCATTTGAAAGGAAATATGGAAAAATCAAAAATGGAATTCTGCAAAACTCTTCTGAATGAAGTCTTTGTAGATTAAATGTAAAAATTTATTGATGGATTGATTACCAGTAAATAAATATTCATTTTGACTGCCAAGTCAGTACATGTATAAGAGGAGTGTTTCACTAATGAATACCAAGTATGTATAATGCTGCACACAACTCTAATTCAAGCCTGTTGTTAGTGTTAAATAGAGCAGTAATCAGGAGGAGATATAGTATTTATCTTTGGGTTTTAACACCAAACTACATTTATCTCTGTTCAGTATTCAGATGCACAGTATCTAAATTTTATCAGTTATTTTATTTCTGTCAAATGTCACAGTTGAACCAAAAAAAAAAAAAATTCAACCTGTGAATGTTTTGAAGACATTCCCTAGATGTAGATGAAGTGTCATATATAAATTATTTTCTCATTTATGATGGCATCTGTAAGAACTAATAATGTAAGTTTTACCGATGATCTGATAAAATACTCGGGCACTGCTTCCATAGTGTAATGTCTCATTATGCAGCATAAATTTGTAAATTTACATTATCCAAAAAATGATGACTGAATTTTTGAATGACTACAGTATCAGACGGCTCTCAATAAATCTGATAAAATGCAATTTATTTTGCACTTAAATGCATTTTTGCACTACATCTAAGATTTTTGTGATCATAAATAAAGTTTTTGCATTAATGCTTCAGACACTTATGCATGTATCAAATCAGCTCAAAGGGTGAAATCTTGTATAGACTGTCAAGAAATTTTATTTATGAAATTGAAATCTGAATAATTATGTCAGGTCATAGCAATAGTTACTGGCAACTTCATTTTAGAAACACAGTCACATGAAGAAATTACTCAGCAAATCTTTAATGCTTGACTCTAACCCAGTTTTATGCTTGTTAAATAGAAATTTCTGAATTGATTTTTCATATTGTAAATATTCTCAGCTTTTAAATGTCTAACAAAGAGAGCTGGGAGGAAAAATTATACTTGCGATTATATTGCAATCCTTTGTGAATGAAACTTAAAGATTACGAGGTTTTGGGTGAAAGGAATAGGTTTAAGTTAAAAAACTTTTTAATATGGGAAATAATCGGGTCATTTCCAGGTCAATGTTTGTTCTGCTTGTTTACCTGTGTAAATTCAGGTGTATAATCTAAGCGGGCATTAATTGCCCTTTGACAGTGATGTTTAGTTTCTTGAGTAGATCCATACAGATAGTGGAGAAATGAGGCTATATTTTTACATAAAAATTTGCACGATAATGATAAAAGTAAAATTTACATGGTACTGACTACAACAAATTATTTTTTATGGATGAAGTTGAAATAGAATAACTGATTTATTTTTTAAGAAGGTTGTACATGTATTTTGTTTTAATGGCATGCATACAGTGTTTTCCCTACGAACAGGCCACCAACCAAATTGACCACTTCAATTCTTAAAAATGCCGCTTTGAAATAAAAAAAAAAAAATCAAAGTTGAATTGTTGTAAAGTCCACAGAGATTTGTTCATAAACCTCAGCCCAAAGCCTGATAAAATTGATCTCTAACCCTTTACTTAAAAAAAAAAAAAAAAAAAGGAAAAACTGTGCATATATGTCAGCACACAGGGCTTCTTTTCACAGTTGTAGGAACTCAGATATTTTGTTCACATTATAACAGTTTCAGTGAGCAAGGCCACTAACTCCATTATACATCCAAAATTTTGAGATGTTTATAGGTAGAATATGTTTACTAATTCAGCCATTATTGTCCCACATTCATTTGATTAAAAAACAAAGAAAAAGTATTTAAAATGATAGAAACACGCTGTCACAGAGACATTGTTTGAAGCCTCCTCTAAACTTTAACTTCTACTCTGGCAAAACCTATCATATTTTATACACGACATAGCACGTGTATCTAGTAATGTACTTTAAAAAATTCATTTGACCCCGCTATACAAGGAGAAAAAGCGGAAGCCTTAGAGTTGATACTTAACTTGAAACAAAATATCTGATGTAAAGTACACAACACACTATAAACAAAATTAATACCAGTATTTTAGCAATGGCACTATGACTCGAAATTGTTATTTTTTTTTCTTTTCAGCAATTATCAAGACCAGAGATTGACAAAGTGAGTAAAGTTAAATACTTTGAAATCACTTTATTTTGCGGGGGTCAATTTTTTGTGGTCAGAGGAAAAAATATTGGATCATGGAGATTTGATTTCTTGGTTGAAGAATTGCGGAGTTGATATAAATTTGAAATTTTACATTGAGTGGAGGACATAAATTTGTGGGTCTAATCATTAGTGTACAGGGTTTTTTTTTAGGGGTCGTAGGGGGCCTGTAATAGGCCCCATTCCCAATGGTGAAAAGTGTGTGTTTTTCCCAATTTCATCAAAGAAAATTCCCAAAAGATGATTTGAAGCATGACATTAAAGTCAAATAGTTCTAAATTTTGTAGAAAGAATAGCAATTACAAGTTAACTGATTTTCAATAAGATTTATTGAATGTAAATAAGTCAATAAATGCCTTGCAAGTAAAGAAATGGCTCATATTTGAATTTTTTCTAGAAAAATGTGAATTATGATATTTTTCCCAATTTTAACTAAATGTCGTTAATTTTTCCCAAATGGAAAGGCCCAGGCCCTTGATTTTAAGACCTAGAAAAAACCCTGGTGTAGTTCCTGCCATTGATAACTGTAGATCACCATATTTTCGCAACGCTTTATTTTTGTAAGAGTTATTTGATATTTATAAGCAGATCAAAATTTTCATGAGGTATGGTTATCATTTTATATAATCCTTAATGAAAATGGAAATGAAATTTTCGTGAACAACCACTCGATCTGGCATTATTGCACAAAAATTTTTTTTGCAAATAAAAAGTGTTTTACATTATAATTGAAAATCAATCAGTTGTTGGTATATTTCAAGCATTCGATGATAAAAGTTTTATTTCAATCCATTAGCTGTTCTATTTTTCTGAATGAGCCATATTTTTGCAAGATTCCCACCACAGCTTATCACATAAAAAAAACCCACTCGCTTTGTGGCATCATTTTTTACCTTTACCAAGTGCTCCATATGATAAAAGTCTTCATACTTGTATTTAGTTTATTTCTATGTTATTCTTATTTTCTAAAACTCTTCAATGAGTTGACACTGAATACAAAGACATTTTATTTTAGTAAGAAGAGTGGAATCTTTCTGCTGAGGAAATGTTATTTTCATTTGATTTACTTTCTTTCATTTGTTCATGATTAGAAAGATTTGTTTTGTAATTATTCATGATTATAACCAACAATTACTTAGTTACAAAAAAAATCTATCATTGATTATGAAATTATGAACGATTCCCATCACTATTCTTCATACTATAAAAACTATGAAAATTAAACCCCCAAGAAAATTAGCAATTTTACAATAAAAGCTTGAGAATTCAATAATTGTGTCTTGCATTACAGAATCTTTAAATGAGATATTACCAGGTACTTGCTTTGAGTGTACCAAGTATTTATTCAGGAGAATTTGTTTGTATTAGCCTAAATACTGCTGATGTTGGAAATCCAATATATGAAGTAGTTACCCAAACCCAAGAATGACAAAAATATAATGATGTGATCCATATACAGGTGTACATAAATAAATAACTTCCATTGTACTACCATTGCTTTAATTGTATGTGAAGCCAGCAGTCGATTTATGATTTGTTTTCTGTGATAGGGAGGCCATGAGGAACTATCTAAAGGAGAGGGGAGACCAAATATTAGTCATATTACACGCCAAAGTTGCACAAAAATCATATGGAAATGAAAAAAGGTATGTTTTCATCCAAGTGCCTCAAGATTCATTTTAAGAAGCACAAAAATCATATGGCAGTGATGAAATAGGAAAGAAGTATTTTTCCAATATGGCACAAAAAATTATAAGGCAATGAAAGGTAACTCTCTCATCTAAAAACTTCTCAAAATCATTTTATGATGGAAAATTGGCAGGGAAAGTTTAAGGTATTTTACAATACAGATAATAAGTAATGTAAAAGGTAAAAAAATGCTTAAGTGTTTTTGAATCTTGTTAAATTTTTAACTTTTTATGATTGAACAATGAAGGGATATTCTCACAAGCTGACTGACTTTTGATTTGAGTGAAGAACTATTTTTAAGTCAAGCTTTGTATTTTTTTTGGACAGGTTTTTCTGCCCACCCCCCTGTATATACCTCTTTGGGAGTGGCTGGAAGCGGAAAAAGGAAGCCATAGAGGCGGAGGGGGGCACAGAACAAGACTCCACAACGTGTGCTTTCATGGGGATAGGGAACTCCGACCAAGAAATGGTGCAGCTGAACTTGGAGGGGAAGGTCAGATGTCTGAAAATATTCATCATTACAGACTGATTGACATTTCAATCAAGCTTTTTAACATTAGCACATTGATAAAATGATTATTTGTTGTTTTTTAAGTGACCCAAATCTGTTAGTTGGAAGTAAACTACATGTATCTTTTTCTCTACTTACTATAGCAGTTATGTCTGTCTGTCTGTCAAGCTGTCTGTAGGTCCATGAAGGATGAAAATTTGCATTTAGGTCACTCCAGCTTATTTCAAAGGAGGGGGGTGGGGGTATCCAAAACGAAAACATGATACATCTATGGATCCTCAATTAATGATGCATACTTCACATACTGCAGTAAACAAACATTTCTTGCTTGATTAAATCTTCATTGGCTCAACATTGTGGTCTTTTTCTGGCACAACAAAAATGATATATCAAAACTACACTTAAACAAATGGTGCATGGTCTATGGATGATTTGTCTAATGTATGAATCAGTTGCTGTGTCTGAGCTTTATTTTACTTGTATGTTGGAGTGTGTCTGATTTAGGAACAGCAGTTAAGCCTGTTTTCAACTCATTAAAAAAATATTTATACAAACCAAACATGCATACATGCATGAGTGTTTTGTCTAATGCAAGAATCCTAGGCTATATATTATATAAGACTTTCATTAAGGAAAGTTTTTAGGCCATCATAGGAACCCACAATTGATAACGCTTTGTTCCTCTTTCCCCCGTCAGAGATAAAGCATAGGTTTAAGATGATGTATTGAAGCAGCTCTTAGCTAAAACAGTGATACATGTACATTTAAATACAACTAAACCAGCTCTCATATTTATTTTTGAATTTTTTTGCCTGAAGCCTGCAACTGATGCATACAATTGATGCAGCATATGCCCTATATTTTACACTTGAGTGACTACAGAGAGTCACATGAAGTATACCTTCTTTATGATATACCGTGTAATGATTTGGTGCATCTATGGATATATGCCATTGTTTATGCAGGAGTTTGATTGTTTCATTTCTCCCGTAAGAAGGGGGGAGGGAATCATTTCCAACAGAAAGCTCTTGTTAACTTTTGATTACCTCTTTTTTTACAGAATTATTGTGCAGCAAAGACATTATATATCTCAGACTCTGACAAGAGGAAACATTTTATGTTGACTGTGAAAATGTTCTTTGGGAATGGTCAGGACATTGGTGTATTCAATAGTAAACGGATTAAAGTGATATCAAAACCTTCCAAGAAGAAACAGTCGCTGAAAAATGCAGATTGTAAGTTTGTCAACTTGTTCTTTTGTAAATAGATAAAAAAATGTTTAAGTAAAACCCCTCCCCTAGAAGTCTTAAATGTTAGCATGATATAAAGGTTATAATATAAAATATTTGGTGTGCAAAATTTGAAAAGGGAGGGGTTACTCAATCTATTTCTCTGGATTAAATCCCAGTGTAAACAATCTGGTATTGTATCATGTGTATAGTGATGTAAAGAAATGACTTTTGTGTATAGATTCAATGTGTATGTGTCATAATTTATGTTGCTTCACAATGACCACAAAAAAAAAGTTGTGAAACATTTAAACAGTTGAAGTATCATTATTACTGTCATCAGTACATATTACATTAACCTAAATCTGTCATTACTAAGAATTTTTTATCAATATACTGACAATTATGCTTCACTATAAATGTAATTTGTTATATCCTTTAAGTTCACAATACTTTTTTAACCCAGGGGAAAGGAAAGTTACTTTTTTATAAGTGTGAATTCATTCTAAGCGTGTTTGCTGTAAGTAAGTGTTTTACTTTGTCATTTGAAAGAAAATAGCAGCTTATTTATATATATGAAAAATTAAGCACAAGTGCCTGAAATATGTTTGATTCAAATAACGGAATCAATCAGAGCTCAAAAAGTGTACATGCATAGGCAGAAATCTTAGTTGTCAATTATTGTACCCATGGTAACCAGAGCCAAAATCAGAAATCATGGTTAATACAGTTTTGGCTTCAGTATGAAAGTGTATCAATGTCAAAGCATTCTGAGTCATCTAAATACCAAGTTTTCATACATCAAACAACTGCCCTACAGAGAATTTTAACAGAAGTAGCAGAATGAATGTTAGTGGCAGAAATTGCCTCATATTGATTCTCCCTGTCTAGACATTATATACTGACTAATCATTGATCAACTTTTTTTTTGGCAGTGTGTATTGCGTCCGGAACAAAAGTGGCCCTGTTTAACCGACTTCGTTCCCAGACCGTCAGTACGCGATACCTCCATGTGGAGAACGGAAATTTTCATGCTAGCTCCACGCAGTGGGGAGCATTTACCATCCATTTATGTGAGTATTGATTCCTACAGAATGAAGACTTGAATGAAATAAATGGCTTTCATCTTAAACTATCCATTGTTGGAGCCATTTATGACTTGAAAAATTGGTTAGGCCAATTTTTATAAATGGAAGATTTGTAAACAGAGTTTGAAACTTTTTGATAATTTTTTTCCTTTAAATGGCAGTTAGTCTTTTTAAAGTCCATAACAATTTCAAACACATTTTTAACTGGATTTGTTTCTTTTGTATTTCTGTACTTTAAGCCACTCTTTGTATGGTGATTTGAACTTTTAGAAGAAAATAAAATTTGACTTTTAGAAAATTAATTCTAAAATTAGATTTGAAAGTAAAAATTTAATGATATAGCTCTTTGATTTTTCATTATAAGGATATGTTAACATTTTCAAATTCATATTAATGATTTTATGATGAATCATGGAGATGATGGTAGAATGCTGTATTTTTATGGATGATATGTCATATTATTGGAACTCTGTTTTTCAGTAGCATAATATTTGGATTGTTTTGTAATATTGGTCGCTGTACTTCAGTAGATGATACATGTATATGATAAATTGATAACATTGTTTATTTCAGTGGATTATTTATGGTAACATTACTTTATTTCAGTGGATAATATACAGAACCTTATTTGTTTATTATACCCCCTGCAAAAGAAGTTTTGGGGGTTTATTATAGGAATCACCTTGTCCGTTTGTCTATGCAAACTTGCCTGGCCATAACTTTGTAAGGGAGAATCTTTGGAAGCTTATACTTGGTACAGAGACTGCTTATGACCTGAGAGTGTGTTTGAACCTTGAATAAAGGTCATTCTGGCAAGTCCAAGGTCACTGGCAAAAGAAAAAAATGTTGTCTGGGCTATACCTTTGTAACAGAGAAGCATTGGAAGCCCATACTTGGTACAGAGATTGCTTATAACCAGAGGGTGTGTGTAAACCTTAATGTAAGATCATTCCAGCATGTTCAAGGTCACTGGCAAAAAATTTATCCAAGTCTATTCCAGGCTATAACTTTGTAATGGAGAATCTTTTGGAAGCTTATACTTGATACAGAAATTGTTTATGACCTGAGGGTTTGTCATGACATTGACCCAAGGTCATTCCAGCAAGTTCAAGGTTTCCAAGAAAAAGTATAAAATTATCGTTCAGACTATAACTTTGTAGTGGAGAAAATCAGTGGAAGCTCATACTTAGTACAGAGATTGCTTATGACCAGAGAGTGTATCATGACCTTGACCTAAGCTCATTCTGACATGTTCAAGGTCACTGACAGAAAAAGTATTAAAGTTTTGTCCAGGCTAATACTTGGTAATGGAGATTTATTGGAAGCTCATTCTTGATACAGAAAGTTTCATGACCTGAGGGAGGGTATGTCATGACCTTGACCCAAGGATATTCTTGTAATTCAAGGTTTCTGAAGAAAAGAATATAAAATTCTTGTCTTGGCTATAACCTAGCAATGAAGAATCATTGGAAGCTCATCCTTGTACAAAAAATTGTTTATGACTTGAGGCTGTGTCGGAATCTTTACCTAGTCTTTCTGGCAAGTCAATTTCACTGGCAGAAAAACTATAAAATTATTGTCCAGGCTTTAACTTAGCAATAGAGAATAATTGGAAGCTTATACTTGCTTCAAAAATTGTTTATGACCTGAAGGTATGTCATGACATTGACCCTAGATCATTCTGACCAGTTCAAGGTCACTGGTATAAAAATGTCAAATTCATGACAGATCTATAATTTTCCAATAGAAAAACATTGCATGTCAATGTTTCAGTAAAGATTACATATGCCCATAGGATGAATCCATTTTAATAATCCATCATCTTTTTTTGCAAGTTCAAGGTTACATTTACAAAATTTGAATGGGTACTTAAAAAAAAATTGCAGCATGGGGTATTATTTTGTGAGCTCGCTCAGAGTACCTCTAGTTTTTAGTTGTTGATCATGTGTTCAGTAACACTGTTTATTATTTTATTTCAGTGGATGATGTATGATAGCATTGTTTATTTCAGTAGATGATGTATGATAGCATTGTTTATTTCAGTGGATGATAACGAAGGGGAATCGGAAGAGTTCACCGTGAGAGATGGATACATTCACTACGGATCCACCATCAAACTTGTCTGTTCTGTCACTGGAATGGCACTGCCAAGACTCGTAAGTCAGAATTTAGCAAAGATAAGTCTGTATGTCAGATTTCTACAAAGAACCAAGTCCATAACTCATACTGCCAAGACTTGTAAATCTCCAAGTCAGAATTCAGCAGAGACTTAAGTTTGCAAGTCAGATTTCTACAAAGATAAACTTCTGAAGTCCAGTCTTATTGCCAAGAGTTGTAAGTCCAAGCCAAGACTTGTAAGTTGAAGCCAAGACTTGTAAGTCTTTAATACAGAATTAAGTAAAGACTATTATAAGTCTATATGTTATATTTTTACAAAGAAGTCCTCAAGACACACTTGAATCCCTGTCAAGCCCTACTGTTTTGTACATAAGTCAGAGTTCTGCATGAAGTTTTCAAGTCCTGAAGTCAAAAATCAAAATACTCACTACCTGCATGAGTGATCCAGTTAAAAATTGTATCATATTTATCTCTCCTGTGTTACAGTGCTTGATTGTCTATAAAAACTATAAACCTATCTCTGCCAAGAATTGTCCTCTTGTCAGAATTCAATACCAAGAACCTTAGCAAGAGCATGGATTTAAGGCCTTCTATCAAAATTCAGTCTTTCCATCAATATTCAGAGTCATTCCCTGGCAGCGGGTGTAAAATTTTAAGTCAGAGTTTATCTGAACTTACAGAGAAGCTTGTAAGCCTCCAAGTTGGAAATAAGAACCATTCACCTCCACTTAGACTCATAAGTTATTTACAGAGTTTATCAGTATGTGTTGTTTTTAAGTCAGAAATTAGTTTCTTTGCTATAAAGTCCTGAAACCAGAATTTACTACTTTCTTTGCTAGAACTTCAATTTACATCCTTTAGAAGATATTCACAAAAAACTCTCTTTTGAATTCATACAGTGGTCTTGGATTTGTACTGTAATGCAGATGAACTACATACTTATTTAATTGTTACAGACAATCAATGAAGTGGTTTGTTTGTTATTGGGATAGTTTAGATATGGTAAATTATTATTGCTGTTGTTTGTTACAGATCATTCGTAAGGTGGACAAACAGACAGCCATCTTGGATGCTGATGACCCTGTGTCCCAGCTCCACAAGTGTGCGTTCTACATGAAGGACTCGGAAAGAATGTACCTCTGCCTGTCACAGGAACGCATCATTCAGTTTCAGGTAACAGACTGGTCATGTGTGACTAGTTTTATCTTAAGACTTTCCATATTGGATAGGGCTGTCACGGTTCCAAAATTTTACAGGTCAGGTCGGTTCTGTAAATTTTCGGTTCAGTTTCGGGTTTTTCGGTCCAGTTATTTGCATCTATTTCAAACCTTAATTTCATGAATTTAACTTGAAAAATCTTTATTTGTTACATTAAATTTACATTGAAAACAAGTCTTAACCATGCGAACGTCTAGACATCGGTGTGTACAACTACTTGGCCTACTATTAGCCACAACCTGACCATTCCTGCTCGTTTTAATAATTATCTTATACTGCCATGACAAGTGTTTTGTCATGGAATGAAGTAGATTTCAGTTGTGATGTTTATTTATCACTGTTATCATCATTATTCCTTTGATTTCGATGCCATTTTTTGTATTGAACAGACTCTAATATATAAACCAGACCCGAATCGAAATCCGGAAAAATGGAACCGAACCGAACAACTTGGACTGCGGTTCTCGGTTATTTCGGGTCCTCGTGACAGCCCTATTATTGGACAGTTCATGGTTTTTTTCCCCTACATTCAAATTGAAAAGTACTGTTCAGCAGATATTATCAGACATAGCTTAATTATAAAAAAAATGCAGATCTGACATGGCTTAATTATCAATATATGCAGATCCAACATAGCTTAATTATCAATAAATGCAGATCCAACATAGCCTAATTATCAATAAATGCAGATCCAACATAGTTTTACTTGCAAAGGAATATTCCATAGCTAAGAGAGATAACTGATTATTCACTATGTTTACAAAGTTTTTCAATTTAATTTTCAAAAGCATACTGACCTTGCTTCAACAGTTTTTCTCAAGCAAGGAAGATTACAGGAAAGAGAGAATTAAAAAGGGGGGATAGTATTGTACAACTTTAACAATCAGTTGAAAAGGAAGAAAAATGACCATTCCATAGTTTTTAGGATTAGTCTATGCACATAATATATTTTAGGCTACTCCATGTCCCAAAGAGCCAAACAAAGAAATGATTAATGATGGAGCTTCATGGACGATAATTAGCACGGACAAGGCAGAGTACACATTTTTTGAGGGAATGGGGCCAGTTAAGTCTCCTGTGTCACCAGTGCCTGTTGTCAACAGTTTACATGTAAGTGTTGATATTGTGTACAGTACGTATATCTAGATGACCACAACGGATTGTTCTTTTACCTTTATCATTTTTATTCCACAAATTCATCCTAAGTGACAAACTAGTCATACAGTGTTTAACTTGGGATTTGTTCTCCCCCATCATACAGCCTTTCTTGATCTCACTTTCAGCTGAATGGAGGGGGTGATGTAGCAATGTTGGAATTGAATGGTGAATTTCTGGCTCCCAATCTTAAGGTGTGGTTCGGTGAGGTGGAGGCAGAGACTATGTTTAGATGTGAGGAGAGCATGTTTTGTGTAGTCCCAGACATCTCTGCCTTCAGGGCTGGGTGGAGATGGGTGCGGCAGCCATTACAGGTAATTCATTCAAATAAATCATTAAAGGGGATTCATAAGTAGCTCAGACGGTAGAGTGCTCACTCAGTGAGATGAAGGTCATGGGTTCAAGCCTGTCCGCAACATACCAAAGTTGATAAAAATAGAAATAGGTAACAACTGTTCCTTGGCCAAGCGGATGGCACTTTGTCATTTGATGTGGATCTTCCATGCACACTACCTCGTAATCTGTTTATGATAAATAAGATCTGATGGATGTATCATGCTGTTGCAGTGAACTTTATTTTTTGGTATAAAAAGCACTGAAAAATGCTTGTCATTTGGAAATTTTTACCTAAATTTTTGGGGGAAAAGAGTTGCTTTTGAATTGGGACAGGACCTAGCCCCGGGACCATAAAACTTAGACAAGCTCACTTTTGATCTCAGTCTCACTTTTCCACTATATATTCCTTTTGTAAAAGTGAGACTGAGATCAAAAGTGAGCTCGTCTAAGTTTTATGGCCCCGGAGCCTGGATGCAATGAATATTAAGCCCTGATCCCTCCTACTCAGTTGCCCTGGGTGCCGAGTAAAGATCTTAATTTGAGGCCCTTCACTAACACATGTTGACTCTCATATTAGTGCAATAATCTTAAAAGGACATAAAACTACAACTAATCTGAAATGTTGAACACTTAAACTCTGAATCTTGATTCTTCAGAAAAAAGAGAAGTCTTCAATAAAAATATTAAAGTAACACCCATGGGCTCAGGGTAACACATACGAAAAACCTTCTGGTACTTGGGAAATTTCAAGCATAAATGACTTCAAAGTTTTAAATCTTTTTTTTTTTGACTGAAAGTATCTTCCAACACCCACCAAATGTAATTTATTTTGCATGTATGATATTTGGAGGAAATTGATTTTTGAACAAGATTTGATTTAGCACATTTCTTTAATGTTCTTATTTATATGTAAAGCAAAGTTGCTTTCTGCCAAAGGCGCTAAAAGAATACACAGCCAAATGTAATATACAGTGAAGGCTTTTGAATTCCAAATTAATGTTCTATTTATTTGAATGATAGGCCTATCACTCTCTCTTGTAATATAATTGAAGCATAAACAGTCAAACCTCATTATTTCAAACTCAATGGAACTGAGAAAAAACTTTGAGATATTCGAGGGTTCGAGATTGAGAGTAAGATACTTACAGAAAAAGTGATTGGGACTTCCAAATCACTTTGATATATCCATGGTATTTGAGATATCAGTATTTAAGATACAGAAGTTGAGCTGTATTTAAAAGCTCTATGAAATAAATTCAATAGTCAATACCGATGTGATTTGTCTAGTTATAACATTTTTGACAATTGCACAGTATAATGCTAATGGAAACTTTTATTAAACTAAATTTGAACATTGATATTTGATGGATTATCAGGGACTTGTCACAGTTAGTCCTTCCTTTAACAATAGTCAGGTCTTAATTTTAAGATTTTGTTAGCAGTCTCACCAGGTTTGAGACATTGAGGTTTGACTATAGTGTACACACACTTGGACACCTTTACATTCACCTGTATATTGTTAGTCAGGATAGTCAGGATATTCCAGAGTTGTCGTCTCTTTTTCAGGTTCCTGTCTTACTGGTCAGGAATGATGGGATAATTTACTCCACAGGTTTGACCTTCACCTACACCCCGGAGCCCGGACTTCGTGCCCATTCTCGGGAAGTGGACCGGATCTTAAGACCAGGTGTGTCAAGTCCAGACTCCACTTCCACGACAAACTTCAGCAATCCTTTATAGTGCCTTGTCCCACACTGGTCATGTGACCAGGCAAACAATTCAACATGGTCATGTGACCAGGCAAACAAATCAACCTGGTCATGTGACTAGACAATTCAACCAATCATGTGATATTTTTTATTTAGTGTCTGTGGTACAGAATTAACATTGTGCATAAAATCACAACTGCGACTCAACAAGAATCTATATCTTTAGTCTCCTACAGAATTTTACTGTAATTCTGCCTTAACCTTTGTGTATTTTGAAGTAGAGACATTTTACAAGTACATTTTTTTTTCATAATAGATGAAAGAGATCCAAAAGTGGTTATAAAAAATATTATCGTTTCAGGGTTTTTTTGTAAATCTTGTTATCATAAGCATTATCTAACACTGCAGAGGCTGTATCCTATATGTACAGAAGTTTATGATGTGTCTGTCATGTACACTTTGTTATAGATAAGTTAGTCACCTGTACACATTAAGTGCTTTAACTATGCCAGCCTTCTAATGTCTTATGTGCTTTGATGTTAATAGTGCTTTCAATTTGTTACCATGAAACCATGTCACAAAGTGACAAGTATCAAACATGTACCCCAATCCCTCCCCCCCCCCCCCCAACACCACATTGTCTGCCCCAAGAGTGCCAGTATTTTGTTAACTGTTTATATCATACATTGCAATCGGGTTGTTTTCTTATCATATACATCTTGAATGGAACTACTTGTTGAGTTTTACATTATCTTTTATTAATGGAAAGGCCAGAACAAAACATACATTTTTTGTCCAAAATAGAATTGTCTATCAAAGGCATACAAAAGCTGAATTTTTAATAAGTGCAATCATCAAGGTCTTTTACATATATGTTTCATATTCATAAAGTGCTGGAAATAATTGAGAAAAAGTTAATTTTACATGAACATTAAGTGAATTTTACATGAACATTAAGTGAAATTTACATGTACAAAAAGCAACCATAGGATCTTCAGAAACAAAAAGAATAATTTTTCATGTAGGTAGTGAGTAATATCATCGTCATTTTATTTTGCATGTGAAAGTTCATGAACAAGATTGAATTTGTTCAGACTTGAGCATTTGTGTATGATTGAAATGGGCATTCTGTTACAACCAATATTTTCATCTTGGTGAATTTTTTTTTTTTTTTTGACATCGGTATAAATTTCCATGTGTCTTTGATAACTGTTCACTGACTGATCTAAGGCAGCTTCTTTACTGTCGTTATAGTTAATTTATAAGTGCTTTTCTCTAATGCATGGAATCGTTTATATCTGCTTAAATCCAAGACTTCTTGGATTTCATTATTTATTCACTTAGTTTTTGTTCAATTTTTGAAATTATTTTATGAAAGTTTTGGAGAAATTATGCCAGTGTTGTGATCTATTTTTAGTTACTTTCTTTCTCTTTTGTGTCTCTTTTTAAACCTTTTTTTGTATGAATGGGATTAAGGCCATATTGTAGGCAGTTTCATGAGAAATGTTTAATTATTTTTAGACACCATTTTCAGACACAAAGGTCACATATAAACTCAGTCATTGTCTTAATATATTTCTGTTTTGATTGCATGGGGCCAATTATCATGGTGTTTTCAGAATTTACATTTATTTTAAGTTGTTAAAGATGAATTTTACTGTTTTAAATAAGGTTTATTGACCCTCTGATAAGAGAGGTGACTCTTACTAGACTAAAAAAATATTACTCCTTTATGAAATTGATGAGTCAAATGGAAAACTACTGTCCTGCAAGGTATGATGAAATTGTGTGCATTTATTTATAAATTAAATCTCTTCTTACATTAATCAAAGGTATGGTGACCCCAAGTGATAATTCAAATTATACCAATAATTGTTATATACACTAATTTTCTGACACTCCATGTCCTGGTAATGGAGTTTTTCTAAATCACGTCACTTCCGTGGTCTTGTTTTGACAATCACATCCCACTTTCAGTTTTGTTTTATGGAAATAATGGTGGGATTTTTCCAGAGCCTCATTTTGGTAGTTCATGTAGTAAAGGAGTGAACCACTGCCCAGATACTGGCTTTTAACACATTGTTTATTGTATGGTAGGCCTAATTTTGTCCCATTTTACCGACAGTGCCAGTAGCAGCAAATGCATCACCAATGTCATTTTGTGAATGTGGAAAAACTCCCCAATTTTCTGTATATAACTTGTTTACTTGTACAGTTGATTGTAGTTACTGAATAAATACCTCAATTATAAATTGATAAAAAAAACTTTTCTTGGCTTATTTGTAGAACAGAATTAAAAGCTATACCCAATTTATACGGTATAAACTGAGTTGGGGCAGTTTACGCCTTATAAACCGAGAGAAAGGGGGGGGGGGGCTGGGTGCGCCTCTGTAAAATACACGTAGAATGTTGGTTTATTACTTTGTATGGGATACTATTGTTAAATATAAACTTAGACAAAGCGGATGATCCCCATTTGAACTCAAAGTCTTCAATTTGGAGCAGTTTTATTTTGGAAGGTTTGCTACAAGTTTTATCCGTTTTGCATACATTTTTATGATGTAGAATTTACGGAGTGGATCTTAAGTTGGTCGGATTTTGAATTTTTGGTCGAATTTTGCATTACTGTGAAATTTCATGAATTTGAGGATCAAAGGCAAAATCAAGAGAAAGAAAGAGAATTTGTGCATTGAAAAACTACCATGTCTTCTTGTGACTCCGGCATTCGAACATCAGTAAACGATGTACTTTTTCTTTCATATAATTTCCTTTTCCAGATTTTGAAATTTTGTCGATAGAGAAACATACACCTTCACTAGGAATTTGGCAAGGAAGAGAGAAAGAGAGAGGGGGAGATTTCTCAATGACTTTTTTTTGGTCAATGGATCTAACGGTCAATGACACTAAGTAATCGATCTCTCCTTCCAGGTTTTCTTACTCACTTCCAGCCGTCGGTCAGTCGAACTTCAAAATATGCCAGTGTCCGATTAACTGTCTTCATTATATGCTGGAAAGCAAGTTTTGCTGAAGTGAAAGTACGCTGTGTTATGTAAACAGTACATGGGAATTCCTGTCACGGAGCTAAATATAGATATGTCTGAATATTTAAAAACAAAATAGGCCACTCACCGTATTCATGAATAAGGACGCATGCAAGTATACAACTGTGATATAAAGACCGAGCTTCCACTTATTGCTGCAGTATAAACACAGTCAAGTGACTGCCCCATGATTTGAGATGCAATCTGTAGATACAGCGTCAGTGGTTATGTCTGTGTCCAGTTCTTCACAACCCGACCCCCGGGACCCGGTTTTCACCCCCAGGAACCACCATGATAAAGGAATGGAGGCGTACAATTGTTTGTGCTTTTCCTTTATCCTCGTTCTCGGTACTATTCTAATCATCTTTGTAGTGGGTATTATAAGAGCCAGGTAAGGTTTTGTTTTCCTTGTCCTTTACTTGTATTTACAAATTGATCACTGTTTATTACATCACTTATCACTCTAACTTGTTACATTGCTTCAATTCTTGATTATAAATGGATCCCTATTTCAACCAAGTACCAAGAGGGCGGTGCTTTGTTTTAACTCTGCACTGGGGGGGGGGGGGGGGGTTACGTAGATTCTATATTGGAGTGCATTGTAATTTGAAAACAATCGGTAATTCAAAATTTACATGGAAAAGTTTATAAGAATGTATGCTTTAAACAACAGTGATACTATTTACAAGAACGTAGTTTTGACTCTGTACACAATGTTTTTGTTCTGGAGTGCTAAATATAGAGCGGAGAAAATTTTCCACTGGCTTTCCTCTGTCAACTTTCCTATTTTTATCTTCATCGATAGAAATCTGCATCCATATAGTATGTGTCAGGGTATAAGTCGGGTATTTAAACTCAGGTATACATTAATATTGATGTATCAACCCAATTACATAAACATCATCTCTCTCTCTCTCTCTCTCTCTCTCTCTCTCTGTGAGGGTGTGTGTATGTGTGTGTGTGAAAAGCTTATTTCTGTTGATAGTTGGAAACGATAGGAATACAGGTAGTTGTTTAACTTTTCAAAAGAGAAGTAAAAATCGGAGGATATTAGCAAGTGACGTGGTATCAATGAGCAGATCAGATGGTAAGGGGGGGGGGGGGGGGCTGAAATTTTATATTTTGATAACCCGTGTAAACGCTTTGTAAATTATTATATATATATGCATGCATTTAATACGTTTCTTTTGCGAAAAGGATGCAGCTTTGAAACATATCATTCTCAAAATGAGATACTCAGTATTGCTCGTGTCTATAATTTCTCCGTCTAAGAACTTTTCTGTCGTTTTTAATCGCCGTTTTTTAGGTCTTCTCTACAGGTGGACTGTCATATCCATTCTCACCCTTTTATGTTCGTATACTAGTATCCTGTATATTAGGGTCTCGCACTCGGTGTCCTAACATTTATGTTCGTTTGGATCTCGCAGTCTGTGTCAGACTTTTCAAGTCTTCGTGTTAATTAAAACTCTGGCCGATTTTTCCAGAGAAACGATTACTGAAATGTAATTCTAGTGTAATACTATATTAATTTCCAATTCGTGTGATACAGTCTGTGGTATCCTAGAAGTAGTTCTATGTCGGACAGAAACCATATCAGTTTTTGTCCGTTATGGATCAGCTGATCACAGAATTGCTGACGTATCAACTGAAGAAAGGAGAATCGATTGAACCAGGGCACCGACCTCCTGTCTTTATGTCATGTCCCCGATCCACCCCACATAATTAGGTGAAATGAATACACGCTCTTTGTTGTAAAAGAAGGGTATAAAAGATGGCACAATCAGGTCGAAGACACAAGAACATATAACTCGCGGTCGTCGACACACTTCTCTATGTAAGGTAAAATACATAGTCTTAAGTTTTGAAAGTTAGATGGATGGTTTCACAAAAAGTAACTTCATACTTTAACGTCATGTTTGAGATAAACTATTTCATTTTGAAGTACTTGGTTCTCAAATTTAGATCAGAAATATTTTGGTTTTGTTACTTAAAATATTTTGTAAAAAGTAGTAAGTGTACAAAATAATATTTTATTTTTATTCATCTTAACAATTAGGGATGAGAAGGAGGGGGTTGTAATTACGTAGTGTAATAGTGTATGTTTATGTGTGTGTGTGTGTGTGTGTGTGTGTGTTTTCTAAGTTTAATAGTGATTGATGTAGCTGGATAAGATGTAAATTGGTATCAATAAGTCTTATCTTATAGTATACAGTAGGTGTATGTAATATTTTTCAGTAAAGCACTGCTCGTTGTATATACGTATAATTTTCTCAGCGATGCATGGAAGTTGATGTAACTTAGGATAAAGATGTATGGATATTTTTAGTATTACGAGTTGGGTAACATGGCGTATGTGTTATTTTCAGTATGTCGCCGGACGGGTACGAGCTGGGTAACATGGTGTTTATGGCTCTGTGTATCGCCCTCCTCATCATGCTGATTTTGACTTCACTTACCTGTCTGTGCATGTGTCACAAACATACTACAAATATAGAGGGAGACCCGGGCCAACACGTGAGTAGATATATAGATAAAACATACAGACAATAAGGGTATACACAGGGACGACCTGGGCAACACTTGAGGAGATGAATCACATGGTGAACAGGTACCTAGAGGTGGATATGGGTGCAAGGGGAGTATGTCACTGAAAATTATAAGACTTGAGATTTAATAGATTAGGCCTATAAGAATTTTAACTCTAAAATTGCGAATGACCGGACTAGAAGGGAGAGGGATCAGGCTCAAACTGTACTGGTACATATGGCTCTAGTGTAATGAGTACTGTAAAAGATGGAGAATTTACACACCTTGAACATAGCTACCAAGGCATCATTTTGAAGGACAGTGTAACATTAAGATCTTTACCACAATAGTTAAAAGGGTAGGAAAGATGTCATCTCACCACGATCAGGCCCGTAGGAACGGTTTCAAAAGTGGGGGGGGGACCCCCCCCCCAAAAAAAACCTAATCTGACCAAAAGGGGGGGGGTCAATTTACTGTCCGAATCCTGATATTTGCCAGTGCTCGACCTTGAAACATCAAAAAGTGTGTGTGTGGGGAGGGGGGGGGCAACCTGCATCTAAAAGAAAAATTACTATAGCAAAATAGTATACTCAGAAAAAAGTTTGGGGCCGCCCCATCCCCCACCCCACCTCCCGCGTTCTACGGGCCTGACTATATCGCCTTCCCAATCAATGTAGTGGACATAGATCATGGTATTTTATCTAGTACATGCATGATAATTAAAGAAGTCATTAAAGTGAAAATGATTTAGAAAAATCGGATGGCCAGGAACATTTTATTCATTAAGAAGGTGTGTGTGTGTGTGGGGGGGGGGGGGGGGTATCTAATGTGTGGCTCATAAATGAATATCCTAGTTATCATTCCAAAGACTGAAAAAATGTGTGGATGAATCAAAATAGAATGTATAATAAAAACCATAAGAATATTCTTTTAATTTATAATCAAATTACATGCACTTCTTGGTTATATAAACTAATACGCTTCCGTGATGAATATACATATGTATATGTATGACATCAAAGAGAAAGTGTCCCAGTCGCTGTTAGTTGGGTGTTCTTGAGCAGAGATAGGTAAGAGAGGTTCCATAGCACTATACTTTACTTACTTTACACATAGGTTCTATTCGAATTTAAAACAAATGTAAAACTGCAGAAAATGTCTCCTGGTATAAAATTAAGAAGGGCAAATCCAGAAGTTTTTTTTTTTTGGGGGGGGGGGGGAGGAGGCACTCACACAATATTTACTTAGTATTTTTGTAAAAGGTAAAGAGAGAGTGAGAGAGACCTGACCTGAAGAAAAACCTTTTCAATGGGGGGGGGGGGGATTCTGATGGACATGTAACATATGCATGACTCTTTTTGCCTACTTTTAGTCACAGGTATCCAAGGTTTTTTTTGTTTTTGTTTTGGTTACTTTACTACATCAGTTGAATAACCGAAATTCCTGGGGGGGGGGGTGTCTGGACCCCCCTCCGCCGCTGGATCCTCTACTCGTGCTAACTACATTCCAGTAGTTTTGATACTATATCTATAAGTATACACATTTTTTTTCTCTTTCAGAAGAATGGATCAAGTAAAGGTGGTGCTTATTACATTGTGGGTTGGAACATGAAAATTCTAAAACAATCAGGTAATACATTACATTCTTTGTAGTGCAAGGTCAGGCCACAATTAAAGAAGTTTTAAAGTCTAGAGTGTCCTCAAAATAAAGAACACAGCATGCATGTAAAACGTGGTTTCTTTTGACTAAGTAGGACAAGCGGCTGAATTAACATACTTCTGAAAAGAGCTTTAATTGTCAGTATATAGAAGTTTTAAGTGTGTTTATTTACAAGATCAGGATATACAATTCTAAATAAAGTCAAGGGGCATTTTACCATCCTGGCTGTAGTGTTTACGATACGGCCTAATTCTGTCTGATGTGCATGTGACATTTTATCATCAAATTAGTTGTATTTATATATATTGTTTACAGCTATCCTAATCGATATTTTAGGTTAGCGAGAAGGAATGTTTGATCTTTTTTTTAACCGCAAATGAATGAATTATGTATGCTAGATAATTTATAGATAAATTTATACTCGTCAAGTTTTAGACCAACATTATAAAAACAAAGAAAGAATACCTTGGATTTAGACCTATTGAAAGCATTCAACATTTCTGCTTTCATAAATGTTATCACATAATGTTTATATTGTAAACGTTACAGGCAACGATTGTCCAATATGCTGGGAGAGAATGGATTCCAACCATGAACTGAAAGCAAAACTCATCTGTCAGCATGGTAAAATTAATTTGTTTGTAGTCCTAAAATTCTTTGTCCCAAATTTGAAATAAAATATATTCTAACAACCATGATTATTCATTCTATTCGTTTCATTGAATTTCAGTGTTCCATTTCCGATGCTGGGAGAAATATTCCCGGACAGCTCAGGCTCCGTCCGTGTGTTGTCCCCTATGCCGAGCCATACCCATCAAATTCCCGGGGGTGGAGCGAATCAAGTCAGACTTTAAAATTTTTATTGATCACTTCCGATGTTTTGCACCTCGCAGAAACCCTTCTGATGACACAGGTAATTTCTCTGAGCCCCCCCCCCCCCCCCCCCGTAATTAGTGCATTGTGGCATTCGAAACTATTTAGTAACTATTCAAAGTATTATCATGTTATTTTTATGTAACTTTATTTAGAACTTTCCTTTTAAATTCTCGTTTCATGTCTTTTTGTTTGATTGCGCAGGAGTGGCAATGATTAATGTGTGATCATCCCCAAGCTACCCTGAAGCTTTTCTGTGCTACAAGACTTTAACACCCGGCACTGGTAGACATAGTCATATACCCATGTCTAGTCATTCGTAGCTTTCAAAAGTGTACCTTAGCAAAATTTGGAGGTGTTAGCCGGACATATTTAGCTCTTACACACTTCTGAGAATCAGGAGGTCGTTTCTTTGATGAAAAAGTTTCCAAAGACTTTTTTTTATAAATATGATTGTGCTGTATTCAGAGAAGTAATAACGAAAACTTCGGAAGCGTCCTCTTATTTTTTTTCAGAAATATCTGAATGTCTCACAGAGAACAGACATTGAACAGGTCCTGTTGTTCATTCACTGGTGCTATATAGAATATGATCCGGTCTTATTGTCGCTGCTGATTATATAGTGCTTATATTATAGGCAATATTTACTTCGAATATTATGTACATTATAGACCGGTGGGCCTTTATAATGTATAAGTACATGTATATAACAGGGTAAATGTATACCTCTGTTTTATCTTTGGTGATGATGCAATTCATGACAGAGGAAGCGTTCAATGAGATTTTAGAGTTCACGGTTGTCATTCCATTTATGTTTCTGTTTTACAGTTTTTATACATTGTTATAATTTTTAATAAATTTTACTACTTTCTTAAAAACTACCTCGTTTTTTTTTCAATAGAATTCCATGAATATGACTCACTCTGTTGTCATTCTTAATTTTTCACTTGAGCTTCGGGGGAAAGAAGGGGGGGGGGGGGTTCTAAACGTAGTTGTGCACATAAGCAAAACATTTTTGTTACTTGTAACATTTCTTGTGAAATCTACATTAGTACTTTAATTTGTTAATAAAGGTGCATAGACACAGATTTGAAGTTTATATTTTCTCAAATTTTCTGTATAATATCAAAACTTATATGTTGCTATAGCATTTCACACGAAAATAAAATTAAAAACTTATTTAAACTGGAAATTATTGAAACTACGAATTTCGGGAGGCGTTTGATTAACACATCCTTGCACTTTCACAATTTTTAACTTTATCCTTAATACCTAAGAAAAGTAGCAATTTTGTTGTGTATTAATGAATAATATCACATCTATAATCCAGAAAATTCAGAGTAAATATGTGCGAAAGCAAAACCCACTCACTTAAGTATTGTCAGCGCGTGCTCAGTGTTGTGTAGTTGTGTACAGAGTTTAAAAAATTGAATACACCCGTGAAACGTAAACTGTTTTTGTAAACAGGGCACGGGCTCTGTTGTTGTTAATGTTTACGTTTCACCGGGTGTGTTCAATTGTTAAACTCTGCACACACCACTGAGCACGGACTGACAATACTGGTGAGAGGATTTTGCTTTCTACATTTCTACTCTGAAATTTCTGCATTACAGTTTTAATATTTTTCATTAATAAACAACAAATTGCTACTTTTCTAAAGTAATAAGGATAAAGTTAAAATTTGTGAAAGTGCAAGGATGTGTCTATCAAACGCGTCCAGAAATTCAAAGTTTCAATAACTTCCAGATAAAATAAGACTTTTAACAAATTTTCATATGAAATGCTATAGCAACATATATTTCATGAAATTATACAGAAAATTTGAGTAAATATTAACTTCAAATCTGTGTCCAAGCACCTTTAAATTGAGGTTTCATGTCCAATTTCCTCCGTCGCAAAAATGTCAAAAAGCTGGGGTTATTGTAGATCTATTTTGACCTATTACGTCGAATACATTATGAAATGTTCATTGACTGGTTTTAATCATATTTCCCTATGTTAAAAAAAATCTCAAAATATAAAAGAATTTAATATAAACAAGAGCACCAGGTCCCACTAAATTACGAAAGCCTATTGAGCTCATTTTCGTAGGTAAAAAATATATTTTTCGCGTAACTTTCGCTAATAAACGTGTAACTTTCGCGAATAATCCCCCTCAACTTTATCTCTTTTACTGTTAATTTAGTATTAAATATGGAGATAACAGAAATAAAGCTCAAAAGTCAATAGAAAAAATACGAATCAGGAACAGAACAAACACGGACCTCTAAAAACATCAGAGGTAGGATCAGGTGCCATGGAGGAGTAAGCATCCCCTGCCGATCCTTGTCATGATCGGGAAAACGCAAAAACCCGTAGACAATTCAGTGTGTAAATTAACTAAATAATGGCCTAACATTTAGTATGAAAAATGTCAGTCAGCATTCGACTTAATGATATATTGTATTTGTTGACAAGCTTATTGTATCGACCACCGAACTTGCAAAATGATGACTTAAAAGACTGTTGAAATTCTTGTTTCATCAACTTGTTTGTCAATAGCTTGCCTCTTTTAGAAATTTTTCGCACGTAGAGCATGCTCTTGCATATCGAATCAACTGGGATACATAAAGCCCATATGCAGGTGATAAGGAATTATTGCTACTTAAGGGAAGTTGACGATAGAAAAGTTGAAGTCATCACATTTATCATAACGTTTGTTGTTAGGTTACCATCAATGTCTTTTTAAAGTAAAATATCCAAATATGAAACAAATGTGCCAGACTCTGTGGTATCTTTTATTTCAAGCTCACTGGGATACATCGAGTCAACATATGAATGGAAGTAACTACCGGTATTGTTAATTGATAATACGTCGTCGATATATCCAAATGTCAAGTTGAGGGCCACAACAAATGTTTTCTTCTCATGTAGAAGTTTTTGAATAAAAATACAAAAATATGTCTGCTAATAAGGGGATGCAATTGGTACCCTTGAGAATTCGAGAGAATGTTGGAAGATCTGATCTCCAAAATCTACACAGATATTGTCAATCAGAAACTCAAGCATCTTTTAATATCAACTTCAGAGTACTTGTGTGTACAATCAGAACGTTTTCTAATAAAATAATTTTGCAAATGACCAATGACAAGGTACGTGTTCCATTTTTAGGTCACCTGAGTCACTCAGGTGACCTATTGCTATCCGTTTTTGTCCGTCGGCGTGCGTCGTGCGACGTGCGTCGTGCGATGTGCGTTAACATTTGAACATTTTTAGCTTCTTCTCTGAAACCGCTCAACCAATTTCAACTAAATTTGGCATATAGCATCTATGGGTGAAGGGGAACAAAAATTGTGAATTTCATGGTCCCTGCCCCCCTGGGGCCTGAGGGGTGGGGCTAAAACCACCAAAATTAATGCAATCTTTAAAAATCTTCTTCTTTACTCCTGGACATCAAGCAGTCAAACTGTTGGCATCATTGTGATAAGCATTGAGTCCTCTACCAAAATTGTGAAATTCATGGCCCCAGGGTCAGGGATTCTGGTGCTAGGGTGGGGCTATATAGATCATATAGTGAAAGTGCATTATTTCTTTGAAAATCTTCTTCTCTGCTCCTGGGTATTAAATAAACTAACTAAGTATATAGTAATGATGAGTAAGAGTACCTCTACCAAAATTGTGAAATTCATGGCCCCAGGGGCAGGGGTTCTGGTGTTAAGGTGGGGCTCTATTGATTATATAGTGAAAATGCATTAATTCATTGAAAATCTTCTTCTCTGCTCCTGGGTATTAAATAAACTAACTAAGTATATAGTTATAATGAGTAAGAGTGCCTCTTTCAAAATTGTGAAATTCATGACCCCAGGGTCAGGGGTTCTGGTGTTAGGGTGGGGCTCTATTGATTATATAGTGAAAATGCATTAATTCATTGAAAATCTTCTTCTCTGCTCCTGGGTATTAAATAAACTAACTAAGTACATAGTTAGGATGAGCAAGAGTGCCTCTTCCAAAATTGTGAAATTCATGGCCCCTGGGTCAGGGGTTCTGGTGTTAGGGCGGGGCTCTATTGATTATATAGTGAAAATGCATTAATCCTTTGAAAATCTTCTTCTCTGCTCCTGGGTATTAAATTCAGTAACTAAGTACATAGTTATGATGAGCAAGAGTGCCTCTTTCAAAATTGTGAATTTTATGGCCCCTGGGTCAGGGGTTCTGGTGTTAGGGTGGGGCTCTATTAATTATATAGTGAAAATGCATTAATCCTTTGAAAATCTTCTTCTCTACTCCTGGGTATTATTGAAACATATTAAATACATAGTTATGATAATCAAGGATGCCTCTTTCAAAATTGTGAAATTCGTGGCCCCTGGATCAGGGGTTCTGGTGTTAGGGCGGGGCTCTATTGATTATAAAGTGAAAATGTTTTAATTCTTTAAAAATCTTTTTCTCTGCACCTGGGTATTATTTAAACAAACTAAGTACATTGTTATGATAAGCAAGGATGCCTCTTCCAAAATTGTGAAATTCATGGCCCTGGGGACAGGAGTTCTGGTGCTAGGGCGGGGCTATATAGATCCTATAGTGAAGGTGAATTATTTCTTTGAAAATCTTCTCTGCCCCTGGGTATTGCTTAAACAGGCTAAAGTACATTGTTATGATACACAAGGATGCCTCTTCCCAAAATTGTGGATTTTATGACCCCAGGTTTAAGGGTTCTGGTGAAGGGGGGGGGGGGGCTTCTATTGATTATAAAGTGAAAAAGCAAAATTTCTTTGAAAATATTCTTTTCTTCTTCTGGTTAAAAAAGCAAAGAAGCTAAGTGTATAGTTATGATGAGCAAGTGTGCTTCTTCCAGAGGAGTGAATTTCATGACCCCTGGGTCAGATGTGCTGGTGTGAGGGTGGGGCTCTTGATAATTTAGTGAAAATGCATTAATTCTATTAAATAATCCTATTTGCTCCTTAGTGTTAAGCAGATAAACAAAGTGATGATGAGCAAACATATGGTCCCAGGGTCAGAAGCTCTGGTGTTTTGGGGGTGGGGGGTTGGGGGGGGGCTCTATTGATAATATAGTGAATCTGTAGTAAAAATGCATTATTTATTTAAAAATCTTCTCCGCACCTGGGCATATCTGAGGCAAACAGAGTAAAAGTTTTTATAAGGAAGGGAATTTTTACCAGATTTTTGAACATCTGGACCATTTGGTCAAGTGTTCTGGTCCTGGCCAGGGCTCTATTTGTTTGTATTCTACTGAGAGGAGTTATTCCCCTTTACCATATACTTTTGATAATTTATCACTGTAAATAATGTACTTGAAAGGTAAATAGAATAAGAGAATTTTGCAAAAACTTTTATTGTATAATACAAAAAGTACTTTCGTAGTTTTAATGATCAGATAGACTTGTAAGTAGTAGATAAATAAAAATGAGACAAAAATAACTTGTCTTATTAAATATTCATCAAAGACCAAGAGATGCCAATGTAAGAGATTTCAACAAGGGATTAAAATAGTACAGAAGCATTGATAATTTGTTAATATACTGTATAGTGATAGTGATAAATGGGGAACAGATTAGAATCTAATTTATGAACTGTTAATGAATATTAAGACCAATTATTTTGTTGATCATGATCACCCTATTTTTCTTGCTTTTGGGCAACAAAGCTTCACCTTTCAGTTCATTTTATACTCTATGCATCCTTGAAATTGTTTTATCATACTCAGGTGACCGTTAAGGCCCTTGGGCCTCTTGTTATTGAAAAAGCAGCTGTCTGTGATGCCAAAAAGCTTGAACTTTAATTTATCCTGGGGAACGATTTTACAAAGTTCTGAAAAGTCTACGTTTTGATTTTATTTTCTTAAAATTTTGTGATTTCAAATTTTCTAAAAGTCCCTTGGAGTTTTTAAGTATTCACATTTGATTTACATCACTTCTCAGATATACTGTTGTACAGTATCCCTGTAGTTTCTGTATGCTATTTCATAGTCAAATAATATCAATGAGTGAGATAAGTGTATAATATTCAAATTTTGCATAAAGTATACTTTAATGTTAGATGAAATACCAAAGAATACCGGTATTTTGTTATAACCGAGATTTATTTTTTTCACCTGCATGTTTTGTCGCACTATAGGCATTCGCTTGCCTTGTTCGACCATCTTCTTTATATCCCCACTTTCAGTGAAAGGGGGGAAAACAAACTTGTATCCACTTCACCCGAGGAATACTTTGAGGCAAGTCTGATTGAAATTGATCCAGTGGTTCCTGACAAAAAGCTAAAAATGTGAGAAGTTTACGCATACACAAGGTGACCGACAAAAACAGAATCGGGTGACCTGAAAAACCAAATTCGTATAGTAACAGGGAGGGGGGTTAAAAGTCCCTCAAGTTTTTGCTATCCAACAATAACAACTACATAAAAAGAGCTTTTATTAATGCTGTAAAGATCTTAACAGCTCATATCTTCCTAAAAACAAAGACTGCTTAAACTGTCAAACCATTTGTCTTATTTAATCTTTTTTACTGCACAATAATTTAACCAAAAACAAGAGGCCCATGGGCCACATCGCTCATCTGAGCACAATGGCTAGGAAAAAGAACAAATCAATTCAGTATTGAAAAGTTAACATGGGGTGGGGGAACTTGAATTTTAAACCTGAGGATGCTTCCATATCAATATTACAAATGGCTTTGCTGTTGTTGAGCAGCAGATTTTTTCTTATATATTCCTTTGTAAAAATTTTATACCCCATTGTGGCCCCCAGGGGTCATCATTTGAACAAAATTGAATCTACACTACCTGAAGATGCTTCCATATCAGTATGACTAAACATGGCTTTGCTGTTCTTGAGAAGATTTTCCTATATATTTCTATGTAAAACTTTGATCCCCCAATTGTGACCCCACCCTACCCCCGTAGGTCATCATTTCAACTTGAATCTACAATACCTGAGAATTGCCTCATATCAATATGACTAAATAAATATGGCTTTGCTGTTCTTGGGAGGAAGAATTTTAATTTTTTTCCCTATATATTCCTATGTAAAACATGATCCCCCCTAACAGCTCAGATTAAAATACAGTAAAACCTTGTTAACTTGACCTCAAAGGGACCAAGAAGAAAACTGAAAATATTCAAAGATTTGAGATTACTTACTGCCCATGAAGCCTTTGGCGTATAGGGCAGTAAACGAGGGTTCTCCATCCTTGTCTATCACTAGCTAGCTTTTGGAGTGTGCCCCAGCTTCTCTTTTGCTCCTTAAGTTCGGCTTCCACTGTCCGCCGCCAAGTGACTTTGGGCCTTCCTCTCAAGATTTGAGATACTGAGGGTTAAATACTTATAAAGCAAAGATGTCTGTGAAACACTTAAGCCCCCCCCCCCCCTTCAAATAATTGGAATTTTTCTAAGAACACAGAAAACTCGTCAAAATTGCTCTATCGTACCCAAAACAGAACTTGACCTAGATATTTTTATGATAAATCTGTATACCAAATTTAATTTCAGTATGTGCAACCTCTGAGAAGAAAATAATCAGAAACTGCAAATAATTGGAATTTATCAAAGTCCAAGGGGCATTACTCTGTCGAGAAGTGCTCAATCGTACCCAAAACAGAACTTGACCTAGATATTTTTATGATAAATCTGTAAACCATATTTCATTTCAGTATGTGCAACCTCTGCGAAGAAAATGAACGGAAACTGCAAATAAAATTTGAACTGTTCCAAGTCCAAGGGGCATAACTCTGTCAAAAATTGCTCGATCATACCCAAGGAAGAACTTGAATGGAAACTGTTGGTGGACTGACAGACAGACAGCGGCAGCAAAGCAATATGCCCTCCCTTCTTCTAAGGGGGGCCAAAAAAAAAATAAGTCGTTTGAGACTTCCAAATCACTTCTACATATCCATGGTATTTGAGATGCATGTATCAAATGTTTGAGATACAGAAAGTCAACTGTATTTTAAAACAAAAATCTCCTAGAAAACATTGAGAAATATCTGCATTTTTCAGTATTTATTGCACAATGCGATGTTGAGGTCTATGAATTTACTCTATACACAGAAAATTTGTCAGTTTCCTAAAATTAGATAAAATAGACATGGAGTAAAACATGAGCCAAATAAAACAGACAGAACATGAGAGATGATTAGGAAAAGCATCTCTCTGACAAGATGAAGCTGCCTCTGTTTGTGTGGAGTGTCTTACAACACTTCACTGTTGTCCACTTCAATGCATTGAGTTGTTTACCAGAAAATTAGGCAAAGTATATGTGTAATCTATGTAGCATATACAAATGCATTTATATATACATAAGGACAGGTTGTAATTATAATCATTACATTAAATAATGTACCTTAACTAATATTTGCTGAAATGTACAATTAAAATGTTTTAAAAACATTTTCTTTCCTTACATGAAATGTATAATGAACACAGATTTATTGTAAGCTAATTTCCTGCATCATGTTGCATTTAATTTTTCTACATAAAAAAACTTGGATAAAATTTTAAAAACTTAACCATACAAGGTTTGGTGAAAGGGTAATGAATTAAGAAAACAGAATTTACAAAAGATTCCAAAAAATATCACATTGTTGGTTTATGTTCATATAAAAATTCAACACTGTAGAAAAATGAGAGAGAAAAAAATGGTTTTAAGTAATGATGTCACTGTACCACTGTAGAACATATTAAGACATATTAAGACAGACATGTACTTCTGACCAGTCACACAACATACATGTACATGATAAAGTGTTGTAGTACTACTATATATATATGAATGACAAAACTCAGCAGATAAGTCCAAACTTTGGACCTTTGTCTATGTAAATGTCTCCAAACTCCTGCGGTTGATGTACCTCAATGGCCTGGTACTTCTTCAGAACTAACAGTGTATAGAATTTTGAGCATGCCTGTTTTCTGTTCAAGTTCCTAGACATTTCTTTAAAGCTGAGAGTGTTCTTGTATCTAAATGCTACATCCAGTGAATGCTGCATTAACTGAGTTCTCTTTGTCCACCTCTTCTCCTCTTGTTCTTCATTTTCTGGCATGGCATCATTGTCCACCTCTGCTTCTACATTGAATGACTACAGAAAAAAAAACAATTTTAAGAAAATATAATCCTTTGAAAGACATGTTTCTACATACTGTACATTTATTCATCTTTTCTATCTGATATGAAAGATACTGGAAACCTGCATATGATTTATCAAAATAACTTCAATATGTAAATGATAGTGAACTAAAAATTGACAGTTATACTATACAAACAGCACATGTAAACAAACATGTACAATGCCCCACCCCTTTTCACTGGGGAACACATCGTTTCAAACCACGGCCAAAATGTACGATCCTCTCCATTCTGGCCGTGGTTGAATGAGAAGAGTATTTCGAAGCTCATTAAAACACTGACCAATGTCAGTAAAGCATTGTCAGATAATGAACTTTGATGCAACCTTTCAGTACCCAATCACAGTATACGAAACATTTCTTGTATACTGTTAATGTTGTTGTTGATTTCAATTGCGATGGAAACAAATAAAGTCAAACTTGTCATAGCGGTCACCTGTCCTATGCGGTCATTTTATTTCCTCCCAATGAATTTTCCTATATAATGTAATTCTATTAAGCAGTCACCTGCGTAAGGTGGTCAGCGGTCATCAAATTGCATGTAAAATCGCCGTATTACCTTGTATACAGCGGCCATTTTGTCCAATCATGTGACCAGATATAGAGTCAGGTGACTCCCAATTTTTGTTACTAATGTAAATAATTGGTCTAGTGTGGCGAGATCATGGAAAAATAATTAGCCTAATTAAAACCATTTAAAATGTTGGATAATTTATTGATTTTATTTAAAGAAAACTCAAACAAGGGTGCTAATGAATGAAATGGTTATCAGGAAAACGAACTTATATTATGAAAATCTTACGTTATCATGATTATGGAATTGGAATCTGGTTTTAAAAATTCTGAGTGATATTAAAAAACAACACATCCTTATTTACCTATTAAAGGACAATTAGGTGTTTCCTAATTATTAGTTCGCATTTGTCCAACTCCGATAGGTGTTATTGTGTAAACGCATGGCAGGCCGTTTTTAACACATAGAAAACGTATTATTTGTAGAAACCCTAAAACTGTTTTGTATACACAATGTGTCCTGATTATCTTGTGATTTTACCCTAGGTAAGACGATCGTTAGGATTAGTCACGCTTCATTGCTCACAACACCTGTGAATTTGATAAAATTTGTATTGTGCACTGCTTTGATCAACTGAGAGTACATGACTTGTCTGTTTATTACGCAACGATTTAATTTTTTTAAAACATACAATTGTTAATTTTACGTAACTAAACGTGTTTTTTAAGATACAGTTTAAATAAAAATACATCATATTTAATTCATGGCATCACATGATAATTTCTTATAATAAATGAAAGTTTTGTTGTTGTTTGGATGGAGGATAATGCAATGCCTATTAAACTCATACATTTTTTTTGTCATCAAATTTAGCTTGAACTTAATCTTGAGACTACAGGTAAACTTCGTTATCTCGACATCGACAGGACTATCGGAAAATGTCGAGATATCCGAGGTGACGATATATCAGAGTTGAGACTTGACGTCCAAGATTTCATTGCATAGCAAAACAGACAAGCTTATTATATGTACATGACTTTAATATAGACTGTAGCCCAACATATTTCAGAATTCCCTCTATTTTTATTAAAAATCTAAGAAGTTATTTTAAAAATCTTGTTTATAAAATGTGTTCTTTATAGAAATCTTTCTAAATTCACAAAGTTTCAGCACAACGTTACAGCATTGAGCTGCATTCGCGTGTAACTTGCCTTTTCGTCAGAACAGGATACGAAATGCGCTCTATAAACTTCGAACCGTATAAAGTCGACATCCGACATACGGTAAAAAAAATTAAATGCGGATTATTTTTTTCTTATTTTATTCTGGAAGAATGTACATTAAAATTAATTTTTTTAAAAAGAGATTTGTGTATCTAAACTAACGTAGTGATGTAAGAGATGCACGAATTATGGCTGATTCGGTCAATCGTGTCGTTAATTGGATTGTTTCCTGTTGAATACATTTTAACTACAAAATATCATTAAAACATTTTTTTTTAATTCCTCAGTTTGAATTTTCCAGTGTGTTTGTTATTCATTGTAATTTAGTTATCTTTTTCAAATATAAAAGTTATGTTACGTTTCGATATAAATAACATTCTGTACATTTACGCAGAATCATGTAGATTTAGCAATGATATTACCCAAGCTCAATTAATTTCTCAAAGACGCCAAAGGGGCTTGGGATTCACCTACAAACACAGTCTATAAAATTAATTAAGCAGCGTGCAGTCAATACATGGGTGTGAAAGGTGTGAAACTTTGAAGACGTCGAGATACCCAGAGTTGTCCGTGCGTGACGAGCGACCCTATCTGACAAACAGTTAGGTTCAGTAGAGCAGAAAATTGCCGATGTCAACATATGCCAGGTAAATTTTGCTCTTGGGACTGTGAATATATGTCGGGATAACCCGGGTTGTTGACATTATCGAGGTCGACATATCAGAGGTTTTGCAAATCATTTATATAGTAAATACTGCCGGGACCGCGGAAGGATGTCGACATATCCCAGGTTGTCGACATATCCGATGTTGAGATACCGAAGTTTACCTGTATTTAAAATTTATTTTAAAAAATCTTAGTGAGACCATTGATGTCCAATACACATCCTTATTTAATATTCTGTTATGTTGTATTGTAAAACACTAGAACTAACATTAATTGGAAAAGAATTTTCTTGAAAGAGATGAACCTCTCTTCAAAGGTCACCTCTCCATAAAGGTCACTTTTAATGATTCCCGAAGGGGACTGCTTAATACAGGTTTGACTCTATTGCCATTGGCTAAACATGATGTCACAACATAGAGGCATAAATATTCAAGATTACAACACTTTTTATGATCAAGCAGCCACAGGTAGGAGAACCAGCCACAGGTAGGAGAGAGCTATATGCGGACTCCAGACCATGGCTTGAGATGATGTGGGGAACAATTCAAATTGAGTTACTTACCGGTGCATCATGTGGCAGTACTGAGGGAGGGGGAACAGACTGTGGAGGGACACTGGGAGGGGGTACAGAAAACGGAGCAATAGATGGTGGTTCCGTCTCATATGGATCCAAATGTGGGTTCAGTAAGGAAGGTGGTCCCCCTGGTAAGTCTATGGGGGCCTCTGTGAAGGTGTTGGAGAACTGTGGATTTGTTGTGTTGTTCAGTGAGAGGTCTGGTTCCCGGGATGGGGTAGGAACAGGTTTGGGTGATTTCAGGGACTGTCTCTCCCTGCGTTTTGTTCGAGTGCTGGCAGTGGATTCCTCTAGGACTGATGGCTCCTCTATTATAGTACTGACTTCCTGAATGGGTGCTGCAGATCTCTCTGTTTGAAACAAGTAACAATTATGTTACAAAACAAAGCCTTTCAATTTTCAGTTAGTAGAGCTTACTTCAAAATTTATCCCTTAATTTTTGTTTGTGATTGAAAATATGACATCAGGAAACTTTATCCTTTTAGAGTATAGCTGAACACAACTTGTAAAAGGAGATTTATTCTTGTCTGCCATATTTCTCTTTTTCCCCTTCACTTCTTGAGCCCCTATATAAGCATCTGACCTTTTTTTCCCACAGTTCTAAGTATTTCATTGTACAGATCTCACCTGTGTTGACGTACATCTTACATAGCCATTGCTATTCGGTTGCAATAAAACTATCAATTGTATGCAACAATACCACGTCAGGGGAAAAATAACATCAATTGAACAGGTCAATACACTACAAAACAAAAGGGCCATGGGCCCAACACACATCTGAGTTACTACAGTCCTACTGTTCTTTAACATCAGATTTTTTTTCTGTATATTCTTGTGCTAAACTCAGATCACATATTGTAGACCCATCCAACCCCAGGGGGCCATTATCTGAACAAACTATACTCCACCTAAGGATAATTACATATAAATATAACTAAATATGGCTTTGCTATTCTTGAGAAGATTTTTCCTATATACTCTTATGCAAAGCTTTGATCACCCATTGTGGCCTGGCCCCTCCCTACCCCCAAGGATCATGATTTGAACAAAATTGAATTTACACTACCTGAGGATTTTTCCATATAAATATGACTAATCATGGCTTTGCTGGTCTTGAGAAGAAGATTTTTCCTATATACCTGTATGTATGCCTATGTAGTGCTTTGATCGCCCACTGTAGCCCCTCCCTACCTCCAGGGGTCATGATTTGAACAAAGTTTATGATGATGAGGACAGACAAATTTCAATCATAAAATAGAAATTGCCCCCCAAAACATCGAAATAAAATGTAAACACTCAGACAACGTAAGCAATACATGTACATGCACTAAATGTTGGCCATGATTTCCAGGTGTGCAATCTGCTTTAATGAATGCAAAGGGTATACATACCCTAGTGCTGTTATGGGAGATAGAAAACAAATATGGAGTATGATTATTTACGAGTCGTGTTCAGCTTTAAGATACAAGGAATAAAGACAATATACCCTGTTCCTCCCTTAGAATTTCCGTCGCCTCTAGATCTAATTTATCTTGATCTGACTCCTCTTCCTCCTTCACTTGACGAGTAATCAGATTCCGAGAGAACAACTGTTTAAAAAAAAAATTATACAAAAATAGATCAAACTTCCACCATTTAATGGATCCTACATACTAATTCAGCAAAAACCTGTTAAGAAAACTTCATTTCAAAAGGAAAGAAAAAAGACTGGCTGATTACTAAAGTACAAATCAATTACTAAAAAACATTTCCTTTTTGCAGTCAGCATTTGCAGTGTTTTCCCGAAGAACCAGCTAGCGGCCAAATTGACTACTTCCAATTTATATGAATGCCACTTTGAAATAAAGGGAAAACACTGCATTTGATACAAGTGATCTTACCTTAGAAGCAGTTTTAGAAATGATGGCTCGTCCTGGAAGTGCAAACAACTTTTCTACACCTCCCGTTTCCTTCCAGTGCATAAGTTTTTTGGTTGGTGGGGCCAGATCTAGTGTTGTTATGATGTCAGAGGTATCTGACAACTGTAGCTTCATTGTCTCACTTGGAAACCCTTTCTGTTCATCAACAATCAGTTTCCTTTTCCTCTTCTTTTTCTCAGCACCTGGGAAGAGTGTGGCATCTAAGGGAGGTAATGCAAAGGCTTCCTCTTCATTGTTAATCAGTGTGGTTTGTTCCCCTGATGTGCCTGGGGCATTGTGAATCATGGTAGGCTCTGTAGCTGATGTTGTGTTGGTTGTCTCATTATTCTGAGTATCTTTTGCTTCTGTAACATTGATTCAAATTTGTAAAGCAAACATTAATGTTTCCATTATTGCCAGATCAATTATTTGTATTCACAAAAGTGAAATAATTCATTTAAGGTAATGAGGTTCAGCAATGAATGGGCAATAATTGTCTACAGACATTGTACATGTAATTCCAGTATCTATCCCAAACTTTGTTTGGGACATTTTATTATTTAACGTAAGCACAGTCTACGCGAAAGTCTAAAATTTTGACAGGACATACAGTCTGGATAAAATATATAATTTACCAGACCAATCATTTACTTACCAGACAGACCTTTTTTCTTTAAATTCATCCATTATTATGATACAGAGATTGAAAAGGGGGTGGGGTGGGGGTAATTCTCACTGTTAAATTGAACCTTAAGTAAATCCAGAGATAAGATTATAGAACATAGATAATCAAAGATTACAAAGCTCACCTCCACAAATGTTAGCTCTAAGAATAGCATAAGCTATAGGGGTATAGCATAAGCTCATCTCGACTTTGTCGAGGTGAGCTAAAAATGATTTTATTGAGATGAACAAGCTTAATATCAATAATTTTTCTTTTTAAAAGGTAGTATACAATTGCATAAAATTTTCTCTTTTTCTGGTTATTTGACACAAACAAACGAAATACACATCAAAGATTTTTACTTAAAATGCACTTAATATATATTTATTTATTTCCTGAAATAACTCATAATGGTTACTCTTGTTTAATAATGAAAATAAATTCCCCCAACCAAATCTATGCATGAGTTATTTATAGATCTCTATTCCATGACAGAGGAAATTGGAATTAGAGATAAACAATCATGACAAGGTTCTTATAAATTAAAATTAATCATGTATTACTGCTAAATGGATCAAATAAAGGATTTTTAGGCCTCATTTTTTCATCGGACAATCGGCCCTGAATCCTGATTTTTTTTTTTGTGACCCAAACCAAGAGCTAAAGCCACGAACCATCAAATTTGGCCCTGTGTTTTTCACAAAAATAAAGTTTTGATTCAACAAGAGTCCTATACATTAAATGTTAGAGGACAACATACTTATTTTCCATACGTAACTTGTTTTGTTAAATAATGCGCCATTAGGCACGTGCGACGGTTGGAACATGCGATGGTGTGATAAAAGCGTTAAAAAATGCCGATTTTTCGACAGATTTTTCCAAAGTTAGTTGTGGCCACAGTCAAGAACAACTTTTATACTTACCATAGATATAGATATTGCCGATACAAATCTTTATGCTTATTATCGTTGTTGTTCGTGGGTGTGGCCAATATGAAATTTGATTTTATATTTAAATTTTGATGCATCAAATAATCACTAATTTGTGAATCAATCGTTAACATTTAATTCATACAACAATAAAAAATTATAAATTTCACAAAATATGCGAAAAAAGCAATTTATTGTTCGTTTAAAACGCTTATTGTGGAAAAAAAACCTCAAGAATAAACATTTTCTAAAATAAATATCTGGCAAAACATTTTTTTTATTGTGAATACATGTAGGTCCATTATATATGACGTTACTAATAATACGTCAGTTATGACGTCATAAAGGCTCTAAACTATTTGGAATGTTGCTGAAAAGTTTTTATGCTCTGGAATGCTGTCATTATTTGTATGATTTAAGCCCAACTGGATGATACCATCAGATTATTAATTATCAGAAATTCACGCCAAATTGTTTTCTTTACTGCCCTTAACACACCCACCCCACCCCCACCCCCACAATACCTGCTATTTTAAAGCTGTTATTAGACCTACAATTTTATATTTAAGCATTTTTTTAAATATATATTTATTTTTATTTATTTTTGACATTCTTGCGACAAGTTTAATAATGTTGTGCGTGTTAACAGACATGACTCAAATTGTAAACAAATTAAAAGAGAATGTAGCAAAGATATCACGCTAGACCTCTGTAAAACAAACGAAATAATAAAAACATAGCTTGCTGTGCAAAGTGAAAATTAAAAAAAAAAAGGAATTAAAAAACGCATTTGGATAATCATCTACATTTCGGCTAAACAGAATCTAGGTCACGGGCGCGGGTTCATCAAGTGCAAGTGTTTTGACGAAACCCGATATCGATACACACATGCATATATACTATAACTATATTCTTTTGTACCAGCATATATAAGCTATCGATATAATAACTGTATATTTTAAAAAATCCTCTGAGATGATTCTTATGCATGTAACACAAAAGGGTGAATTTCCATCCTGCTTCAAAAGCATATATATTTTTCAATATGTCTGCATTTAATAAATTCGAAGAGAGGATATTGATGATGCATGTGTACATATAACACATAAGTGATTTTGTCATCATTTGTGAAACATAATTCAGTTACACCCCAGTGAGCAAAAATGCATAAAAAATATCAGAGTATGTCTTAGAAATCCAGTATAAAATGTTCATGCATCTTTTACTGTGCTCCAAATATTTTATTGTTACTATCACAATATAAATAATTTATGCTTCTGATCGTCAGATAGTTGGGAGTAGTGGTTTTAAATCTATTTAGACAAAATAAAGAATAGAAATAAATAAAATAAAGTACACTACATATAAATTACTCGTAAGTTTTTTTTTATCTGCCACCATTTCTTCATTGCGACTGTAAGTATGCAGTTTTGTTTTATCTAAGAATTCAGCACCATGAAATCTCATAGAGAGAGAAAGAGAGAGAGAGAGATTCCTTAAAATGTTTTTAAAACTCAAAACAATAAACCAAGAATATATTCTTTGAAACGTATGGGCGTAAGTTGTTTATAGCTGGTTATTTTATACCCAATGAAGTAGATTTTTTTTTTATAATACATGAAATAATAATATTTTTTAAATCTATTGTCAGCTTATTCTGGTATAGTACACTTGTACCTCCTTCCTCAGTATTAATTAATTATTAGTATCATGATATGTAAAAAGGACTTATCGGGGGGTGGGGGGTGGGGGGTGGGGGAGGGGTAGATCCAAGACTTCCAGTTGAGGTTGAAAAAAAGGGGGGGGGGGGGGTCACAAACTAATGACAGCAAAACTTGCAATTAATGTAATTATTTAAAGTTTAATCCCATAAGTTGTCTTGAATTTAAATTTCTTTGTTTATTAATTGAAATCAATCTAGAAATTGAAAATTGCTTTATACTTTCCTACTCCTCTCATTTTTTTTCTCAGTGAGAAGGGGAGGGGTGCCCGGTTCATAAAGAAAACTGAAAAGAAAATATAGGGACAGTTCTTATTGTTTCTGAGGGTGTTACCTTTTTAAGCAAGATTTTGTTGAATAAAATCAATCTTGCGCTGATTGCAGGACAATAAGACAAGGATAAATGAACACCCGTACATGTCTTTCACTTATGACTGTGACCCACATCATGGCCGTAGGAACCGGAAGGGGGGTGATAATTTTGCCAATATATAGATTACTATCATAAACATAGATACTATATGCTTGTGCCCCTCAATAAAAACGTCTGATGACCTTTTTTTTTTTTTTTTTTTTTTTTTGCTTGTCAGGAAATTTTTGGTAGTGCCTCCTCAACTGTCAACTGAAAATGTATGGCTGAGCCCCCCCCCCCCCCCCCCCCCCCCAAATGAATTTGCTTCCTATGGGCCTGCACATATCAGCAATATAAATGCAGCTCTACTCTTTTTATAAACCATAAAAACCATTATGTGCAATGAAATCGAAAGTAGGAATTTTACACTATAGTTACGTATGCTAAAAACGAATATTTGCTCAAGTTTAATTATTTTGTACATTTACATGAAAACTAATCATATAATTTTCGCAGATTTCTATCTTTACAAATTCCTTGCAATTAAGATATTTGGGAGAGAAATATTCGAATATTTTGCAAGAGAAGGGGGGGGGGGGGGGGGTTCTAGCAAATATCGATAAATATAAAATAATGAACAGGGCTGATTTATTTTCTGCTTTAGCCTTAAATTAGTGATTTTTAACAGGTTTATCTTTCTTAAGAATATTTTTTTGGAAATGTATTCCATATTATTCCAAAGAAACTCACATTTAGGGCGACAATGTTTTGATGAGTTTTGTTTGCTTAATAAACCATTCTGATAAGTTGCGACACCCCTTTTCAATTAATCTATGTCTCTGTTTCGAAAACGACGTTCAAAATATTGTTACAAATGAAACAAGTCTTTCCAACTTTTTACTTCCTCCCTTTTTCCAAATCATTTAGAACTTTTATATGTTAAAATACTCGCAAGTTAAGGATCTAAGAATTTCGCATTAAAAGTCTATTTCCATTTAAACAATTTTTTTTTGCAATTACTTCTATCCATTTATTGAATTACATTGTAGTTCTTCAGTTTAGAAACATTCGTTTTAAGATCATTTCAGGTATCTCGTTATTTTTTTTTTCTGACGACCCTCTTCCCCACTTTGAAAAACAAACTTCGTGCCTGGACGCGCATTCCAAAGATCAGCTAATATTTGCAGGCGTGTAGGAAAAAGTCCGGAAAACTAAGTTGGACAGGCTATCGTCATTTGAAGCAAGTCGTATGTTTTTTTTAATGATGTTCAATACTCAATACTTACATGTAATTAGGAGCGATGCATCGCACAAAAATGTGTTCAAGGGATAGAAATACAATGTTCCTTCTTAAAAATTATATTAGCATAGGGACCAGGTAGAGTGAAAACTTTCCGAGACAGTAACACAGATTATTTTTACTGTACATGTATCTATAAATTTCAATCAGTTAAACACGCAGTTGCCATCAAGACTGCGATGTGAAATCAATTTCCAACTGTCCTTAATTGTCTTAAATTAATTATGAAGTTTATTAGTAAGATAATAAATATCTATCCCAATTAATACTAGTTTTAATTCGAAGTCACATATGTAAAATCGCTCAAGGTAATTTTTCCGCCCTAAGACGTTACGTTTCAAAAAATGACGTTCTACTAGCATTTTTCTTTTAAAACACCGTCATACTTCAAACTCTCTTTTTCAAAAAATATAATCGATATCGAAAAAAGAAAAACGGCAAAGAAAAGCTAAAAGTCTACACTATCAATTGACAAAACCCCGTTACTTTTTGAGACAGGGCCATTTTTGATGGTTCGTGGCTCCTGCTCTTTTACCGATATAAACCGATGGTCTGGTGACTTTTGCATAGACTGTAAGCATGATGTTTATGAGTAGATAATAAGACTGAATGACTACCTTCTGGCTTTTCTGCCTCTAGGGGAGCTGGCATTGAGACTTCTCCTACTGGTAATGGAGCATCCTCAAACAAGCCTCCTCCATTCATAAAGTCATTACCTACAACAGAAAAATACATGTTATATCTTTGTTACCAATCTAAATTTAATCCAATTTTTAAGTGAAAATTTTCAAAAATTTCCTTTTAACATTATTGTTATTCCACAATATGTTGCCATAGAAATACTATAAAAGGATAATTGATGTTATCCCTTTATGTCCACAACTCTCTAGGTGACTCAAAACTTCTACTTTATATATACATGTATATGCTTCTGATTTTATTTTTTGTAAAAAGTCAGTCTTTCTGGTCATTTTTCAATAGACAAAATTTCTCGATTTTAAAAGAGCAAACAAAATAATCTTTAACCAGGATTGCAAAAAGGCAAGTATTCTGAAAGAATGACACGTCACTCTTAATCACTGCTCCCTAAATAAAGGAGCCTTTTCTTACCGAAGAATTCCTGATCTACCCCACCTCCAAAGCCCCCATCATCATCATCGTCGTCATCATGCTCATGGTCGTCATCTTAGGCGCAAAACAAAACATCAATTCAAAATCAACACAACCAATATGGAAACTCTTTGCATCTCAAGAGTCCTATGACTAGATCGGAAAATTTTAAAACAACAATTTAAATTATTAACAATATATCTAGGGTCTTTCTTTTTCCTTGACATGAGAAAGAGTGACCACTAATCTAATTCAACATAAACCAAAAATACATCAACAACTGTACGAAAACCATAAACAAAAGAATGAAAAAACCATCAACAACACACCCATGAATCCTCCGTCTACCGCACCTCCAAAGTCATCATTATCTACCACTGGGTTTAAATCTACATCCATTGGCTTCTCTGATGTGTGCTCATTTAGAGTTTTCTCCTCTGCTTCCACTGGGCGAATACTGCTGCGATTGGTATACAGGGAGTCATCCATTTCAGAGTCATCTCTTAAAATCTCCCTGTCATCAAAGCCAACATCACCTATAATACAGAGCAAATATTTCTTGTTTGATTTCTTGAGAACCAAGTTATTCAAAATATGTAGCTGATTTTTCTTTCTTAAAAATAGTTAAACTTTTGATTCAAAATTATTTAATACATACAATTAAAGTCTTTCTAACTAGGTTTTATAAAACATAAATTGTTGTTGAATGAAATGGGCTTAAGTTTTCTCATTCAAGTCATGAAATTAGTGTTAATCATAATGAATGGGCTACATTCCACTTCCAGCACTCAAAACTGTATGAAATTATAACCCTGGTGTGGCTTACAGAAATCTTACTTCCAAAATAAAGGACTATATATTGGATACTGTAAATCTACTCATGCAAAAGACTGTGGATATCTTCCAAATGGTAAAGTGTAAGAAAATAATCATATGGATGTCTTCCATTATAAATTTTCTTACTTTTAAATATGTATCTCAACAAAACAAAAATTTTTTCAATACTTAGTTTTTCCTCGAATATAAAAGGACCTCCTGGAGAAATACAATAAGAATTCACTACAGAGAAATTACCACAATTAAAGATACTAATCCTTGAATTCCAAACCATGTCCTCTACTTTAACTGAATCATGCTTTTTATTTGAGCTTGTAAATAAACAAATATCAGATCTGCTTTCAGTTCTAATAACAAGAGGCCCATGGGCCACAACGCTCACCTGAGTAACTTTGGCCCTGCTGTTCTTCATCTGATTTCCTACATTGTTATACCTTTTGTGCCCCCCCCCCCCCCCCCCCAGTCATGATATGAACAGTTTAGAATCTACACTACCCCAGGATGCTTCCACATAAGTTTCAGCTTTTCTGGCCCAGTGGTTCTTGAGAAGAAGATTTTTCCTATATATTTCAATGTAAAACTTGGATTCCCTATTGTGGCCCTGCCCTATACCCGGGGGTCATGATTTGAACAATTTAGAATCTACACTACCCCAGGATGCTTCGACATAAGTTTCAGCTTTTCTGGCCCAGTGTTTCTTGAGAAGAAGATTTTTAAAGATATTTTCTACATATTTCAATGTAAAACTTGGATTCCCTATTGTGGCCCCGCCCTACCCCCGAGGTCATGATTTGAACAATTTAGAATCTACACTACCCCAGGATGCTTCCACATGAGTTTCAGCTTTTCTGGCCCAGTGTTTCTTGAGAAGAAGATTTTTAAAGATATTTTCTACATATTTCAATGTAAAACTTGGATTCCCTATTGTGGCCCCGCCCTACCCCTGGGGGTCATGATTTGAACAATTTAGAATCTACACTACCCCAGGATGCTTCCACACGAGTTTCAGCTTTTCTGGCCCAGTGGTTCTAGAGAAGAAGATTTTTTAATGACCCCACCCAATTTTTGTCTTTTCTTGAATATCTCCCCTTTGAAGGGGGCTTGGCCCTTCATTTTAATAATTTAAACTCCCCTTCACCCAAGGATGTTTTGTACCAAGTTTGGTTAAAATTGGTCCCGTGGTTCTTGAGAATAAGTTGAAAATGTGAAAAGTTTACAGACGGACGGACAACGGGTGATCAGAAAAGCTCACTTGAGCTTTCAGCTCAGGTGAGCTAACAATACTGATTTAATAATATTAAATATCTTTGCAATTGAAGAAGGTTTATATGTTTTAAGATAAAGCACTTACCAAAACCATCGTCCCCAACAAAAGCTATACTGGAAAGATCTTCTCTCATTGTGATGTCTTCTGGACGACTCTGATTCACTGAGAACTGAGCATGCATATCAAGGTCACTGCAAAATGATAGTCAATTGGTCATATGGGATACAGACTGAAGTAAAGATTCAAACTTGGTTCAATTCGTTAAAATAAATGAGGGCTTTGTTCTTGATACATAGGCTTTTATCTGCATTAATTATGTTCTCATGGTATCTCGATATGGGATATGACGACAACCTGAGATATGTTGATGTCCGTATTTTGATGTTCCTGGCATATTTACTACATAAATGATTGCAAAAATTTGGATATATCTACCTTGATAATGTCAACTACCCCACTTAACTTAATGCATTTTCACAGTTTCAAGAGCGAAAATTAACTTGTACTTGTATATGGACATTGGGGCAATTTTCTGCTCTACTAAACCTGTTTGTCAGATGGTCACTCATCACGCGCAATCAACTCCGTGTATCTTGAAGTCATATGAAATTCACCTCTTTAAAATAATGTTTTGACTGCACACTGTTTAATTCTGTAGATTTTGTTTATAAATGAATCCCAAGCACCCTTAGCTGTCTCTGAGATGTTAATTGTTTAGGTAATGTTATTGATAATCTGAGTAAATGTAGAGACGATTATTCATATAGAAACCTATAATAAATTTAATTTGAAAAGGGCAAGTAAATTACAATGAATCTCTATGGTAAAAATGCATTCAACGGGTAAGAATCCAGAGACATGATTATCTGAATCAGCTGTGATTTATGCATATATATCAGACATCACTGCATTAGTGTAAGTACACAAATCTTTTATATTTTGTTCTTTAATTAATGAGTTTTTATTTCTGAAATAAAATAAAAAATATGCATTTTTTGTAGTATCTCGGGTGCCAACTTTGTTTGGTTTGAAGTTAAAAGTAATAAAAATGTTTTTTTTTCATATCATGTTCTGCCTTAAAGCAAAAGTGAGTGTGACGTGCAGAATGCCAGATGGACAACACTCAGTAAATTTATCAATGTTTCGATATGGAAAAAGAACACATACATGTACAAATCATTTAGATATTTTTTTAAATAACTTCTTAGATTTTGTAACAAATTACTACAGGTAAACTTCGTTATCTCGACATCGACGGGACCATCGGAAAATGTCGAGATATCCGTGGTGTCGAGATATCAGAGTTGAGACTTGACGTCCAAGATTTCATTGCATTGCAAAACAGACAAGCTTATTATATGTACATGACTTTAATATAGACTGTAGCTCAACATATTTCAGAATTCCCTCTATTTTTATTAAAAATCTAAGAAGTTATTATAAAATGTGTTCTTTATCGAAATCTTTCCAAATTCACAAAGTTTCAGTACAAACTTACAGCATTGAGCTGCATTTGCATGTAACTTGCCTTTTCGTCAGAACAGGATACGAAATGCGCTCTATAAACTTTGAACCGTATAAAGTCGACATCCGATAAACGGTAAAAAAAAATTAAATGCGGATTATTTTTTTTCTTATTTCATTCAGGAAGAATGTACATTAAAAGTAATTTTTTTAAAGAGATTTGAGCATCTAACTAACGTAGTGATGTTACAGATGCACGAATTATGGCTGATTCGGTCAATCGTGTCGTTAATTGGATTGTTTCCTGTTGAATACATTTTATCTACAAAATATCATTAAAACATTTTTTTTAATTCCTTAGTTTGAATTATTCAGTGTGTTTGTTATTCATTGTAATTTAGTTATCTTTTTTTCAAATTTAATAGTTGGGTTTCGATATAAATAACAGTCTGTACATCTACGCAGAATCGTGTAGATTTAGCAATGATATTACCCAAGCTCAATTAACTTCTCAAAGACGCCAAAGAGGCTTGGGATTCACCTACAAACACAGTCTATAGAATTAATTAAGCAGCGTGCAGTCAAACATGTGTGTGAAAGGTGTGAAACTTTGACGTCGAGCTACCCGGAGTCGTCCGTGCGTGACAAGCGACCCTATCCAGGGTTGGCAAAAAACTGGGAAATACCCATATTTCCCAGGACGGTGGGAAATACTGGTAATTACCGGGAATTACTGGTATTTCCCGAGAAATACTGGGAAATAAGAAATAGCTACATATTTCATTCATACTGACATGTAGTATACCTTACTGGCTAAGATACCTTCCTGGTATCACTGTCCCTGATTTAAAAAGTTCTGGTTTCCAAGTAATTCATTTTATACAATCATAAAACAGCATACTCATATTATACCAGTCATGAGTGTCATTTGTTTCATGCTTGAGTCAGATGTAGTCTATAAAGGTCCATGAAATGAACCCAAAGATCCCAGTTGGGTATGTAACTAAAGAAGGATCTAAGAAAATTCTTAAATGTAGAGTATGGTATAAATATCAAAGCTAAGAAGAAGCCTTTCAGTTCTACTCAAGGTAATTATCTCTCAAAACAGGAGCACAAAACTGTCAAGAGCAAATTTGTTGAAACAACATGATTGATTGTAATAACTGCAGTGTTTATAGAAGGATTAAAACAATTTTTTTGTTCTTGGATTTATAAGTAATAAACTTAATAATTTTACAAAACTGAAAAATAACTTGAATTGGAAAACTTCAGTTTTATACAGTCAGGGAAATGTATCAGTATGCTTATGGGTATGGGACCTGGAGTAGTGATACATTCTTAATATGCTACAGCTGTAGATTGCAATATGAGACATATTCCATATTCTTCTTCTTCTGTTTTTATGTTTCTTTTATTTTTGAATTTTGTATAAGATTGAATGAATTAAAATAATAAAAAACTTTAACTTTGTATTTCCCAGTATTTCCCAATATTTCCCAGTTTAGAGAAAATTTGTAGTATTTCCCAGGACGGGAAATACCGGTATTTACCACTGGTAATTCCCACCACTGGTATTTCCCGGCCAGCCCTGATCCTATCTGACAAACAGTTAGGTTCAGTAGAGCAGAAAATTGCCGATGTCGACATATACCAGGTAAATTTTGCTCTTGGGACTGTCTAGTCTCAACTCTGATATTTCAACATTTTCTGATTGTCCTGTCAAAATCGAGATACCAAACTATACCTGTAACTTAAATTTTTCTCATATCAAGGAAATAAAAATTTTTGAGAGCAATGTAATCATTTGTTAGAATGGAACTAAGTACTTGAGGTCAGCAAGAGTAGTGTCAAAGTCATGGAAGTTCTCCTGTAGTGTAATGGCAGCCACAGCCGCTTCTCTGTTCTCCTCTGGCAAGTCCACTACTCCTGGACGGAAAGCCATCTTAATCTTCACAAAGGCTTCATTGCAGTCAGCTAACAAGTACTTAGCCTTACGGGAATAAATTCTCACCACTCCTAGCAACAAGTGGCCTGATGTCCGCAGTGCTAGTTTGACCTTTAAAGGCAAAATGAGATATATATATAGTATAAACATTCTTCTTTACATAACATTTTCATTCTGAATATTAAATTCAACTGATTTCATTTCAAACAAGTCAATGCATAAAATACTGAACAAAAAAAATCTTGTAAAATCTTTCAACTAAAAATACCTTAGGCTGCATAATTGCCTCCACACTGCTGTCTATGTTGGTCTCAAAAACATGTGCTTTGGTGAGTTTCTTATCCCAGTGAGCAGCCAGCCAAATTCGGGCCAAAGGACCCTTCTTACTCAGGACAAAATGAGCATAAAACATTGTGCTGTGTACAGTAAATCGCCACTAGATCCTGAAATAAAATATGTATATGAATATGATGTGTAAATTGCTAACATAATAGGGCACATCTCATTCCAACATTTGCAACTTTCTGGTGAATGTCATTTCACAAAAAATATTCCATTTTTCTCGCATTTTGATTACCCCAGGATGGGAGTCAGACTTCCCATATAGTGAAAAAATTAAAACAGTAAATTATTGATGTACACCTGTGTTTCTGTGACATGAAGTATTTGACTAGTGATGTACCGATTAATCGATCAAATTGGTTATCTAATCAAAATGGCCTCCAATTATAGATAATCAACTCAGGGTTTGACATTAACTTTTAAGAGTACTAGACCAGTCGGGCTACTTCCCATGATTTTTACTAGCTCTGACCGTAAAATCACTAGCCCTGACCAAACCCGCATATTTAATTCTTATAATCGCTAATTTTAATGATGTCTCTCACGCTGTCAAGATTTTGACAGACTAGCCAATTGAGTCGGGTTCATCAAGACATGCGAATATTATAAACTTTAAAGATCATTCAACATACTTTAATAAAATATTAACAAGTATTTCTCCGTAACTTTTAATATACTATATTGATACTGAACGACACTAGTTTGTACTTCGACTTGTCTATTACAGCCGTAAGGTACAAACGAAATATGGACGTGATTGACGGAGAAATATAATACTTTTGAGGGGTGAACCATGGGTGCCAGGTGAAATAATAAATTTAATAGTCCAAGTAATGCAAACTGGTCATGACTTTGATTTAAAGGTATACCAGATCAGAAATTTCAAAATTTGTACCAACATTCTCGGTATTTTTTTTTTTTTTTACAAGAATATAAATTCTGACTTTTCGTTTGATTTTCCGATATGGGCAAATGAGTGGACGATCATAATATAAAGTCCATCATTACAACCTAATTAAGTATACATATTTCAACTACTTTTTTTTTAATTAATGGGGGAATACACATTTCAGGTGCCATGCAGTGGCTAAAAATAATGATTGTGTCATATGGGGATTGTTTTCTTTGTAAACATGCAGAGCGATGGTTGTTTACAATCGGACAGATAAGAAAATTTCTTTAAAAGTTTATTTAATATTTATTTGGAAGACTGAAAAAGGGTTTTACAGTTATTTTATCAATACAACCAATCGGTCTAGTTCACATTCATTTTACATGTCCAGACCACTCCTTTACTAGACTGGGTCGGTCGGACGTGCCTTAGTGTCAAACTTTTGATAATCGATTGATCTGAATTTTAGTTAAAAGCAAATTATTCCTTTGATTTTTTTATTCATTCTTCTTTGAATTTAACTAAACCCTAAATAATAATCTAATAAATGAATCCAATGATACAAAATACATCAAAAATGTATCCTAGAAATCCCTCCAGAATTTTTTAACAATTTATTCTTCATTCAAAAATGAACAAATTCAACACTTGAAATTAATCGATTATTGATCAATTATAGTGCATCCTATTATTCCGATAATCGATTATGAAAAAAATCTGATTTCCCATCACCAAGCATTTCCCTTTGGACTGACCTTGCACTGGCCCACAAAGGGACAAAATCCAATTCACTAAGCGACTTTTTTGCAAAGTGTGAATTGAACTATTATGCATAGATAGTTTTAGATAGGCCTGAATTTAGCAAGAGTTTTTCCTGTTGGCCGCCACATTGGAGGTTCAGCGAACAAATTTTCCTCTTTGAGCAACAAATTTTAAACTTGTATGGCAGAAATATAAGGGCAAAAATCTTAAAAATATTAAAATTACAAATTAAAGGAAGCTTGTGTAAACATAAATTTGTAAAAAAGACTGTGTTTTCTTCACCCATTTGCCCAGTATGACAAGTTTAAATTGGTTGAATAACGAAGGAATTCAGGTTTGTATACCTCCAATATGACGACCAACGGGATATAACTCTTGCTAAAATCATGTCAATCAAAAACTTGCTATTCTGCAGTGTGCACCAAAAACTTTTCTCAACACAAGCCCAGTCTGGCTAGCAATGGCAAAATTTTACCTGGCCAAATCACTTTTTACTAATCCCCAGTGAAAATTCTTCACGGACAAGTGAAAACTGCTGTACAGAATTTCTTCTCAAAACTCAAAGGTTGAAAATTATAAAATGAAAACCAGCTGTAACATGCTGTAACAAAGGAAAATTTCTGTAAGGTCAGAGGAAAACAAAAACAAAAAAATTTGTTGCTAAACTTTTTTCATTCCTGTTCCTGCTATTTTTCTTTGAATACTTTATATAGTAACTTTAATTAAGCGTTAACTATGTCAAGTCACAAAATTCTCTCTTTTCAATACAGTCTCAAACTATAAAAGCAGGGATTAGAGTCAACGGTACCTCGGATTAGAAACAACATTGCAAACAGTAGAGATGAAGCTGTATACACCTGTGAAAACTATTAGAAGATTGATAAAGGTTTGATATCATTAATTTGGTGGTTATTTTCAGTGAAACTCCATTTTAGTCTTCAAAATCATTTTTGAGTGGATCCACTCTGATTTGCTACTTTGCAACGATATGGGACGTATTCTTACTGTGGTGAGGGCTTGCCCCCTGACACAGATTATTCTAGTTAGAATAATCTAACTGTATTGGGACAAGTTCTCACCACAGTTAGGATACGTCCCATATACTAGCAATATATGCTCCAAAATGATTTTGAAGAATACTAAAGGAGTTGTACTGAAAATTTCTAAATCTATCAAAACAAACCTTTTTGAGATTGCATATGCCTTTTCACCTAAAAAATAATCCACATAAATATGAAAATTCAACTCATTTTCTCAACGTTTCTCTTCACTTCAAATTTACATGCCATGTTGACACTGGGAACTCTCTGGATTGTTTGTAGAAAAGGCACAGAGTTCGAGTTATCGCCCGCTTTTTTTTGGGGGGGGGGCTACATTGCCAATAAACGGAACAAATTCTATCATTAAACCGGGTCCATAGGACAATATCATTTTAAAGATAGTACATTCTACTTGAGATTATTCTAGCTACAATTTTTGCAACAATAAAGTTTGAAAGTAGCTATCTTTGGTGAGCTCTAAACTTTTTTTTACCAAGACAGTGAAATATTTTTTTCACCATTGAACTGCATTTAAAAGCACTATTCGAATGTTAAGAAACGTAGTTATTACACCTTATTAAAAAATCATCTGTTTTCATTATCCCAATATTCAAATACGTTTCACATTTCTCAAATTATAATTCACTGAATTGCAGAATGTCCTGCAAGATAAGGCTGTGGGAAAAGATGTATATATTATATTGGGAAATGGTGTGCTGAAATAAATAACTATACCTCATCTGATACACTAACACACATCTTGACATCTTCATCACACGTCGCCGAATGTATTTAAAATGTTCTACTCGTAGTTTAAATCAGATAATTTTTCATCAAATTTAGATTTCATACAATGTACTGGTCCGAACTATACAATACAGCTGAAGTTACCTACATTATTTCATTAATTTCGATGCAGCAACAGAGTTTCCAGACGATAACTGCGTCCAAAATGGCGTCACTTGTTGTTTCCCGCTTCAATTTCTTCGTTCAAAAACTTTGCGGAAGAATATAGTTCGTATCATGATCAAATACTTTGATGATGTTAAGATAGATATTTGAACATAGAGAGTAGAGTTTAATATTTTTTTCATTGAAAAACAAAACTGGTTCAGGGTTTTCGTAACAATTATAAAGTAAACGATGTATTTGACGCACTCGCATAATTATAGCGTAAGGATTTCATTTGTTTATAAATAAATCATTTAACAAGTCGTTCATAGTTTGATCGATTGAACCTGTCTCAATCACCCACACAGAAACTTAAATATATAATGCTATACAAAATTACTAATAATACAGACATCCATATGATAAGAGCGTTAAAGTGCATTTTTCCTGAGCTGAAACGAATGTCTTTCAAACTGACTTAAAGAATAATACAAGGTACAATTTAATGTAATTGTCGGACGGATCCGGCGAGTTCGTCCGCTGTACCAGTGAGCACTAGCGACAGAAATCACGGTTACACCGCTAATCAGGTCAAGTCAACGCAGAACATCATGGGTTCTCAATCTGATGAAAGCACTGGTCCATTCTGGGAGAAAATTTCTAGTTTATCTGTTATCGTCTTCTTCATCATTTCCTACTTAACTTATTATCTTTTGTTTGTTGTTAAGGTAAGTGCAAAAAATATATTTTGTGTACATTTTTCATTAAAAATTTAGACGGCATCGCCCATCAATCAATCAGCTGATTGTGAAACTTGGAAATGTGTATAAATATCAATGACTGCCATTAAAAAGACTGTCATAGAATCATGCTATTGCATGGCAAAGACTTGGTTTCTGGAAAATGTCTTAGGATGGGAAGTTGAAATTCTTAAGATAACATATATATGTTACTTCGGTGTAAAATTCTCCTTATATGATGAAATGATATTCTAATCAGAGTAATGAACAACATGTTTCTTTAATTTCGCATTCTCAGAAGTGTTTTCAAGGATTGCATTCTTTCTATTAAACGTAGTCTACCTAGCTATTTCCAAATGCAAAAATCCTGCATCTCTGATTAGAGATCAATATATGGCATATTATTGATGGGAGCATTTTGTGCTTTTGAACAAGAGTAACAAAACTTGTGAAAAATGCTTTTAAACGTGTGTAACTTCACCTCTAATTTCCTCAGTTTATCAAGTTGTGCTCATAACTTGTGAATGAAAATTTGGCTTAGACTGAAGAAAAGCATGTAAACATGCAGTTTTTACAACTCAGTTTGTATAAATATTTGATTTGTAATTCATAGCATGAAATGTAATACACGTATACTAAAATTTGTTTTGCATCTATCTGGTTTTACTTTACTTTTGTAGAAACCTCGATTAGCTTGCAGGGATAAAAAATTTAAAAACTTTCTTCTGGAGTACTGTCCCATTCTACATGAGAAATTTAAGCCAACATTTTGGTGTTTTGAATCCAGAGCTCAGACTATAATGAGGGCAATCCTGAAATCTTCTCCAAATGTTTCTTTTGAGAGGTGAACATAAATTCAGTTTGAGTGTAATATTATTTTTGGATGTGTCATTTTTATTCCACAATAAACTTAATTTTTCTGCTTCAGTGAATTGGTTCTCCTGCCCGATGGAGGACAACTATTACTTGACTGGTTTGACAACAGTGAGTCAGAATTTAAGGATGTCAGAACTCGTCCAACCATCATTTTATTACCAGGATTGACAGGTGAATATTTATTTATCATGTTCTTAGATGTTGAGTAAATATGCAAAGGGTGCAAGAGTTTCAAAAATGTTTTTAGTGTAAGGGTGGGGGTGGCTAAGGTAGATGGTACATACTCAAGTTATGGGTCTGTTTAATTATGGTCCAGAACATGTTAACGAACCTCTGCTCTCTGATACTTTGATTATATTGGCATGGCATACCCACTAAATAAGAAGCCTGTTTCAGCATGTTCAGTTGTATCCTAAGGTTTTATTGTCTGTGGAGTATTGAGTCATGCAGTTCTAATAGGCAATATTTTCATAAACAGTCTATTATGTATCTGTTTGTATTGAGTTCTGAATTATAATATGCAAAAAAAATTTGTTTACTAAGCTTCTTATCTAAGGACAAGGCTTATATTTATTTTTGTGGTATGGTATATTGTATTTTCTATGATTTGTTTGCAGTAAATTCTATTTGTAAATTGACCTGATCTTGAGAGTAACATAATTTATCAATATATTATTTAATATTTAGGAAAGATATAACTTCACATACATAAGTGTTTTAACTTATCACAGAGCACAAACTTATAACTGTATCAGTTTACACAGGAAAAGGTTTTCTGAGCAACTTGAAACTATCAGTAACCTTCATCTATTAAGATTTTAACATCAAGGAAGAAGAGCAGCATATGTGCTGTTATTTTTATACGGGGGTACTAATATGTATAATATGCAGGGTTGTCCCTAGGACTCAGAGGTCGGGGAATTTTCCCGCCTATAATGACCTAATTCTCTGGTTATTTTGGTTTTCCCCCTAAACTACCCTTAAGGGGAGGAACCACAGACTCCCTTCTACTTTTTTAATGCCCCCCTCTATTTCAATTCTCAGGGACAACCCTGAATATGTATTATAATTATATGAAGTTAGTAATATACTTGTATGTTAGAAGTTGATCATGCATTACAATGGACTGTATTTGATATAAGGATACCGTAGAAATGATGACCTTGCCCCCATTCCTATCTTATCTGTAGGCAGAATGTGAATACTGTCTATCTGATGAAGTCAAGTGATTTGAAAGTGTACAGGGTAAACACACATATCTGTGATAACACTTGGGAGCTATTTATAGGAAAAAAAAACAGAATATAATTTTTTTTTGGATGCAACAATTAATGAAGTTAAATATACACTTTACATTACTTTTTGCATTTTGTTACTTTTTAGCCTATACCTGAACCAAACTTACCACAAGGCATTCTTAATTTGCAATCTCTGTTAGTGTAGATTCTACAAGTTTGTTCATATTATGAACCCCCCTCTCCCAATTGATGATCCAAACAAAGGTGTCACGAAAATTTGGTAATCTACAGTTTACCGGAATATCAATTTGTGGGAAGGGGATGGGGGGCATATTTGAATTATATTAAAATACTAGTTGCATGATGGTTTCTTTTTTTTTTTAAGAGGATCGAATCAAGCCAAGCATTTTGTAAAATGTGTTTTTAAACATGACATTTACAGCAAGTTCTCAGAGAGAGGAAATTTATTTAAACCCTTCTTTTATATTGTTCTGTGATTGTTGAAGAAAATTAAAATGGCCAAAAGAGTAGACAGACTTGGCAATTTATAATAGGGGTGCAACGATACACCAACCTCACGATACGATATCTATCACGGTATTCAGTTCACGATACGATACGTATCATGATAAATGACAAGGTGAAGAACTCTTTCAAGTTTGTCATCATATTTTTTAAAACTTGACAGGCTTATATCAAATGTTCATTTTTTTTTTTTTTTTTGATAATGAGTAAAATATCAATTTGTTAACTTGAATTGGATTGATAGTTCTTAGATTGAATTTTGACAATATTCTTAACCAATGATGAACATTTACAGGGAACTTCGGGGACCTTTCCTCATCAACTTATATTTAAATTGGAATGAAAAGGGAAGACATTCATTCTTTTATTCCTTTTATTTACGTAGGAAATCAGTTGTCCTATTTCTCGTGTTAACACATTTTAGTCAACAAGACAGTGAATTTTCATCGAAATGCACGTGTGATGAGTTATTGTGCATAACTATAGAATATGTTTAGATCCAAAGGATTTATCACTTGTCTAAACATCTATAACTTTTAATTACATTAGGAATGCGATGAAGTCCTTCACCATGTTAAATCTGAGGTCTGTAAGATGCTGGAGATGAGTTTAACTGCCATTAATGCATTATCGTCGACCTCATGTTTCGCACGGAAGGCATTTTGAAATTGTAAACAAGGAAACAAAACAGACGATTTGGATAATCCTGGGCTGATTGAATGGAACGGCGATATCAGTTTAACTTATTGTGAATTGAACCGTGGAAAAATATACCGCGATATACCATCAAACGGTTTATCGTTGCACTCTTACTTTATAATGACTTGCGATACAAACTACTCTGCTATGAATGTAAAAGATACAGCGTGGTTTATTGGTGTACTCTTATATCTTCCTGGTATATCTGTCCCCAGAGAGAACAATTATATTGATGTTATTGACTTCCAGTGTGTTTCATATATTTGTCTTTTCAGGCACAAGTAACGAGTCCTACATCACACATCTGGTTCACCAGGCTGCGCAGCATGGCTATAGGTAAAACTGTAAAAGTGAGGTTTTCTGACACAATGACTGTCTAGAAAAGTAATGTTAGAGTAAACATTTAGTTTTACAGTAGCATTATGGCTTTAACTGCCATGTATAAGGTTTCTGGCTCAAATTGTGAAGTAGCCATTTAATATTGCATGATGTGTGCTTGAAGCAGGCACTTTATGATCGACCAAAATGTATATAAAAGATAAATGTGACACCTTATAATGCCCAGGGTTTAGCATGTTATATAGATCTAGTACCTCATCCAAGCAGAGTGTGAAAATCCTTATCTACTCCCATTAGATATTGCTACTAAGTAATAAATATGACATGAAATACACTTTGTTTCCTAGGTCTGTGGTATTCCATAACAGAGGTATGGGAGCACAACTGTTGGTAAGTGCATCAACATGAGTAATTTCTACAGACTCATTCTCAATGTAATTAAAAAGACTAAAATGTGATTCAGACTAATAGAGTTTTGCCATTACTAAATCAAGAATGGGTTAGTGCTGAAAAAAAATGTTTGGCACATACTAAACATTACTTATACTGACAATAACCAAACTCACTGAAGCATTGCTTACTGACAATGACCACAAACTCACTGAAGGATTACTGACAACGACCACAAACTCACTGAAGCATTACTTACTGACAACAACCACAAACTCACTGAAGCATTACTTACTGACAACGACCACAAACTCGCTGAAGCATTCATTACTTCCTGACAACGACCACAAACTCACTGAAGCATTACCTACTGACAACGACCACAGACTCACTGAAGCATTACTTTCTGACAATGACCACAAACTCGCTTAAGTATTAGTATTACTTACTGACAATGACCACAAACTCACTGAAGTATTACTTACTGACAACGACCACAAACTCACTGAAGATCAACAGAGACATGTTCATTGACCAATACCATGGGTCTGTGTGCACTGATTCATGTACTTCAAGAGACTGGATTGTAATAATCACTATTGATTTGCTCACAATTCCAAGTTTACTAAATAATTTCATAGACTTACACAAACCAATACACATACAGTACCCGCATCGTTATTCTTTACAATTCTATCGTGTCCTATCGTGCGTTTATCCTATCGTATCGTGAGTGTATCCTGTCGTATCGTGCGTGTATCCTATCGTATCGTGTTTTCCGTTTATCAGGTTTTGCGTTTTCTATCGTGTTTTCCGTTTATCAGGTTTTGCGTTTATCGTGAAGATCGTTTATCAGGTTCTATCGTGTATTGTGTTTTGCGTTTATCGTGTGCATTCGGAAACCCTCACTTTTTATCTTTACCTTGAAAAGAAACACCCGAGATATCTCGAGTTCATCTTTCGTTTTGTTAATTTATTTAGGATTAATGTAACTGTTGAACAAAAAGAGAAATTAATACTCTAACTCTGGTATATTTTTTAAAGAAAATAAATAAATAAATAAACGTCGAGTACCGTCACCAAGCAGAGAGCATAAATCGAGAGTCAAATTCTATTTTTGTACATGAAATAATCGATCTACTATTTAAGTCAGTAATTTTTTTTTTAAATTTGTCGATATGTAAGAAATATTTTTGTCAAAGATAGAAATATTATAATCCCTTTACACAGTCAGAGTCACAAAAGCGAGACCTTTGTTAACTTTGTTTTGATAATTATAGAAACATAAAACATTAGGTATGTGTGCAAAAAATAAATTATGAATAAAAAAATATCAGTATCTTTATAAAGGCTATCCTTTTTATCAATAACGGAAACATAAATTCTATGCGCGCAAGTTTTGTTGTTCCTTTGTATTATTATTTTTCTCTGATAAGTATATATTATAATATAGATGTTTGCCATTCATATTTAACTACTGCATTTAGAAGATGTAAAAAATAAATAAATAAATAAATAAACAAAACCACACAAATTTTTATTATACATCTTACCTTCTTCGGCGCGGAGATGAAGTAATATATACCGTAACTTAGTGACAGGTGGAAGAGCTCCCGTGACAAGAGAACTGACACCTACCTGCCTAATCAGTACACTGTCTTCTTGTCAAGTCAAGACCCCCCCCCCCCCCCCCTTCCCCTACAAGACCGGCCCATGTGTATTCAACGTAGACATACCTGAACTCTAGCTCTCACCTGGTGTCAAGTATTTACCTTGAACCCTACTGGGTTTCAGTGAAATGCATCTACTTAATTTCTGGTTATTGTTCATAATTTTTATGAACAATACTTAATTAACAATTAAAGATTTTATACTAAAAAAAATTGGTAAATGTACACTTCCGTTACAGAGAATAACTGAATCAAATAAAATATAGGCGAGGTTTGTCCTCCAAACTCCGTTGATTTAGTTCATTTGCATATTTTTAAGTAATTTTTATAGATTTACAGTCATAAACATGATTGTGTGATCAAATAAAAAAAATTGCGCTTGCAGTACTTCTGGATCTTAGGGTTTTCTGTGTTGTTTGTCGTTGTTACATGTAAAGGCGTCTCAAAGGTACATGAAAAAAAAATCGCCCGGTTCTGCGGTGATATACAAGACTGGTAAATACCTTGTATTTAATATTATTCGTGTTTATCGATTACATATAATACGTGACTATATTGAAGAAGTCAATATATATTTTTATTTTTTTTTTGTGGCTTTTTGAATCGGATTTTTTTTGGGGGGGGGGGGGGGGGTTATGGACTCCCCCTTCCCCGATGACTGTGCCTCAAATGGGGTTAAAACTTTCATAATTTACAAAGTTTTGTCTAATTTTGCCGATGTCGTCCTATATAAGATAAGTTTTGTAACAAATATTACAAAGTCTAATAGCAATAATTGACAATTATTCAATCCAAAAATCCACTTGTCAAATTGTGGAAATTGATTTATTATTTATTTTTGTGTGTGTGTTCTAATATGTTGTAAACAAGTGTACGTAACCATTCAATGTTATTTAATACAAAGTTTAAGTACCCAATAAGTATATTCATATACATTGTAAGCTTAGTTTACACGTATCTATATTAGATACAAATTCTGTTATTGTAAATGCTTATAACACAAGCACGCTAAGAAAGCAATATCATTTCTTTGGGGACGGCCGGGGGGAGGGGGTGGGGTCTAAAAAGAAATGTTTTGAAAAGCAAACAAAAATGGCTAAAGACATTATTATTGTCGATAGGCAATATTATATAAGCATTATATTACTACTGTATACTACACATGCTGGTACACTGTAACATTTTTTTAGCTCACCTTGACGAAGTCGAGATGAGCTTATGCTATACCCCCGGCGTCGGCTTCGGCGTTAGCGTCGGCGTCCCGGTTAAAGTTTTAGGAGCAAGTCCCATTCCCAAGTTACTATAAGCCCTACCTGGACCAAACTTGCATGGATGATGCATCTAGAATGGACACTGCCACACTTGCTTCGGATGCTGGATCTGACCTAGATTTTCCAGATGAGTGACCAGGTTAAAGTTTTTGGAGCAGGTCCATTCCCAAGGAACTATACGCCCCACCTGAACCAAACTTGTATGGATGATGCATCTAGGGATGGACACTACCACACTTGCTTCGGATGCTGGATCTGACCTAGATTTTCCAGATGAGTGACCAGGTTAAAGTTTTTGGAGCAGATCCATTCCCAAGTAACTATAAGCCCTACCTGGACCAAACTTGCATGGATGATCCATCTAGGGATGGACACTACCACACTTGCTTCGGATGCTGGATCTGACCTAGATTTTCCAGATGAGTGACCAGGTTAAAGTTTTTGGAGCAGGTCCATTCCCAAGTAACTACACGCCCTACCTGGACCAAACTTGCATGGATGATGCATCTAGGGATGAACACTACACACTTGCTTCGGATGCTGAATCTGACCTAGATTTTCCAGATGAGTGACCAGGTTAAAGTTTTTGGAGCAGATCCATTCCCAAGTAACTATAAGCCCTACCTGGACCAAACTTGCATGGATGATGCATCTAGGGATGGACACTACCACACTTGCTTTGGATGCTGAATCTAATCTAGATTTTCCAGATGAGTGACCAGGTTAAAGTTTTTGGAGCAGGTCCATTCCCAAGTAACTATACGCCCTACCTGAACCAAATTTGCATGGATGATGCATCAAGGGATGGACACTACCACACTTGCTTCGGATGCTGAATCTGACCTAGATTTTCCAGATGAGTGACCAGGTTAAAGTTTTTGGAGCAGATCCATTCCCAAGTAACTATACGCCCTACCTGAACCAAACTTGCATGGATGATGCATCTAGGGATGGACACTACCACACTTGCTTCGGATGCTGGATCTGACCTAGATTTTTCCAGATGAGTGACCAGGTTAAAGTTTTTGGAGCAGGTCCATTCCCAAGTAACTATAAGCCCTACCTGGACCAAACTTGCATGGATGATGCATCTAGGGATGGACACTACCACACTTGCTTCAGATGCTGAATCTAACCTAGATTTTCCAGATGAGTGACCAGGTTAAAGTTTTTGGAGCAGGTCCATTCCCAAGTAACTATACGCCCTACCTGAACCAAACTTGCATGGATGATGCATCTAGGGATGGACACTACCACACTTGCTTCGGATGCTGAATCTGACCTAGATTTTCCAGATGAGTGACCAGGTTAAAGTTTTTGGAGCAGATCCTTTCCCAAGTTACTATAAGCCCTACCTGAACCAAACTTGCATGGATGATGCATCTAGGGATGGACACTACCACACTTGCTTTGGATGCTGGATCTGACCTAGATTTTCCAGATGAGTGACCAGGTTAAAGTTTTTGGAGCAGGTCCATTCCCAAGTAACTATACGCCCTACCTGGACCAAACTTGCATGGATGATGCATATAGGGATGAACACTACACACTTGCTTCGGATGCTGAATCTGACCTAGATTTTCCAGATGAGTGACCAGGTTAAAGTTTTTTGAGCAGGTCTATTTCCAAGTAATTATAAGTCCTTCTTAAACCAAACTTGTATAGATATTGATCTTGGGATGTACACTAACTAGAAAAAATATGATGTGAGATTTGCCTTACTTATAGATAACCTTCGTCGAGGTGAGCTTCGTAATCTTTGATTACCTATGTTTTATTTATACGACTGCATGCTCCCTTCTAGCTTAGTCTTACAGGCCTATAAAAATACCAAAATAAATACAAAAGAATGGAAATGCGATATTTTTTCGGATAATAGATGATGACAGATCTAGTGACGTTTATCAATTTTATTAAATTCGATTTTTTTTCGCATGTCTCCTTCCTCATTTATACATATACAATGTATGTACTTGGAATGTACTTGGAATATGTGAATAATTTCTATGTGCACGGGATGTGTGTGACATATATACTTATATATAGGAGAGATTAATTATTCACAGTCCAGTGCACGGTCTGTCTCAATGCAACTAGCAATTTCAGCAATTTAAAAACGTAAAAAAAATTAATTAATTTATATAAAATATAAATCAAATTCGTAAAAACTTGGAGGAGAAAGCATTAACCTTAAAATAATTATAACAATAATTTTTCAATCTCTCTTCCCCCCCCCCCCCCCCAATTTTTTTTTTTTTTTTTTTTTTTTTTGTAAGATTTGAATTATTAAATACAAACTATTAAAGGCGATTTTGGATACGTCGCAGACTTCTAGCAAAAGATACTGAATCCAAATATTTCATATTTTTTTTTTACATGTTTTTCCGTAAAAATAATCAATGTTTGTTATGAATTTTATAAGGTTTTATTTGTTAAAATAATGAATATATTTATAGCGTTTCGTGAATTTATTGCACTTGGGTGTAAAACTTTGCTTGTCTACGGACTCAAAATTCAAATTTAACGATTCGAAGGAATTTCGACATTTGTATAATTACACTAAAAAATCGCCTAATTTCCATCATAGAGTGGAATTATTCTTAAAATAATTACAGTTTGAATTTAATGACGATCAATTTTATTGACAAAAACACCATATCTTTTACAAAGCATAATTACTTCAAATGTTTTATCATGATAAATTTAAAATGTTTTATCATTTCGATTTGCGGCTTTGTAAGTAATTAAAATTATCATACTATAGTATATCAAAAAGAAAACTTTTCGTCTTGTCAAAAAAACGTTTCGCATTTTGAAACAATCCTATCAGGTTTCGCGTTTATCCTATCGTGAAGATCGTTTATCAAGTCTATCGTGTTTTGCGTTTATCGTATTTTGCGTTTATCGTGTTTTGCGTTTATCGTGTTTTGCGTTTATCCTATCGTGCGTGTATCCTGTCCTATCGTGCGTGTATCCTATCGTATCGTGCGTTTATCCTATCGTATCGTGCGTGTATCCTATCGTGTCGTGTATCCTGTAAAGAATAACGATGCGGGTACTGTACATGTGATATGTACCGGCGGTACACAAAATGTACAGTTTTTCGAGCCCATTCGTGTACCGGCAGGACACCAAAATTCACGGAATATGAAAATTTGTGCAGTATTTTGAATTTCTCGCTAAATGCCGCCATTTTTCTCTCATCCTCGCTCGCGAGACACTGGAAAACCTCACCAGTGTTTGACATTTGACCTTCTGATAATTGCATAGTGTACACAAACCATCGCGTGTGAAGGTGTGAACTGCCAATTAGGATAATTATCTTGCTATAAATCCTTATCAAGATACCCCTTTAGGTAGCTTTATTTTTAAAGGGGTACTTAATTATAACTGTTAATGTTTCATAACTTGACTGGAAAAAATTAAGTCAACTTCTAAAGTTGATATAGACGACTTAATATAAATCACAGTATTTCACTGTTGAAAATGTAATAAACATGAATCTGACCCAGATCTTCGTAGGTATAAAATATACGATGTTTATTACCATGATTACGCTGAAATAAAGGATGAGTTTAAAGTTTTTATGTGCTGAAATTTATGTATGATTGTATTTGCTGCTGCTATTTAGCATTGCTGATGTATATATATATCAGTAATATGAACAAGATGTAAATTGGAGACATTGGCTCTCACGTTAATACTATATAGAGCTGACAAACAAACTATCATGATCTAAACTAACTTAATTTATAGTCGATTCATAAGACAGTCATTCTACGATAAATGGACCAATTCAGAGTATAAAACATGAAAAAAATAGTTGTTTCAAATAGCAAAATGAATATCATAATTCTCTAAAGGACATTTCAGTGAACTTGAAAATAAAGAATTGTCCACAAATCTGGTATCGTTAACTTTTTACAACAATTTCAAGATACCATTGATTTTAAGGTAATGTTACGGAAGTTAATGCTTGATAAAGCCAGATTATTTTCTAAATAAAACTGAATTTGACCAATTTTTCGTTTATGATGTTCAGTAAAGAACAAGAAAAAGTGATTCATGAAGTCTCGCATGAATCCGAATTTAAATTAAATTTTCGGGGAAAATATCGTTATGGAAGTTAATCATTACGGAAGTTAATTCCCAGCAATAAAAGTTAAAATTCTCTTCAATAGTTAAAAGCAAAGTTTGTTTTAGGATATTAAACAAAAGTATGAAGCATTTCGAAACCCAAAATAATAAAAAATTTTATACCTGTAATGCAAAAACTTTTCTTAATTACCGTTACGGAAGTTAATTTTTTAAGAGAGACAACTGTTTTTGTCTAATTCATTTTGTTATGTCGAAAATGTAATGTCTAAAATAGCTGACTTGCTACTAGAATCGATGATAGAAGGTTCCGTGGTCAATTTCAGATAAGTTTCAGTTCTTTTTGAAATCTGCATTCTATGCGTAAAATTTAAAACAAAATTGTTACGGAAGTTAATCGATTTTAAGCGACATGCTTGAAAGGAGATCCAAGCATTTCTTTACGAGAAGTGGATTGATTTCTTTTTATATAGGATAAAAGACATTTTTTGACATTCATTGCAATCTATTTGGAACGATTTTACAGCTGAAAATTTCATCTTGAAATTTGTAAATAAGTGAAGTGACATTAAGATTTGCAGTGGAATACGTTTTTCAACATTACATCATGTTCATATTAAAACTTTAACTGCATATATATCGGTGAATCTTTACAAAACCATGTGTGTATTTTAAGTCTTAGAGTTGAAATTGACCCTTAAATTTATACTTAAGATATTACAACGGTAAATTTGTAAGCGACATAAAAAATTTTTAATTGGTCATGTTTTTGTAGAATGACTGAAGAACATTGTGCTTATAAAACACAATATATGAAATTTTAAAGCATTCAAATCTCCATTACAACTTTTAAAATAAGACATTTGCAACAATATATATTTGTTGATTTAGAAATAAGGTGCCTTATCAGAAGAATTTAAGTGATATTTTATACCGTTTTTTGTACCGTTTTTTTAATTGGCAGTGTACAGTTTTTTCACCCAAATTCCAGTTTTTTTATGGCTCCTGTACAGTTTTGTGGTCTTTGACTTATCACATGTATGAATACATTTAGGGTACATGTGGAGTAAAGGTATAACTTAAGCAAAATACCATTTAACTTTAAAGACACCTAAGACATACTGTGCTGCCAATGTTGAGGATCTGGCCTATGTGGTAAACTTACTGAAGGAGCGTTTCCCAGACACACCATTCATTGGAGCAGGGATTAGTCTGGGAGGGTTAGTTATTGATATGTATCTATTGAGAAATTGCTTTATGACAAAAGTGATCTACTTCTAAAAATCTCACCATCTTGCATCTACCATGTTAGTTATATGTTATTATACCCGCACTTTCTAAAGAAAGTTCGGGTATATTGTTGTTACTCATGTCTGTCCGTCCGTCCGTCCGTCCGTCCGTCTGTCCGTCCGTCCGTCCGTCCGTCCGTCTGTCACACTCTTATTTCTCAAACTCCTCTTACATTTTACACAGTAGCCTAATCATCTTTTGGGAGGTGTTTGGTGGTGTCATGTAGATGTGCAGTAAAGTTTCGGAATTTTCATGTTCACCCTGGGGGTCAAATGGGGGTCGAAAAATGACGTTTTTTATGCAAAAAGCCCCTGGTTCCCTGAACTCCTCTTACATTTTACACAGTAGCCTAATCGTCTTTTGGGAGATGGTTGGTGGTGTCCTGTAGATGTGCAGTAAGGTTTTGGAATTTTCATTTTCACCCTGGGGGTCAAATGGGGGTCGAAAAATGACGTTTTTTATGCAAAAAGCCCCTGGTTCCCTGAACTCCTCTTACATTTTACACAGTAGCCTAATCGTCTTTTGGGAGATGGTTGGTGGTGTCCTGTAGATGTGCAGTAATGTTTCGGAATTTTCATTTTCACCCTGGGGGTCAAATGGGGGTCGAAAAATGACGTTTTTTATGCAAAAAGCCCCTGGTTCCCTGAACTCCTCTTACATTTTACACAGTAGCCTAATCGTCTTTTGGGAGATGGTTGGTGGTGTCCTGTAGATGTGCAGTAAGGTTTTGGAATTTTCATTTTCACCCTGGGGGTCAAATGGGGGTTGAAAAATGACGTTTTTTATGCAAAAAGCCCCTGGTTCCCTGAACTCCTCTTACATTTTACACAGTAGCCTAATCGTCTTTTGGGAGATGGTTGGTGGTGTCCTGTAGATGTGCAGTAATGTTTCGGAATTTTCATTTTCACCCTGGGGGTCAAATGGGGGTCGAAAAATGACGTTTTTTATGCAAAAAGCCCCTGGTTCCCTGAACTCCTCTTACATTTTACACAGTAGCCTAATCGTCTTTTGGGAGATGGTTGGTGGTGTCCTGTAGATGTGCAGTAAGGTTTCGGAATTTTCATTTTCACCCTGGGGGTCAAATGGGGGTCGAAAAATGACGTTTTTTATGCAAAAAGCCCCTGGTTCCCTGAACTCCTCTTACATTTTACACAGTAGCCTAATCATCTTTTGGGAGATGGTTGGTGGTGTCCTGTAGATGTGCAGTAAGGTTTCGGAATTTTCATTTTCACCCTGGGGGTCAAATGAGGGTCGAAAAATGACGTTTTTTATGCAAAAAGCCCCTGGTTCCCTGAACTCCTCTTACATTTTACACAGTAGCCTAATCATCTTTTGGGAGATGGTTGGTGGTGTCCTGTAGATGTGCAGTAAGGTTTCGGAATTTTCATTTTCACCCTGGGGGTCAAATGAGGGTCGAAATATGACGTTTTTTATGCAAAAAACCCCTGGTTCCCAGAACTCCTCTTACATTTTACACAGTAGCCTAATCGTCTTTTGGGAGATGGTTGGTGGTGTCATGTTGATGTGCAGTAAGGTTTCGGAATTTTCATTTTCAAGTTTTTGATGCAGTGGAAGAGCTCTCACTAATACATATCAGCATATTAGGTTTGATAAAAATATCTTGAATGATTTATTTAAAACTGAGCTTAACACTTATTTGAGAAAAGAGAGGTCAAGGTCAACTGAAAGGTTGAGGTCAAAATGTTGATGCAGTTGAAAAACTTATATCAGTATGTATTTACTATTAGCATAGAAGTTCAACAAAAATATCAGAAATGGTTTATTTAAAATGTAGATAAGGCCAAATAAAAAAATATGTGTGGTTCAGGTTACCCGACCTTCCCTATTTTATACCCCCGACCCTAAACTTTTTTTTGGCAATTTTCATATTTTTCCGGAATTTCCCCCAATTTCCATCAATGGCTCCAGTTTAAGTTTTAGTTTCAGCAATGACGGCCTCCTTGCAAAACATAGTGCAAGTGTTTAATAGTGTTAAATCCAAAGCAAGCTAGCATGTAGGTGTCCCCTACCAATATTGACTAGTATATTATCACACCACATCTAAATGCCATTTGCAAAGCAGTGATAGGTATTATTTAGAAAAAAAAATTAAGAAAATCATTTTGTTAAAAAAAAAAAATTAAAAAAAATAAAAATCCCTACCTACCTACCCTAATTTTTTTGGAAGTGTAACCGGAACCACACATATTTTTTTGTTTGGCCTAAACACTAATTTAAAAAAGTGAGGTCAAGGTCAAAGGAAAAGTCAAGGTCAAAAAAGTTGATGCAATTGATATCTCTCAGCAGTATAATTATATCAGCATATGAAGTTTGATAAATATATCTTGAATTGTTTATTCAAAACTGATCTAGACACTGATTTAAGAAAAGTAAGGTCAAGGTCAAAGGAAAATTCAAGGTCAAAAATTTTGATGCAGTTGAAAAGCTTACATCAGTATGTATCAGCATATGACGTTTTATTGAAGTCGGACATGACAAACACTATATGCCTCGGCCATATTCATGGCAGGGCATAAAAAACTTGAATCTACACTATATGAGGATGTTTCCATATCAAAATGACTAACAAGCAAATTCAAAGAATTGTGGTCCCCTGCTTTCCGTGTCCTAGTGGATGGGATGCCATTATTTATGACATATTGTTTCAAATATGCACGCCCTATCATATGTCATTCAAAAGTAATCACCAAAGTTAAAATTTTTGAAAATTAGGTAAAACATCAAGGTCAAGGGGTAAAAAATCATAGCATGCTTGGAAACATCTTGTTACAGGTAATGTACATGTCAAATATATAAGTCCTATCTCTTCTCAATCAAAAGTTATAAGGAAATATAACATTTTTGAAAAGTAGGTTAAACTTCAAGGTCAATGTCACAGAGTCAAAAGTCATGATATATTTAGAAAGGTCTTGTCACAGGTAATATACATGTATAATATGAACGCCCTATCTTTTCTCTTTCAAAATGATCATTTGAAATAATGTTAAATTTTTTGAAAAGTAGGTCAAACTTCAAGGTCATGGGTTCAAAAATCATGGCATGTTTAGAAAGTTCTTGTAGGTAATGTACATGTGAAATATGAAATCCCTATCTCTTATTATTCAGAAGTTATGACCAAGGTTAAATTTATTGTGACAGACGGACAGACTGACAAACGGACAGACTGACAGACAAATGAGATTTAATGTCCCCTAGGTCCCTTTCGCGAAAATGGATGACAATAATGCCCTTGCTATTCATGAGAAGAAGATTTATGATGGAAAAAATCCCCTGCACTTTTCTATGTAAATCATTGGATCCCCATATGTGGCCCCATCCTACCCCAGTGGGTCATAATTTTAACAAATTTGAAGCTACACTGTCTATGTAAAGAAAGTTTCAACTTTTTGGGCCCAGTCAGTGGTTCTTGATAAGACTTTTTTAAAATGATACCACCAAATTTTCACTAATTCTTGATTATCCCCCCTTGAAAGAGGGTGTGACCCTTCACTTGAACAAACTTGAATCCCCTTTACCCAAAGATGCTTTGTGGCTGGGTTGGTTGAAATTGGCCCGGCGGTTCTAGTGAAGAAGACAAAAATGTGAAAAGTTTACAGGCGGACAGATGGATGACAAACAAAATGTGATCAGAAAACCAGAAAAACTCAAGTGAGCTAAAAACTGATGATCACAAGTACTTGGAAAGAGTTACAGTATTTGAAAAGCAGTTTTTTTTTCATGCATTAATTGTTTTCAGAACCTGAAAAGGTATGACTTGTATCCATGTTGAAAAAACTTCACATTTCAGAAAACAGTATGATTAAAAATAGTTAATCAAGGTGCTTTGAGTAGCAAAATAAGCTAAACTGGTATAGCTAATTCAACCACAGAGCTTAGTGAATTTTAAAATGCACAACCTTTTCAACTCTTAATCATTCTTAAAATATTTATATCATCATTTCTGATTCAAGGGAGAACTAGAGATATGATCAGAAGTATATCCATTGACTAATAAACATGTACATGTATATTGTGTTTTTTAAGTCATTGATGTTTGTTTGTTGTTAAATGTCCCTCTTGGGAATTTTTCACTCATACGGAGACACCACCACTCAAAAATAATGAAGACGTACAAGTCGGATTTGAGGTTAACATTCATTTTAGGAATTTTCAACAATTAATTAAGACGTAAAGAGATAACTCCTTCCCCTTGCCCCTTCCCCTTCCCAGACCCCAGTTTGTTCATGTATGCTAACTAGTCTAATACTTTGGTTTGACATAAAAAAAAATGTGAATACATACAAATAGTTTAATGGTCCATCTCTTTGAATGATTTTCATTCCTAATTCTAGGTTGACCCAAATTCATGAATGAAATGTCAAGTAATCTTATCATTGATGCACTTCTATTTAATTTGATGTAGTCATATTATGAACAAGAGAGTGGGGATGACCTCAAGGGTTCATAACCTTAAACCATTAGATGTACATAACATAATAACACAAGAAACAAAATTATGTATAGTCAAATGGAAAAGTTTTCTACTATTTAGGAGTCACATGATCATTTGTCATTTCAGGGACAGGGAGCGGCTAGGGAGATTGGAACCCCCCCCCCCCCCCCCCCTTGGAATTTGCAGAGTTATTTAAATAGGACTATATACTGATTTACAGAAGCAAATAAAAAATGACTTTGGATGCCCTCCCCCTTTAAAAACATGGACCCCACCATCATTGTTTTTATTTTGTTTGTTTGTTTTTGTTTTTGTTTTTTTTTTGCTCCTCAGGAAATTCTGGGCTGGAATTTTCTTGGACCGAGGTGTGGACCCCCCCCCCCCCCCGGAAAAAAATTCCCGGATCTATGCCTGTAACTGAATGTAATGTCGACAACGGGAGATAACTCTTCAGAATGTGAAATTCGTCTATTGTGGCATCGATGATCCACTCTCTACGATCGGCTCATACATTCAGTGTCTGAGAGAGAAACGAACGACAACTCTGCATAGGAGATTGCCGATGATCTTTGATCCTTTTTAAACTTTAACCTAACCATTTGCATTTCGGTTTATTTTACCCCAATCTATACTTAAACTTGTACTTACCGACTGTCATAGGTCCTGTCAACTTCATGAAATATAATCCAATTAAAACACAAAATGAATTAATTTCCACTGATATACATGTAACACTGCACCATGTCACATGGCATGTGCAATCTTAAAATGATAATGGTAAAACTAGTACTAGTACTGGTAGGGTGACGCAAGCCCAATGTGATGTAGAAATTTTCAAAAAGGTGTTCACATACATGTGCAGTACAAGAACAAATTTTAAATTATCCTAACAAACGATGTTTTAACATAACTTTGCCATCTAGGCCTATTTCCAAAAACAGGCAAATTGTGTGTGTGTGTATTGGGGGGGGGGGGGGGGGGACACATATAAATTGATTGGGTATGGCTTTTCAAGGAGGTTTTTGCCTAATCAAATACTAAAAAAAGTTTGCACATTTTGATAAATTCATCAAAAACGCTTTGTACTAAAATAATATTATTTGTTGTTGAGAAGATAAATTTAAAAAGTTCCAATTATGGGCCAAAAATTTATATCCCCCCCCCCCTTTTTATTAAAACCTAATTTACAACATTAATTAAATTCTGATATTTCAGACTGGTAATGAATTAAGTATATGAAATGCGTATAAGAGGTTCATGGGTCACATGGTCACCTGAGCATTTTATGCTCGATTTGACGAATACATGTACTGTGTAAATTATAGAATTATTTGGACTTTTTCCTTGGTAAGCCCAATATGAAGGAGTGTGCATTTAGAGGCAAACACCTTAGTGCGGGTATTACTGTCTCATGACAGCATCTAGTTGATAAATGTAAATTCTTTAAAGATGTCTTATTTTATCATTTGTTTAGAAATTAACAGCAAAAAAGAATATATTCAATATTGCCCTACAGTATCATTATAACTCAGTGATATAGAGGTTAAGTTTGTGTTTTAAAGGATGATTTTGTTTAATTACCTGGCCAAACTTGGGGACCAGTGTAAGCTGGAGGCTGGTATGTGTATATCTGTTGCCTGGAATGTGTTTGAGTCAGTCCTGGAAATAGAGAAGCCTGGTCTCAACAGACACGTGCTGAACCGAACCCTGGCTAAAGGACTGGTTAATCATGTGAAGAGGTGAGAATTTTCTGTAGTTCTGAACTTCTGCATACGGAAACTGATACAACCATCATGTACAGCAAAATGTGGCTATGGCAAGCCTCTAAAAACAGGTGAAATTGCTACAATGTGCATGTATCATATCCAGTTAAAATTTCACTTATTTCACTACTTGGTAAGAAATTCTGACTTCATTCTAAGTATGAATCCATTATGAGCAGGTTTTAATAATAACATGTTCTACTGTATTTTTTATGGCTGTTTACATTGATTTTCTTTCCTTGCAGTAATATGGCACTTTTTGACAACCACTTGGAAGATATTGATCATGTGTTGCAGGTGAGGAATTTTTTTGTTTTATTCCTGAATCTGATTCCGTAATCTGTAAAGAAAAGATATGGAAGACATATTCATGTAGTTGTATAATTTAGAGGATTTATTTGTATCTTCCTTGCAGTCCTCCACTATTCGTGAGTTTGACTCCAGGTTCACAGCTAAGATGTTTGGTTACCCCTCCTGTGATGAGTATTATCATGACGCCACCCTACACAACAAAATCCATGCCCTGAGAGTTCCTGTCCTAGTCCTCAGTGCAGAAGATGACCCATTCTCCCCCTCTCATGGTTAGTGATGATTCTCCCCCATCATGATCAGTGAATTCTCTCCCTCTCGTGGTTTGTGACCATCCTCCCCCTCTTAGTCACTGACCATTCTCCTCCTTTCATGGTCAGACATGCACTAACTTTTCATTGTTATAATAATAAATAAATAATAATAAACAAAATGGTTTTTCAATTAATGTTGAATCCATCAGTGATGCTGTAATGTTAGAAAAGAAGCCACTTTAGCTGGATGACTATTTGAAGCATTGAATGGTCATTTTTGGCATCACACTGTGTTGTAAATCAGACAGCTGTTTACAATGAAATATGGACATAACAAACATTATTCAAGCTCAAAGTCCATCAAAATACAAATATGGAGAAATTAAATAACGAGCATAGGCACATTTGAGCATGTCAGCTGTGAGTTCATAACATAGTTCAGTTCAAAAACTGATCAATTTAATATATCTAAATGCTTTAGTATGTAATTAAGTAATTTTTGTTTCTCACCGTGAAATATAATACCCCTTTCTGTTTATTATTCTTTCATCCCCCAGTCTTTTTTCTGGAGCTTTATAGGGCCATCTCTCTAGATGATAGATTAATTTTTTAGCGTCTACATTACTACTGACAGTATACAGTCGTGTAAATTAAAATTAAGAGTTATTGTCCCTGGACTTTGAAAATTTCTAAGTTGTTTTCCAGACAGTCAATTTGTTTAGGTAGATAAACTTATCTTAAAAGCTCTACTGGCCATGAATCAGAAAACCTTATTCATGTACATACAACTAGTTTATTATTATTAGAGCATGTATCCTGTATTTATTAACCGAAGTCCTCAAATTTCATTATTTATATCTCTAAATTGATTGACTTAAATTCTAACAAATCATTCTTTATATTTCTAAATTTCTCTCTATTTTTTTTTTTTAGCAATACCAGCTGAGGAAGCAGAACAGAATGACAATATCGCCATAGTGATAACCTCTCATGGCGGCCATATTGGATTCATGGAGGGATTGTTACCTCATCATGAAGGCTACATGGACCGATTGTTTTCTCAGTATGTGAAGGCAGTTTTCACTCACGGCCAACAGCACCTTAAACAAGACTAAACTGGACCCTCTAGGGTATCAAACCAGATCTAAATGTCTTCATCTCTGTGTTCAGATTTATGACAGTTTATTTTTGTCCTTTCAGTAATGTTGTCACACACTTTAAGGTATGTATTGTATGCATTATTGTTCCTGTATGTATATAATTTTTTGAGGAATTAGGGCTATTCCAGTAAAAAATTATCTGAGGGGAGTGGAAGGCCCAGTGAATTTTTTTTCGCTTGGTACAGGGATTGTTTATTTTTGTATTCTGGAGGGTAGGGGTAGATGATTTACTTCATTACAGGTGTGTGTTGGGGGGGGGGGATGTCTCTCCAGTTTTAAGCTGAAAATTATACTAAAATGAAGCCTGTACTATAACAAAGACTAGTAAAACAACTTGCTAAAATCAAGTTGGGATGTTTTACTGTAAAATTTTCTTTGACCAACCTGCAAGAGTTATCCCAGATTTAAAACAGTTATCTTCCCTGAAACTGACGCTGGCTATAATCAGGAAGAGTAGAGAGAGGTTTATATGTCATCATACTGATCTTTAGAAGTAATGGTGTGTTGGTATTAATGATAAAACAACCAACTGATAAATGATACATTGAACATGGATGATGTTAGTTATATGTTTCTCTCTTTCATAGGGATTCAAACTGTACATTTCATATAAATATTATGTTAAATCAGAGATGTCAGTAACAATATTATTTGTCTGTAGTTCAGTCATACATTTGTGGCAAATAGTCAGTCAAAGGACATTTTGTTATTATTGTAGAAGCCCAAATTCCTCCCTTCATTTAAATAGCCACCCCATTTTTCTTGTTGTACAGTGTACTAGAATTTACCAAGGAAAGAGAGGAGGGCTGATTTCATAAAATGGAAAATCACTAATTCAAAACAGATCTATATTGTAGCACTTTTTTCCATTTTTTAGCTCACCTGAGCCGAAGGCTCAAGTGAGCTTTTCTGATTGAAATTTGTCCGTTGTCTGTCGTCGGCGTCGTTGGCGTCGTCGTTGTTGTTGTCGTAAACTTTTCACCTTTTCATCTTCTTCTCCAGAACTACTGGGCCAATTTCAATCAAACTTGGCACAAAGTATCCTTGGGTGAAGGGGATTCAAGTTTGTTCAAATGAAGGGCCACGCCCTCCTCCAAGGGGAGATAATTACGAAATGGCAAAAAATTAATGGCATTATTGAAAAATCTTCTTCTCAAGAACCAATGGGCCAGGAAAGATGAAACTCATGTGGAATTATTGTCAGGTAGTGTAGATTCAAGTTTGTTCAAATCATGACCCAGGGGGGTAGGGTGGGGCCACAATGGACGATCAAAGTTTTACACAGGAATAATAGGAAAAAATCTTCAAAAATCTTCTTCTCAAGAACAGCAAAGCTATGATTGGTCATATTTATATGGAAGCATCCTCAGGTGGTGTAGATTCAAGTTTGTTCAAATCATGACCCCCGAGGGTAGGGTGGGGCCACAATGGACGATCAAAGTTTAACATAGGTGTATATAGGAAAAATCTTCAAAAATCTTCTTCTCAAGAACAGCAAAGCTATGATTGGTCATATTTATATGGAAGCATCCTCAGGTGATGTGGGTTCAAGTTTGTTCAAATCATGACCCCCGTGGGTAGGGTGGGGCCACAATGGACGATCAAAGTTTTACACAGGAATAATAGGAAAAATCTTCAAAAATCTTCTTCTCAAGAACAGCAAAGCTATGATTGGTCATATTTATATGGAAGCATCCTCAGGTGGTGTAGATTCAAGTTTGTTCAAATCATGACCTCCAGGGGTAGGGTGGGGCCACAATGGAAGATTAAAGTTTAACATAGGTGTATATAGGAAAAAATCTTTTTCTCAAGAACAGCAAACTTATGATTGGTCATATTTATTTGGAAGCACCCTCAGGTGGTGTAGATTCAAGTTTGTTCAAATCATGACCCCCAGGGATAGGGTGGGGCCACAATGGATGATCAAAGTTTTACATAGGAATATATAGGAAAAATCTTCAAAAATCTTCTTCTCAAGAACAGCAAAGCTATGATTGGTCATATTTATATGGAAGCATCCTCAGGTGGTGTAGATTCAAGTTTGTTCAAATCATGACCTCCAGGGGTAGGGTGGGGCCACAATGAAAGTTCAAACTTGTAGAGAAAAAAGTCACAGTTAGTCAAAAAATCATGTAAGCATCCTTAGTTAGTGTAGATTCAAGTTTGTTCAAATCATACCCCCCACTCCCTTTTAGGGGTAGGTTTGGAGCACTTATGCATTTAAGCTTTTCAATACTAAACTGATTTTTCCTCTTTTCCTAGCCACAGTGCTCAGATGAGCGATGTGGCCCCTGGGCCTCTTGTTTTTATTTGGTGGGGGATTGTCAAAAAAGTGAATTTTCTTGGTAGTGGTGATTTTTCTACTTCTTTTCTATAGACTGGTGGTCTAAAAATCATCCCCCCCCCCTTCCTCACATAATGCTTACTGGAATAGCCCTAAAAAGGGTTAAATATAATACATACATGATATAGAAAAAAAAACTTCCTCTTGTGTTTGTTTAGATGGGGGTATCCCTCAAAGGCATATGCTTCTTTGAATCAAGCAAAGCCAACCTCTTACTACTATACCATTGTCATAATTGAAAGCTGTTGATCTATTAAAGGATTGGTGCATACATAATTTATATAAAAAAAACAAACAAACAAACAAACATTGACTGTTACCAACCTTGCTGAATTAAAGTCCCTATGTGTTTTCTGTACTGGCAAACAAGATAGAAATTTGTCAAAAACTGTTTATATGTGATATTTATTGTAAATTACAGAGTTCAATTGTTTAGCTTTGTATCTGCTCAAGGTTTAACCTTTAATTCCCAACACAGAATTTAAATTTTTATTAATTTTGTCTATTTATGTGTTGTATTGCAATTTGATACTAGGTATTTATGACTTCTAGTTTTATACTGAATGTTATCAGGGTTGTAGATGTGGATTAGTTAAATCATAGTCATTCAGTAGTGACTCTAAATGTGTAGAACACATTTTGTCTCTCTGCACAAATATTCTTAAAGAGGAAAAACTGTTCTTAGTTATAAAACACTCAATACTGTGTACCTACACATGAAACAAAACAGACACACATTCACAATTGTTGTAAACCTTCAAGATTAGATGGAGCATTCTCAGTCAATGATCATTTCAAACGTAAAATGTCATGAATACTGTTGATTTGTGATTGTAAAATGTCCCCACTGTGTTATTGTTGTTTATTGTACTCCAATATTTGGTGGTAATGTTAATGATTTGCAATTTCATATCAATAGCAAGATTTCATTACTGACATATTTTTTAATGGAAAGTTATTCCTAGAATTTTTGTGCCTCTGTTTAAGATTTGGTAAATGTTAAAATATCATCATGAATGAGATTTGCTTCAGTGAGAGCTTACTTATCCCAGTGAATGAACTTTTCTGCTCCCAGTTTGCCTTTCTCTAATTTATGACAAACATCCAATCATTAAGCAGTTCTAATGCAAATGTCATGTTTCTACACATTTAGATACAATTCCTTTTCTTTTCTCAACACCTGATTTTACAATCTCTATTGCTAGACCAGAAGAGGGCGTGTATGAATAAATTGGTAAAGTCTATTTCTTCAAGATGGTATCCTTGTATAGTTATTGATCAGATGTCAAAAAAATGTAAATAGGCAAGAAACATTTAGATCACTTGAATAGTTCAAAATGTTGCACCTCTGTTTTTTTTTTTTTTAATTTCAATGATAGTGTCTTTCATGTTAATAAAAATAGGATTTTTCTCCATAATTATGTCACGCTGCTGCTTTTGAATTTATTGTAATGCTCTGTATAAAATGAAGAATGTTGTTACTTTTCACTGACAATTCAATTAGAAATGTTATAAACAGATTGCACCATTCTACTTCATGTGTATACCATTAGAGCAAATCAGGGACATCTTGAGCATATGCACTCAGGGCATTATTTCATAGTTTGATAATCAGCTTTGTTTGATTAAATGAATATTAATTATTGAAATGATTAATTTATGATATTTTTAATCACTGTATAAATGGCAACTACATGAACAAAGGTATGTGAAGGTCTCCTGAGAAATCCAATATGTCATTAAAAGATATGTTCAAATTAATACATGAGTCATGAACAATTACGTATATTCAGATTGTTTCTCAATTTCAAACATACCGTATATACTCGCCTATAAGTCGGTCCGCCTATAAGTCGGTTGTATTTTTTTAAGCTTATTTTAGAGGGATTGACCTTCTAAAATACCAATCTTTTCATAATTCGTCTATAAGTCGGACATAGAGTTTTGGACCAAAGTTTAACTCCCAAAATTCGACTTATAGGTGAGTATATACGGTAGTTTTTTATTTTTTTTATGTAAACCAAACTCTTCTTAGCTTTTTTGATTGAAATTTGTTCATCATATTTTTGTGTATTTTTTTTTTTTTTTTTTTTTTTTTTTTTTTTACATTTTTTCTTTTACATTTTCCCCTTCTCCTCAAGAACATTGAGCATTGAGACATAACCCCCCCCCACTTCTATGGGGAGACTAATAAGGAAAATGAGTAGATATTTAAGAAGAGTGGGATCAGATCAAAAAACTGGGTCAGATAAGACAAAACTAAGCTTCCTTGTTTATTGTAGATTCAGATTTGTGTTCAAGTCATGACCCTAGATTTGAAACAGCAGCAGTGTAGAAGAGTGATAGTTACTTAAAGGAAAAATAACGATAGAGTTAGTCTTACTGACGTATATTCACTACATATAGCTTGTGGATGATCAAGTTTGTCAGAATCAGCCAGGATAGGCCACAGTGGAAGGGGGAGGGGGTTAAATCCTTACAAAAGCATTAAAAGTGAGCTTTTCTGATCAGCCAATGTCCAACATCCATCCCTCTGTCTAACTGTCCATCTGTCTGTGAACTTTTCACAATTTCAACTTCTTCTAAAGAGCTACTGGGCCAATTTTAACCAAAGTTGGTAAAAAGCATCCCTGGGTAAAGTGGATTTTAAATTGTTAAAATGAAGGGCCAAGCCCCCTTCCAAGGGGAGATAATCAAGAAAAGGCACAAGTAGGGTGGGGTTATTAAAAAATCTTCTCAAGAACCACCGGACCAGAAAAGATGAAACTTATGTGGAAGCTTCCTGAGGTAGGTTAGATTCTAAATTGTTCAAATCATGCCCCCCCCCCCCCCCCCCCCGGGGTAGAGTGGGTCAAAATAGGGATTCAGAGTTTTACATTGAAATATATAAGAAAAAACTTTAAAGATCTTTTTCACAAGAACTAGTGGACAAAAAAAGCTGAAACTTATTTTGAAGCTTTCTGAGGTAGTGTAGATTCTAAATTATTCAAATCATGACCCCTGAGCTTCAATTAGGGCCACAATAGGGATTATATAGGGAAAAATTTTTAAAACTCTTCAAGAGCAAATCCATGATGAATCATATGAATGTGGAAGCATCTTCTGGTAAGTATATCCATTTCTGTTCAAATCGCAGCCTCAGCGTATAGGTTGGGACCACAAAAGGTGATCAAAATACAGAAGAATACATGTATTGGGGGGGGGGGGGATCTGATGCAGAACAACAGGGCCAAAGTGACTCAGGTGAGCGTTGTGGCCCATGGGCCTCTTGTTTAATAAAATTCTGCTGCAAGACAGATGATTTTCAGAAAATTAACTAAAAATCAAATACCTTTATGTAACTAAGATTAAACCTGCTGAATCATGGCTTTCTTGTATTGTTTAGCAATACATGTAACTGAATAATTAGCTAATCAAGAAAAGATTATTTTTATCCTTTAAAATAATGAAATTATTTATTCAGAATTATTCTGTCAGTTGATTTGTTTGTTAAAAGTCCTGTTTTTTTACATGTATATATATACAATCAATCAGAGAAATGGCAAGTGATTAATTTTTATTACATGTAAACAGTATATAATCTTATAGTACTAGTGGTATACTAGAGAATCCTGTGTAGTAGCTGTAGACAGATGTTTCATCTTATTACATTACAATCACCAGATTTTGTTAATATGCTTTGAATAATTTTATATTTATGTTCCTTTGTTGCATTCTGTGATACATTTGTACAATTCTAATGACTTTCAGTTTCACTTTATATCTTGCCAAATTTTATTTATAATAAATGATGAATTTGAAATGCAAAAAAAAAATTCTTTTGTTTTATTGATCCCTAGAGAACAGAATAATCTATGGAATACTTAAATGTTTCATGAAACACCTACATGTAACAAGAAATTTATCATCACTGGTCAAGGTGAAGCTTCCCAGAATGCGATTAGAATGGGATTTTAACTGTATTTTTAAGATACTGTTTGTTAAGGTCATCCTCACAGTGCCAGGGGTCCTGAGTCAACAAGTTGCTGTGGGACCCCTGGCCAATTTCATTCAATAGTTCATGGGCTGACTGTAGCGGCGTCTTTTGAGGAAATTACAAATCTTGATTGTTTTTAGTATCTATCAACCAGTCACATTGAGCCATTCTATGATAAACAACTTGTAATGTGCATTTTAGGTGTCAATTGAATCCTTTCTGTTTACATTATCAAACTATTTACGAAAGCTTTAATTTGATTGGTGCTTTTCAATGAGAGAAGCAAGCCCTAAAATATGGAATGAAATTGGCCAGGGGTCTCACACAACTTGTTGACTCTGGACCCCTGGCATTGTGAGGATGTGTTAAGGTATGTAATAAACTAAACTACAGTCAAACCTTGTTATCTTGAACTGGATGGGAGGGAGAAAAAAACTTTCAAGATATCCAAGGATTTGATATCAAGGGTAAAATACTTAAAGAATAAGTGGTTGGGACTTCCAAATCACTTCAATGCATCCATAATATTATCAGATATCAGTGTTCGAGATACTGAAGTTGAACTGTAAATATAGTTTGCTTTGCCTATTCAAATTTCATACTTATTATGCCAATTAATTTAATTTAATCAATATTTTATTATGCAAAGTCAAATCACATAAATGGATTGAACATCAGGCATAGCCTATATAAGTCCTCTCCAAGAAGGTCCCTGGCTTATTATGTGAATAAATGAAACATGTCAGACCAAGAATAACATTTATTTCAAAGATAATTATATTTCATACAAAAAAAAAATTTAATATAAACACTTTGCACACTAACCATATAAGTTAATTCCTTAACCAGAAAACATCTTTTCACCATACTAACAATCAGATCAAATAAAACCCCACAGAACTGTTAATGTTTCTGAGGGGTGAGTCCCACAGATGGGGGGGGGGGGGTTAACTATTGGCACAAACGTTTGCAGGATTATATATTAGCAGAGACGGAACACGGAGTGGGTGCCTGATTAAGTATAGATATAAAGTATAGATATAAAGGCAGTGACAGTAGAAGAGGTGTATACAGTTTGTATATGTTACATAGATCAGCAGTATGGTATTGTCAACAACTACACAAATTTTATCCTTAAGTTGGCTTAGTGGTATGCACTTCAGAGATGCCATTGTGTTTATCAATGTGAAAAATTGATTTGAATTTAACAAGAAAATAATGCTTACATATTTACAATTCTCACAAGAGGTAGTCTTTACTCATTCATTCATATTCCAATCAATCAGTTACCCAGTGTATTTAGAAACATGCTGTGTATAGGCTTATGATTAAAGGGAAAGTACAATGATACAAACACACATAACAGTCCAAATACAGGCCTTGGACTATGATTTATAAAAAGGAGGTTAATTAGGGTTATGTTCCCCCTAACACAACTTGTATATTGCTTCTTGTACATAAAAAGCAGTTTAAATAATGTAAAGTAAGCAAGTATAAAATGTTAATAAATTACAATTAACTATCTTAATTATCACAGATTCACAGTATTTAAGTATAATTCAGCAGTTTATAGTAAATAGTAGGCTATTTTTTAATATCCAGCATCAATAACAGACCATCTCACTCCCCAACTTCCGTTTCCGTTGGCCACCAAAAAACTGGTGCTCGAGTTTCTGCATTTTGACCCCTAACTCGGTCTTCACCTTATTTCCATAGTTACCGGAGTTGGTATTAGGGACTGCATTGGAGAACACGGTGACGTTTTCTGGGAGCTCCTCTCGTGGTTTAGGATTTCCCTAAAATATATAGATAAATAAATAAATAAAAGGCGATTTTATTCTTTAACATTTTCACCCGAAAAAGTCAATTTATAAACTGCTTAACGGTTTTAATATACATATTTCAAAGATTTTTTTTTCCTTTTGTCTCCAATGTGTGATTTAAATTCACATAAAACAAGTTGGCAATCTGTTTTAATCCGATATTACTGAAATCAAATACAAGTCTTTTATTTAAACACAATTATAATGTTAATACAATGCACGTAAAAATAAGTTAATTAACTGTTTGGATTAATTATTGGTAGAATTCTTGGCATGAATAGTTACAACTGCTAGTACTTCAAGTCTTTAAATTTTCCACCAGCTGTACAAACCAAACAAAGCGCCATATCATCCCAAACATTTAGATTGAACCAAAATGAACCCAAATAATGATTTAACCAAATGAACCCAAATCAATGATCGAAGCAGTGTCCGGCATATTATTAGTATAATTAAAGTTTGAAATGATACGTTTTTGTTTCCCATAAGTTTTATTTTGACAAAATTAAAAAAAAAAGCATCTTGGTTAAACTTTATAATTAGTATTTAGCTTTATCATCTTTCAAGAGGACATGCAGTCAAGATTATGAAGTCAGCTGATTCAGTTTTAGCTGCAGAACTCACAGGCACTTGTTTCGTATACGGGGCACCCCTACTTATTTTTACCGTGGTAAAAATAAGTAGGGGTGCCCCGTATACGAAACAAGTGCCTGTGGCAGAACTGTAGAAAAACGCGGTAGTCCATCTCAAAACTGAAGACATGCGAGGGTCACACTTCTTCAGTTTAATGTAGTTTACTTTTAAGTTTATTCTTGTCATAATTACGATGAAACGATGATCTGCTATTGTTCGAGTTCAGTGATTAAGGCGTTCATCACACCAATACACATTCATTATATCTAACACCGTATACGTAACACACTTATCATTATTTACCAAAGAAAAACCAGCCTTGTTGCTCTGTAATAAAGAGTTCCATTAACAAGAAATAGAGCAAATTTCTGATACCGATGAAATAATTTGTTTTGCATAGTAACATCCCCCTCCCGTAATTAAGTTATATGTGTCAGTTACCTTGGAATCGAACTCTGTCAGGAAGCCCCAGTTTTCTTCCCTGTAAAGGAAAAATGAACAATTAATTTTACGTCACATAGGAATTATGTTATATTATTTACATCGTCGCAAACCGCGGCCAAAATGCACGATACTCTTCCATTCTGTAGGAGAGAGCTATATGCGGACTCCGAACCGTGGCTTGAGACGATGTATTATTTATTATTTATAACTTTTCAATTTCTATTGAATAATTAAACTGTACATGCATAAGAGTGTAACAAAAATTGACATTGTGTAACTCATTTTTCAAGATAAGAAAATGAACGAGACAATATATTAAATGCCACTCTTTAACTCCCACAAGTTCTATAATATTGTAAGTTTGTGAAGTTTGGTAGAAAAGTTCGAAGAGAGTTATAATCGATTTATAAAATAAAGTGTAGGAATTCAGTACAAAATCGTTATATAAAAATGTTCCTTTTCATGGATTTGATGATTTATTTTTACCAGTTTTTAAGGCACATGCCCTCTTTGCCGACGCTCTGTTTCCAGATCCGGTCCTGGGTGACGGTGTCACAGTTGGAGTAATCTCCCTCTTTGAACTGTTTCTCGGTCGTCTGCGTGGTCTGTTGGCGCCTTTCTGGAGGTATACATTTCTCGTGGTACTGGCTGGTGAAACCATTCGGAAAAAAGCAAAGAATGTGATAATTTTTTGATACAGATTTCCACAGCATGATTTAATTAGCTTTTGAGGAAAGCAACTATACAGAAATAAGGATAATTTCAAATTAGAAATAACGGACGACTCTCGGGTCACAAAGAATATCGTGCAGTTAACCTGAACTTCCTGATTGCCGTATAAATCAAACTACACAAAACAATTTGTGCAGAAAAAATGGTTTGTGGTTGATCTTCAACTTCCAGGTATCCCTTTGAATTCTAAAATTAGATCTTTGCCTCGGAAGTTGATTGATTGAATTGCTATAAAACCGTGACCGTATTAGTTATAGTCATCCTAAAATGTCAAAACTGTAACGAGATCCAACTTTTACTTGTGACTCCTGATTGTAACTATGGCGACGTTTCTGTTACGTCAAAATAAGCCATTAGCCATGGTACATTTTAAAATGATTTATTCATCCTTGTTTTTTTTTTTCTTTTAACCAGCAAGCTGGATTGCTATACATACTTTTTGATCTAAGAATAAAATAAAAGAATTTGTGGTAGGCCTAAAACTTGGATAAAAAGCTGTCGCAAAAGACAAAACTATGACGTCACAAAGGATTGGTTCCATAATGAAATATTTTCCCGTACTTGACGGTGACAAATAAATTCACCACGTCATAGATGAAAAACTTCATTTTGACATTTCTTGATATCTTTTTCAAAATCTTATCCCGATATACATATTTATTTTATTTTCTTTACACTTAAGTTATTGTAATTGCATAAATGTGAGAAAAAACTCTATTTTTTAAGGTCCTTTCCTACATATTTTAAAGAATAATAAAGACATTTTAAAATCTTATTTTTATATATAAATGACTTTTTTCCTTAAATAAAGTCGGGATTGGCATTTTCGTTATAAAATTTGATTTTGAATTTACATTTGGAAAGTAAGACATCTATAGGCACCCTATGATCACTACATCTCTGATGTTCCCTAAATGTGTAAAATATTTGGTCCTTAATTCAGATACAAACACGCGGCCCTAAAGCATAACCTATAATTAATCATAAACCTACGGAAGCCTATTAAGGACCTATCAAAAATATTTTGAATTCGATATAACGAATTGCCAAATATGTTTAAACGAATTTAATTCGTTTTAACAAATTCTTGAATTCGTTATAATCAATTAACATTTGTATAACAAATTTGTTAAAGTAGAGTTTTTAAGGTCAAGATAGGTGCTAGATCCATTATGATATCATAATAACCCCCGCCCACCCCCGTACTTTACGGCTGTAATTGAATTTTGTGGAAAATGAAACATTTTTTATGCATTCAATTCGAAATTAATATGTATACTCATATTAAATCTTTAGTTTTGTTTTACAGAGTCCAAGAACATACAAATTAATTGTCGGTTTCTGAGAGACTGTAGGCAATGTGGATAAACGATTATCTGATATGCAAAAACTCGTATTTTTCTTTTTTTTTCATTCAAAATTAATCATGTTTTTAAATTGTGCTTACCAAACACATTCTATTTAATTAGATTGTGGCTATACTGTAAAGCATTCATCTCTCAAATTTGAGATACCTGTAGGCACCTTTCATTTACTAAATCTTGACTTTAACAAGTTTTAAAATTTGTTATATAGAATTATATTTGAAATTACAATTTTCATAATTTAGTGAAATTGTTCAATTCGTTTCTACGGATTTATTAAATCTATTATTTATTGATAGGTCCTATACAGACATCCATATATCCATTCTACAGCATCTAGAAGGTATAACATTAATCCCAAACCAAATCTACAAACTTTACACCGAGATATAAAAAAATACAACCACCAAATGTAAAATCCAAAGTTTGAAAAAAAAATATCCATTATTAACAAACACACACCTTGTGATATGCTTTCGCATTTTACAACAAACCTTCTCCGGCTCCAAAGAAAAATGCAAATGATCAACAGCTGATTGATATCAGGTGGTTTTTCTTTACACTTTCTTATTAAATATTCCATTTTCTACTCTCCTCCACCACTCATCAAAAACCATTGTTACCTTTTTATTCGGTAATTTTCAGTGTCTGGCGGCGATCCGTTTTTAGACATTATAGCAATTTTTATATCTATCTGAGTTTTAGATTCCTAAGATTTTATGATGCTAGAAACTTCACAAACTGAAATAAAGCCAAACAAAAATTAAAGATTTCGATGGTGATAAACCAAAGAGGCTTGTGCCAAAAGGTTCTGAAATGCAATGTATTTTAATACGGTTCTTTTACAGATTTCAGTCCCTCAAACATTTCTTAGACCTGAATGCTGCGTAACGTTACAGTTCGATTTAACTATTTCAACCCCGTATATACCTTGGCTTTGTTCTGCTGTAATATGAGAACATTATTCCTCCAAACTGACCACTCATCTTGTTAAATAATCCCTGAGTTCTGCGACAATACAGAATCTTTCACAGAAAAAAGGTCCACACACGTGTTCTTTTTTGAGCTAGATATCTATAATCCAGTAATAACTATTGTAAGACTAATACTTCCCGATTTAGGAGTCATTGACTGTCATTTGTCACCGCTTAGCTACCGATCTGTTTATTATTGCCCTATATTGGCTCACTATATTGTGATTACTCTCGGTATTTATTGACACAGGCGACACCAACTGTGTCTATACTATCCGTGTCTATCAGGAATTGTTCTGGAAGTTTGTCTGTAGCGATCTACCTCGGCTGGGGGGTTTATTTAATATTTTTGATTAAGAAATAATCTAAGAGAAAAGGTATTGGTTGATATATAGTTTTATTCTGATATTATTGAATTGGCTATGTCTTAGTTTGATCGGAGGGACTCCATCGTGCGTTTTATGTTATATGGCACGTGTTTCTAGTAAACCTATTATCTTACATGTGTACAATAAAATAAAAACAGACGAAAACAGAGTTTTTATTATCCTGTAAATTCCCTCAAAATAATGCCAAAAAAAAACCCGGCCCTGTCTACAATAAAACTAAACTAATGTCGGATAAATTTCATGGTATAACGATTTCTCCTGACACCTGCCAACACAGGTATAGACAGATCGATAACACAGGTAGATCAAGTCGTGTGAAACTGTTTACACTGATTTTTAAATGTTCAATTGTTCTGTGCAATAAAAAAGTAATAGAAGAAGCTCCATGCAGTTTTAACTGAATTTCAATAACAATGCATTGCAGTGTATATTTTTAAATTCTAAATTCAATTTAAATTAGATTTAATTTAGTTTAAAACTGTAGGCTATCATTCATCCATAAATTTTGTTTTAAGATATGTAATTTATTATATGAATGATCGAATAATTCCCAGTTCTCTGATTGGCTAAGATCCAACATTCTATAAGTCATACTAAGTTATGATCACTTGCACGCGATCTTCCAGGTAAACATAAGTATTTATTTTTTTCTACATTGGTCCAAAAATAGATCGGGGACTTGCAGATTGATACAATTTGTTATGATAAATCATTTCATTAGCACCCGACCTTCCAGCTGAACATAACAATTTTAGGGGTCTACATTGGACCAAAAATAGATAAGAACTTATAAATTGATACAATTGATTTTTGAAAGTTATTTCATCTGCAACCGATTTTCAGGTGAAAATTTTTTGTTTTACGTCACACCAGAAATAGGTGACGAAATTCCAAATTTGTTTATTGTATCTTGCTTTCTCACCGAGTTCGACTAGGGCTTCAACAAATGTATAAACAATCAAGAAAAATGGCAAGTTGTGCTTATCAATATATTTATTTATATTTATTATAATTGTTTTTATATTTATCATTTAAGATGGAATCATATACTAAAACAATTTTTTTAGTCAATACAATAATTTAGCCATGCTCGAAGTACAGTATTCACCTAGCCATTCGGGCTCGGTGAATATTGTACTCCTCAGGTGGCTAAATTATCGTATTGACTCCCAAAACGGCAATTATTGTTGTATAATATAATAGTTTTGCAGTTAAAATAAAATTTTACAATGTTCTCTGATAAATTGAAATCGAAATTGATAAATTATAACAAATATGTATCACTCCTCTCAATAATAATAATGAACACTATAAAGAGATAAAAAATACACATGTGATTTGAATTAAAACAAAAATGAAAAGATACCTTTTTACGTAAGAAAATGGCATATCCTATTTAAATATGATACATGGATATTCCTCGCCTGCTATCCCCCCAAAAATGTTAAATTTGTAAAAGCATGTCCTAACAGAGGGTTATGAGGGCCTTTTTGCTTTTGCTTTAGTTAGCAGAGAAAGGTGGAGAATAGTCGCATCCTGGCCATTATTTAGGGGAATCAGACACGTAATGTAAAGCAAACAACATTGTTTAGATTGAGTTAACTTTATAAATCATATAATAAAACTTTATAAATTTATAAAGAAACCTGGTTGAAAAGAACTCTTTTTTTCATTTTATTAACACTAATATCGAAATGAAGAGAAAAGAAAAACAAACAAATGAATAAATTACAAAACTTCAAACACTTCTCTCTCTCTCTCTCTCTCTCTCTCTCTCTCTCTCTCTATCTGATGGAGAGAGAGGGGAGCTATTAGCTGATTAAGAAATATTTGGCTTCAAAAAGACCAGAGGCAATACAGAAAAAAAAACCCTTTTTAATTTTGTTAGATTGCAAAGCCCATATAAAAGCAGTGTACCGTCCGCTTTACGATCGATCCAAACCTCAACGGAATTAACATGGGGATTTATGTCCCCACGGGAGATCGCACATGTCTGGCGAGTTCAGGACAAAATCCTGTACCTCCAAAGGTTAACAATTAATTGTTTTCACAAACACAAATAAGAAATTAATGAATTGATTTTTTATGAAAAAGAAATTTAACATGCAAAAACTTGTACAGACAAATCCATAATATAAGGTAGTCAGTTCATGCCGATTTATTGCATACTTACAGTTTGTGTGTTATTCAAATATTGTTTTTTAAATCTTTGTCAAAGTTTTTCTTTTTTGAAAAACTGCTACCGTCATTTATTACAAGAATAAGAAGGACAAGAATAAAGAAGCGACTATTGACTTATACTCCTCACCATCTCCAGAATGCACGCAATCACGAAATAAACCCAATTTTATAGATCCCTTTCAAAAAGATTTGCCTTTTGTGATCTTGAGATTAATGAGGTAATATCGATCTAAAGAGGTAAAACTGTATATAAGTAAACGACAATTGATTTTATTTCAGAGAAGCTCTCAAGTCGTCCCTTTTTTGTATCTAACTCCAAAAGACGACGGCTTACATTGATTTCTGCCCCACTTCACGTGAACAACACAGGATT